GAGGCAGAGACAACACAGCGATACAAACACCAAGTCAAGACACAAAGACACACACACAGAGGCAGAGACAACGCAGCGATACAAACACCAAGTCAAGACACACAAACACAGAGGCAGAGACAACGCAGCGATACAACACCAAGTCAAGACACAAGGCACACAAACACAGAGGCAGAGACAACACAGCGATACAAACACCAAGTCAAGACACAAGACACACACAGAGGCAGAGACAACGCAGCGATACAAACACCAAGTCAAGACACAAAGACAGATACACCAGGCAGAGAACAACACAAAGACACGGGACTTCATTCATACCTCTCCGTAGAGGTGGTTCGAACTTGATTAGGTGCTTTCGTGACTGCAGGAATTACTCTTTTTTTTCAGTAAAGTCACGTAGAAATAATAATAAAAAATATAAAAATTTTTTACATTATTATATAATTCCTGCAGTCACGAAAGCAACTAATCAAGTTTGCAGGACATACAGATTGACAAGATGCCTTCCGTCAGGCGCATGTCCTCCGTGTTATAGGTTTTTTTTTGGGTTCGATCGCATAAATGCAATTGTGTTGTTAAACCCGCTACCACCCGACAAATTGTAAATGCCCGTGGATTTTCTCTCCCAAACACACCGGGGTTAGTGCTGTGCTGGTAACGAATCGGCACGTTCTGTTTACGTGACAAACGAATTGTCTGTGTCGGGTGGTGGCGAGTTTAACGACACATTTATGTTTACGCGATCTAACCCATTGAAAGTATATCATTTCTTTTGGGTTACTATTTTCACGTGGGATAACACAAACAAAACGTTCCTGGAGAAAACCCGTGCGCAATGGTGAGAGCAAACAAACCCCACGGCTTGAACATAACACGCCGATAGTGTGTGATTAAGGGCCATTGCCCAAAACGTCTGCTTTCTTTAAGGCCACGGTGTTGAGTTTTTTCTTAAATTGTACTTTGTGCTCCACTAACCAATGCAGCAGCACCAGACGATGTGTACGGTAATTATACTGCCTAAATTAAGCTAATTAATTTAAGCATGAGAACAGCTGTGCACGTTTGTGTGTACGTGCATGCAGCACCTTTCAATCTACTTACGGTCGAAGGTCTCCCTCTGTACTTTAAACAAGCCAGTGTTTGTGTAGAGATTGGAACAGTAGTAATTATTACCATCCTTGTCCCAATTTAAATCACTTTTGGACCTCGGATTCTCTTTAAAATGTACGTGCAATTTATGGCTATGCTTTGCAGACTTTTAAGTTGTTGTTTTGTTGTTAGTCTTTATTTTTGTTGTGCTGGTTGTACCGTGTTGATATGCGACCTTGCTGTTCGGAACCTGACCCTGCACCGTTGTCTAATTTATCATTTTGTTCGTGTTTGCTTGCTGTTAACAAGCTTCTGTAACCAGGTGCCCGTCGAAAATGAGAAATTATTGCCCAATGGGGCTTGTGCCGTGCTAAAATAAAACCTAAACAGTTGCACCGTTTATATGTGCACGGTCAAAGCAACAAGACATCGCGTTCCCGTATCATTTTGAGTAACACATTTTCCAAAAATTACTTTACGGTAATCAATATTGGTCGCGAAATCCTACGTGTTAAAATGCTTTCAAGAATTAATGTCTTCCGGATAATGCGTCTTCCATCCTTTATTGTACGCGTACAGGGTGGCCCAGATGTACCCCCCCTCCCCCCATTGAATTACATAAAACTCAATATCTTTCAAGGTTTATTTAAAACAGAAATATGCAAAGGGTCAATTCATTTGGGGTCACAACACATCTGGACCAGCCTGGACCAGTACAGTATATTCCGGAAGTTAATTCCATCCTTTGTTTTTATTTAAGAAGTTGCGTCCACTACTGTATTTTAAAATGACTTGCAAGATATTCCGGAAGGTTCCTTCTCATCATTTGTTTTTTGTTTACATTTGGGAGGTGACCTGCTCCATCTGATGTTTGTTATCATCTCACCGGCCCAGGGAATCGCGATTCACATTCCCGACACAATCGAGGAATCGATTCCACTGCACCACAATCTCGAATCGATTTAATTTAACGCGCGTACCGTACAATGGGAAAATTACTGTTGTTGTTTTTATACTCTTTGGTTCTTTCGGTAAAGTCACGTAGGTATAAAATAAATTAAATCACGACGTTTCGCGGCCGAAAGAACCAAAGAACCAAAGAGTATGGATCCCTGCGGTCACGAAAACTTCAAATCTACCGTTGTTTTGCTCCATAGGGTGTTCTAGATGTCTTCTGACCCTCTGATTTTACTCATTTTTTCCTTCGCATATTCATCTCAAAAAGTTATAGAGAATTAATTGGGGGGGGGGGGGGGGGGGGAGGTGGTCACAAGACATCTGGACCACCCTGAATATGCACATAAGCCACACAAAGACAATTGTAAGGTAGTCCATACAAGTACCATCTTGCATCAGTTTCTTGCAGATCCATCTTAGTAGGGTCCATGTTTAAAATGTCTATACTATGTACCAGGCACTTCGCCACAATTGGTTCAAGCAATTCTGACCGCTGATGAGACACTGTCGAAAATTACTCTCTGTTTTTTTTCGGTAAAGTCACGTAGGTAAAATAAAATAAAACAATTAAATTAAATCACGACGTTTCGGAGGCAACACAAGCTTCCGTCTTCAGGTGGAACAGTCACAGCAGAATATCTGTGTCAAGTGGACACCTCTGAGACAGCCGGGTTTATATACAGGTCAGGGTGGGGGGGGGGTACTGTTGTTACATTGTTTTTATAGCTTTATTTTGGTGATTTGAAAAGATATGGTTAATCTAAATTGTCTTATGGTTGTTGTTGTTGGCTTGCACCACATTGATTTTTGCACACAGCGTTTTAGTAAGTTTTTTTTTGTGTGGAATATTTGCTGGTTTATTCCAGGATGTTTCTGTTACGCGTTGTCGCTTTAAGATGTTCTGTGTTCAAAATTTTGTTTGTTGTGGTTGCACCCGACCTAAGAGCTGCATGGCTCACAGGGCTATACCTAATAAATGAAACTTGAAACTTGAAAACTTGAGTATGAATCCTTGCAGTCACGAAAGCTTCAAATCTAGAACTGTCGAAACTGTTTGATTCAAACTCTGTCGAAACACGGTGGCGAGATGTTTACTATGTTTACTATCTCGCCAGGTATGCAAGAGGTCGTGGATTCCATTCCGACCCTGACCCCTGTATAAGTTGCGCGTTCTCCCCACGGTCGTGTTGATTTTTCTCCGGGTCCTCCGGTTTTTCCCTCTAAATTAAACGTGATAAGCCACTTCATTGAGCTATCATTTGTGGCAAGGTCGCTTTTGAAAAATAACTATATAGGTAGCTCGTTGGGCCCTCTCTAGTCAAATAAAAAGTTGAATAGTAATAGCTTGCTATTGAACCGTGCTGCTGTGGCCGATGGGCTTGTTTAAAAAAAAACCTTGTAATTTTGGTACGGAAAGTTTTCCTCGGGTGTTTTATCTTTAGCTAACAATGCTCGTGCGGCTTGTGTACACACCGTGGACACTTAATCTTCAACATCTACATAGGGGAGCCTCACACGCCATTGTTCCCATTGTGTACAGGTTGGCCCAGATGTCTTGGGGCCTCCAATTGACCCCCCCCCCCCCAACACGTTTCCCGTCGCATATTCATTTCTCCTTTAAGTAAACCTTACTTAAAAAATAGTTTTTAGAGATTTAAATGGGGGGGGGGGGTTACAAGACACCTGGAGGGAACAACTACATTGCTTGGAATTGCTGCATACAGAACGAACACACGAAGGTTAATGGGCATCATTGAAAGTCACCAAAGCGTGGCCTGAACAAGATATGTGTATACGGCGGGCAGGTGACTCCTGGTGTTGAGACTTGTCAAGGCGGAGTGCCAGTCATGTGGATACGGTGGACAGGTGACCCCGGGTGTTGAGACTTATCAAGGCGGAGTGCCAGCCAAGAAGAAGGGAACGCCCCAGGGGTGGATGGCCACCGGGAAGACGGGAGCAGTGAAATCATTTTTGGTCAGAATGAGAATCTTTATTTGGACTGCAGGAGTTCTTTTTTCACAGATGTCCAGCGATACAATTGACAACAACAAACGATACAAAACATAGGAGTAGAAAAATTGAGAAAATGGTAAGTCACGAAATATAAAGTAAATCATACTTTAAAGAAAATAAGTCCGAATTATATGAAGACCACGCCAAGCGAGCACGCCGCAGGAGTTGGATGGGTTTGTGGTATTGCAGGTCACAGGTTTGGCAGTGGATTGATCATGGTTGATGACGATGGAGGGAGGCGAGCTGGTGGCATGTGCCCTCGGTATTCCCAATTCCTGCAGCACTCGTGGCAAAATAATCGATAGCTCGCAACATTCGCAGAGGAATCGATTCCTCTGGTGGTGCGCAGTGCCCATGATAACTCTTGAGACGAAGCGATCCACCACTCTCAAATCGATTCCATTTCCCCCGCCAAGCCCGCCCGCCCGGACGGCCCGCCCCATCCCAAAATATTTGTGCTCGCGATTCCTCGCCCGTTTAATCGATTTGTCACTCTCAAAAGTGTTTCTTGAATCACAAACATTTACAACAACAACAAAAAACCTCCCAATGCTGTCCATAACGATAGGCATGATGTATCGACTGCTGGAAGAAGGCCTTTCCCAAAGGCGTCGTCAACTCTCACGCGGCTTTGTCGCTGATGCAACAAATCCTCGAGAGCGGCATGGGGGACGGACGCGGAGATCAACATCGCCCCCACATCTCCTGCCTTGGCATTCTTAAAGAAATTTCAAATTACGAATCGATTTGCATTCAAATTGTATCGACATCGATTACATTACGACAAATCGATTCGCATTCCACACACCAAAGAAACCCCCTCCCACCTGAATCACCTCGATCGAATCAACTGTAGAGATAAATCGATTCCGTTGCTGACCGCGAGATAACGCGAAGAATCGCGTTCTCGATTTAAGAACGTCGTGAATCGATTCCGCCCCCACCCACCCACCCACCTCCATCCTCTCTGAGACCAGCTGATGAGTGGAGGCAGGGTTCGGAGAGGCCGAGAAGAGGCGACGCAAGGAATGGAGATGATTTTAAATTAAAGCGACGTTTAAAACATTGAAATAAACTACGAGTGAGAAGAGTTTAGGGAGGGAGGGAGGGGGTGTGTGTGGGGGGGGTAGGAGATCGTTTAGGAGGTACGCCGCCAGAATGTGGCTCAAGCCGGAGGAGGTTCTGCTGGCGAACGCCCTGTGGGTGACGGAGCGCGCCAACCCTTACTTCTTGATGCAGAGGCGGCGCGGCCACGGGGACGGAGGCGGCCTCACAGGTTCCTCACCACCAACACCACCAACACCACCACCCCCAACACCACCACCAACACCTGCCCACAACTCACAACAATAACAGCAGCAACCACCGCCACCCCCACCACCACCCCCAACACCACCACCACCCCCAACACCTGCCCAGAGCTCACAACAATAACAATAGCAACAGCAACCACCACCAACACCTGCCCAGAGGTCACAACAATAACAACAGCAACCACCACCACCCCGAACACCTGCCCAGAGCTCACAACAATAACAACAGCAGCAACCACCACCACCACCACCCCCAACACCTGCCCAGAGCTCACAACAATAACAACAATAGCAACAGCAGCCACCACCACCACCCCCAACACCTGCCCAGAGCTCACAACAATAACAACAGAAACAGCAACCACCACCCCCAACACCTGCCCAGAGCTCACAACAATAACAACAATAGCAACAGCAGCAACCACCACCCCGAACACCTGCCCAGAGCTCACAACAATAACAACAATAGCAACAGCAGCAACCACCACCACCCCCAACACCTGCCCAGAGCTCACAACAATAACAACAATAGCAACAGCAGCAACCACCACCCCCAACACCTGCCTAGAGCTCAACAATAACAACAGCAACCACCACCACCCCCAACACCTGCCCAGAGCTCACAACAATAACAACAATAGCAACAGCAGTAGCAGGCACCACCACCATCGTCATCCGCAGCAGGAGCTTCATTAACCATCAGCGTCGTTAGCAGTAATATATAAGCTGTAGCTTCATATTCAACAGGAACGGAGGGATCGTGTTATCGTCACCGTCATCATCATCGGTCTCATTATCAGCGACATCAGAAAAAAATCAGCAGCATCGTCACCATCAGAAGTAGCAGCAGATTAAGCAGAAGCTTCATCAGCAGCAGCGTCGCCATAAACATTAGCAGGGACAGAAGTGTCGTCATTGCCATGAGTAACATCACCTGCAGCAGTCTCGTTACAGTAATACGTAAAGTGTTGAACTTCTTTCGCACCGTACGTAGCCAAGCGCGCTAATCGGAGGTACGGGGGAAGGACAACGAATATCGGCAACATCAGAAGAAGTAGCTTCATGTCCGTCACTGTTAGCTTCAGCAGCAGAATCATCACCTTCAGAAGTAGTGCTAATCTCACAAACTGCATCATCGCCATCAAGCTGCAGGAGCTGAAGGAATCATCAGCACAATCAACTTACTGAGCAATAACGCCAGGAGGATTATCATCACTGACAGAAACATCATCGTCGTTATCAACAGTGTCATTAATATTCCTCACAACATTAAATCGTGCAAAGTGTCATTGTAGCAGCTTCATAATCAGACAACAGCAACATGACTGTCATCAACAGTAATGCCATTAATATCAGTAACAAGATCACAGTCGGCATATTCAAATGCAGCAGCATTAACTTTATCATCAGTAGGGGAAGAAGCATCATCACAGTTATCGCAAGTAGGTAGCAACAAAAACAACAGCAGCTTCATCATCATCAGCAGGCGCAGATGTATCCTCGGCAGCCTCATGAGCAGCATTGAGTGAAAATATTAACATCATCCACAGAAGTAGCAGCAGCAGCATCAGGAACAAGCATCATCCACATTGTGTTAGAAGCGTCAACGTGATGATCATCATCGTCGTCGTCAGCAGCTGTTACCTGCAGGAGCAGAAGCATCTTCATCGGTAGTATTATCAACATGAGAAACAGCAGCATAACATCATCAGAAATAGCAGTATGAACAATATCATTCTAAGTACAGTAGCATAACGAGACGTTGCAATCATGCCATCGGCACGTTTATCAGAAGCATCGTCATCAGCGCCAGCAGAATGCTAATCAACACCCATCACCATATTTAGCATCAATACCACCATCATCAACATCGCCTGCATCATCACCATTGGCATGAGCACCATCATCAGCAACATCACCAATATAAGCATCAGTAGGGATATTATCGCATGAGCAAAACATTATCTACAGCAGCATCACTTAAAATCACAGCAGCACCACAGCAGCATCACCATCATCGATCACCACGACTGTTATTACAATGAACAGCTGCATTAGCAAAGTAATCACAATCATTGTTTTGATCATCAGTATGATCGTCAAATTATTAATCATCACTAGCAACATCACAATCAACATCACCGAAAAAATCATCACCATCATCCCTGGAAGCATCACCATCATCGCTGGAAGCATCATCATCACCATCAGTCATCACCATCATCGCTGGAAGCATCATCATTATCACCATCAGTCATCACCATCATCGCTGGAAGCATCATCATTATCACCATCAGTCATCACCATCATCGCTGGAAGCATCATCATCACCATCAGTCATCACCATCAATTCCACATAACCAATGCTCATCACCATCAATGCTTTTTAATGAAAGTAATTGTGAAATTCTACGTGATGGATAAATTACACCTTTAGTAATACTCCCACCCAAAACGAGCGGGAATGTTTACACACCTTTTCAAATATATAAGTGTTAAATGTTTAGAACACAGTATGAGAAATATTTATGTATTGTAAACTGTTACGTGCATTTTGACCTAAGACCAAATCATCCGGGATGCGTCTGATCTCGTCACATCTCAGAAGCCAAGCAGGATTGATTCTGGATAGTTGTGCATAGCAGGTGTCATAGGCTGCTGTGGAGCTATGTGCTGGGCTCTGACCAGCGCGTAGAAGTATGGTGCTGCAACCCCTAAGGCCGACACGGCGTGCGGAGGGCCCTCATCCAGCAGTGGACTGGCACATGACTCTTGTTTTTTTGCATGAAATTAATTCCTCCTAATTGAAAACCCAGTGAAATGAGTCTCAAACCTCTAATTCACGAGGGCCCCCTGTCTGGTGTTGTTTGGCCAATTCATTCGAGAGGAATGTTCGATGGTGACACGTTGACTCCCTCGCCTGGTATACAGGGGGTCGGTGGGTTTGATCCCGACCCTGACGCCTTTTGTATATTCGGAGTCTGCATGTTATCTTCGTGGTCGCGTGGGGATTTTCTCTGGGTCATCCGGTTTTTCCCTCCACATTTAGAATCAACGCGCGTTTAGAGTAAAATATTTGGGTGCTATACATTTCCACGTGATAAGCCACTTCGTTGAGCTATCATTTGTGGCCAGGTCGCTTCTGAAAAAGAGCTATGACAACTCAGTGGGGTTTATCTGGTAAAGTAAAAAAATATATTTCGGGTGAGACTGTAATGGTAGTGGTGGTGCAGTGGTTAGTGCACTGCCAATGTGAACCTGGCCATCAGAGTTCGATTCCCACCAATGGCTAACAACCCTTACTGACCAGCCTGGTGAAGTATGGTCAATCAACCCAAACGACTGACGAGGCGTGCGGGGTGGGGGGCATTACGGGCTGTATATATAATATTTCTCGTCTGGTGGCGGAAGTGATTAGATGGTAAGAATGTGTGTGGCAAGGCTAAGGAGCATTTGCTGGTATGTGCTGTTTCCCCTTTAGATTATTCTCACCATATGTTTTCAATTTGTCACTGTATTCAGCGTACACACGTGCCTTTTGTGGTGGTGTTGATGATGCCAATGCTACAACAGATGTGTGTTTTGAAAAATAATTGTGCGTTTGTTCCTTTTAAGTAATCACGAATGATTTGTAGATGTGTTGTGATTTTACAATGGGTTGCGTGTGGTTCATTGTGGTGGTGATGACGACGACGATAACATTTCAGATACCGATGATAATTATTTGTGTTTGTCATCCACACTTTGGTCATTTGTTGATTCAGATTTTTTGTCATTAAGATTTCCAATATCGGTGGCAAAGAGTGTATATGAATTTTGATTTAAAGCTTTCGTGACTGCAGGGATTCATATTCTTGGTTCTTTCGGTAAAGTCACGTAGAAGGGAAAAAATAAAATAATACAAATATAAAACAATAAAATTCTCACGACGTTTCGACTGCAACACAAGCAATCATTTTCTTGCTGTGGTTTTCACACCTGATGATGTTTGCTTGTGTTGCAGTCGAAACGTCGTGAGAATTTTTATAGTTTTATGTTTGTATTATTTAATTGTTTCTCTTCTACGTGACTTTACCGAAAGAATCAAGAATATATAGTGTATTTGAATGAAAACTAGCAGGAACCCCGCGGAACTTCAGACATCACCAATGTCGTCTGACGTCACACCCCCCCCCCCCCCCGCGTCTGGTAACGTCACCTGCTGTCCTCACCAACGCACCATAATCTCGCGTGACGACATCACCCTTCTGCTGCTGCAACTCGCCAGTGTCGCGTGACGTCATCACTCCTGCCCTCTCCGCACTGACTTCGATGATCACGTCTCAACATACCATCTATGTTCCGTGACGTCAAACCTCCTCCCCAACCTCAACATCTTTCGTGGCGTCAGTACTCCTATCCCCAACAGCCCCATTGCCGCTGAGGTTATCAGCCCCTCCACCTCACCAGCGTGATGTGACGTCATACCCCCCCCCCACAAACCCCCCGCTCCCCACCGGGCCAAATTATTTTTTCTTCTATGTTCCGGTGGGTTGCAGACAGACAGACGAACAAGCGTATATAGAGATGATGCAGTGATGACACTAATACATTGAAGGATGATGGATGCTCGGCGTTTACTGCTATGGTGGTGGCAGTGACGGTAGATTATGATTGATGTGTGATCGTGATGATAATTGATAAGTACATTCCTGGATGTACCTACCCATTTACCCCTCCATGCCCCCATGCATCCCAATGGGCCTCAATGCACATCTATACATCCCCATGTGTCTTTGTACAGCCGCAAATGTCCCCATGCTTTCCTCTCTACCCATGGATGTCTGTGGATCCCTGTTTGTGCCCACCCGTCGCATCCCCAAGGATCTTTTGGCTGGCTGGATAGAGGGGCTAAATGATCAGTGCACGGGCTTGAGCAGAGATGGGCTAATGAGGTAGAGGAGGATGTGGAGCTGAATAGGCTTGCTGAAGACTGGTACCATCAATGTCAAGATCGGCCTCTGTGGAGGAGGCTCATGAAGGAAGCTACTAGGCAGTTGGAGACAGTCACCCTCCAGCAACGGACGGCAGAGGGGCAACGCTCGCAAACAATAAGCTAAAACGCAAGTTGGCACAGTTATATTGGCAGTCATCTCATTCAACCCATAATACTAACAGTAAGCGAGCCATTTACACTTCACGTGGCGTCAAAGTGCACCTAGCCTGGCACAAGCGCTGTGTTGACATCACCACCACTTAGTGGCAAATGGCTGTTTTTGTGCCATACACCTGTGTACCTGAAAGCCTACACATGCTGCAACAACAACTACGCTGTCAGTTATCCAGGAGGTGGCAGAACGGGAGTGGGTTATTGCATCTATCTGTGCTCAGCGTTTACTCTTACCCACTCTCTTTCTCCCACGTGAAAAATGCTCATTAATCAGATTGGTAACATCCCAATGCAGGGCCCTCCAGAAATAGGATTCTATCCCCTGTGTAACTCCCTTGTATCCTTCTAATCTCAACATTACCATGCATCCCTGTGCACAATTATGCATCTGTACATTGTATATTTCTGTGAGCCTCTATGTACAATAATATTTATCTGGGGCAGTGGTGGTACAGTGAGTGGGTAGCATATAACATACCTAGGGACGTGGGTCAATTCCTGCCCTTGACTTGCATCATTGGGCTGGTCTGCTGTGTGTACAGCCTGTAGTGATTTGTAGTGGTGTGGTTTGTGGTAAAGTGTGTGGTAGAGTGTGTAGTGGTGTGGTGTATGGTACAGTCTGGGCAGCCGTAGTGTAGCGGTTAGCGCGTTGCGCTATGAACCCAACGATGCAAGTTCGATTCCCGCTCACAGCTTCGACAGGGCTAATTATCTGAACCAATCCTGGGCCACTCCTAAATCGACTCAGCCTCAAATGAGTACCTGGTGCGATGTGTAAACATCGCCACTCAGTAGACCAAGGCTGCCGGACGTGGTGCTGGCCACCGACCTCCTCGTGTGGCGTGCCGGCCTTCATTGGTGCTCGCTAACAGCACTTGCCCCAACAGTGTGTTAAGTCTATACGTGGGATCCTAGTCTTTGTTTGGTGGTGTGTAGTCGGGTGTTGTGTTGGCCACCCACCCTCTCGTGTGCCATACCAGCCATAGGTGCTGACTACCAGCCTTTCCCCAATACTATTTGTCGTGTGTAGTGAGTGACAGGGAGTTGTGTTGTATGATGTGTAGTGGTTTGTAGTACAAGGGCTTGTCGAGTCTGCTCTGTGTACTCCCTATCGTGTAGGTTACAAGCGTGTGTGTGTGTCTCCTTGTCCGTGTCTGCGCTTGCCCCAAAATAGGCCTGCTGGTGGGCACCCTGGACGTGGTGCTGGACTCGAGCGCCCGTATCAGCCCATACCGTGTGCTGCACCAGACGCCCGAGTCGCAGGTCTACTGGGCTATTGCCACCGGTGAGTGCCACTGAGAGCCCGCTAGGTTCACCATGATATCGTTTTTTCACGATGCCATATCGAATCAATTAACACAATATGAAGATTTTTACGATCTCACTTTACCATTACTCTGTACATGACATGTTTTGTGCTTTTCTTTACTTTCACCATGAATAAATATTATGTTAAAAGTCATTCAACTGTAATTCACTCAACCCAAGTTTGCTGTAATTATAATCATTGCAACATTACGATCTATAATGCTTAAAACACACAATGCGGTTAGTTACACAATAAATCATGAAGTCCACTGTGACAATATTTGAGGCCTACTTTAAGTTATGATGCAGGAAAACAAACATGTTTAATGGTGATAATGTAACAATTTATTCAGATAGTTAACAGCTTTCTTTGTTATTTCACAAATAATTTTCAAGAAATAATATATAAACAAAGAGCAATGTTATTGCAATGTTTAGCAAAAAACGGCCAATACTATTATCATGGAACTTATATCGTACGATCTACCAGTGTCACTGTCACGATGTTAAGGCAACCCTGGTGCCCACCCAGCATGAATCTATCAATGTTTATTTTACCTGTCAATATCGCCATCAATAAATTAGGCATAGATGCAAATTACAGCAGAATGGGAACAGTACAGGGGGCATAGAGCAACAGGAATGGTAATAGAATAGGAAAAGAAGGTTAAGTAGTAAATACAAATAAAGAATAAGTAAGGAAACAGTTTAAAATTTTAATTATAGATAACGTGGGAAGGCAAGCCGGAATAGCTTTTTTTTCTCGCACAGACCACAGAATTGAGGAACACTTCGGCGCGTTTCGGATGTCCGGTGGCGTTGCCGTACCTCCCTCCAAAAACGAGCCCGGGCAGTTCATCCATATTCTTCCATGATTACCTCCAGGCTGAATGTTCTGGAAAATCAAGTTTATAATTACTTCTTTGGTTCTTTCGGTAAAGTCACGTAGAATGAGAATAAAATAATAAAATAAAATAAGACAATAAAATTCTCACAACGTTTCGGCCACAACACAAGTAGCCTTCTTCAGGTGAAGGAACAGAAGAAGGCGACTTGTGTTGTGGCCGAAACGTCGTGAGAATTTTATTGTCTTGTTTTATTTTATTATTTTATTCTCATTCTACGTGACTTTACCGAAAGAACCAAAGAAGATTAATCCTTGCAGTCACGAAAGCTTTTAATCGAAATGTATCATTCCTATTTAAAGCTTTCGTGACTGCAATGATTCATCTTCTTTGGTTCTTTCGGTAAAGTCACGTAGAATGATAATAAAATAACAAATTGATAAAATAAAATAACACAATAATATTCTCACGACGTTTCGGCCACAACACAAGCGGCCTTCATCAGGTGAAGGGGGGCGAGACTGTCTGGTAGGACAGCGCTGGAGTGAAAGAGCCACGTTCAGATACGGCCTTTAAGCTGTGTGAGAGGAACAAAGCGCCTTGACAAAGGAATTAGCATATAATTTAGCATTGAAATGGCTGAATGATTAGCTTGTGACTGGTCACAGAAATAGCTATGTTAAAAGTTAAAGCATACACACCCGCAGAGGCACCCATTGTTAAAGGGATTAGCATAGAATTTAGCATTGAAATAGCTAAGTTAAGGCATACACATCTTGACAATGGAATTAGCATAGAATTTAGCATTGAGATAGCTGAGTGATTAGCTTGTACCTGCTGCAGAAATAGAGCTTGTACCTGCTGCAGAAATAGCTACGTTAAAGTCAGAGCATACACATTCACCGAGGCCCTTAGTACAAATCAAACAGGATAATTTAGCATTGAAATAACTAGGCAAATCTAGCATTGAAACAACTGAGTGATTAGCTAGTGACTGGTCACAGAAATGACTACACATCTGAGCTATTCACAGTACTATATAGTGAACCAATGAAAACTAAAATATAAATTACCTTCATGTTATCAATAAACTCTATATTCTCCAATCAGCTAAGAACAATAAGTCGTTATATATCACAATGCTATATGGTGAAAAAATGGGTGGATTCTTACCCTCAAATTTCAGCACCACGGATAGCTTAAGTCTCTCACCTTTCTGAAGAGATGCCGCGACTCTAAGCTATCCGTGGTGCTGAAATTTGAGGGTAAGAATCCACCCATTTTTTCGCCATATAGCATTGTGATATATAACGACTTATTGTTGGTAGCTTAAATGATTGGAGAATATAGAGTTTATTGATAACATGAAGGTAATTTATATTTTAGTTTTCATTGGTTCACTATATAGTACTGTGAATAGCTCAGATGTGTAGTCATTTCTGTGACCAGTCACTAGCTAATCACTCAGTTGTTTCAATGCTGGATTCGCCTAGTTATTTCAATGCTAAATTCTCCTGTTTGATTTGTACTAAGGGCCTCGGTGAATGTGTATGCTCTGACTTTAACGTAGCTATTTCTGCAGCAGGTACAAGCTCTATTTCTGCAGCAGGTACAAGCTAATCACTCAGCTATCTCAATGCTAAATTCTATGCTAATTCCATTGTCAAGATGTGTATGCCTTAACTTAGCCATTTCAATGCTAAATTATATGCGAATTCCTTTGTCAAGGCGCTTTGTTCCTCTCACACAGCTTAAAGGCCGTATCTGAACGTGGCTCTTTCACTCCAGCGCTGTCCTACCAGACAGTCTCGCCCCCCTTCACCTGATGAAGGCCGCTTGTGTTGTGGTCGAAACGTCGTGAGAATATTATTGTGTTATTTTATTTTATCAATTTATTATTTTATTATCATTCTACGTGACTTTACCGAAAGAACCAAAGAAGATGTATCATTCCTGTTTTGTTTTTCTTTAAGTACCAATATGCCTCAGAGGGCAGAGACTCACCGAGCTGATACTGTTGAGACTTGGGTACAAAGCGAGTTTTCCGCTGCCAACGATGGGTGCCACAGTGGCGAGATGTTAATTTATCTCGCCTGGTATAAGGAGGTCGTGAGTTTGGTCCAACCTTGACGCCTATATAATTAGAGTTTGTATGTTCTCCCTGTGGTCGTATGGAGTTTTGTCTGGGTTCTCCGGTTTTTCCCTTCACATTTATAATCAAGATTTTATGAGTATTTGGATGCTTTAAATGGCCATTATGATAAGCCACTTCTTTGAGCTATCATGTGTGGCCAGATTGCTTCTGACAAATAGCTGTATAGCTCAGTGGGCTTTACCTGATAAAAATATAGTTTAGATTAAACTAGGCCCTCAAGTGTAGTAAATTAATTGTCTCTGTCCAATCATCAATGACTACACAAAAACCCATCAGGTTATGTGTGGGTGGTCATTGGGTTTCTTAAGTCACATTCGGGGTTCAGATCATTGTCTCTAATCAATGAGGCCAGCATTCCAGATAAGCTTTGGGGTCTTTAATTAATTTACCCTCCAATTTTGGCACAATGTAAAATGCATTTTCAGGAGATAAAATGTAACATTGCCTTGAAGTAATTAGCAGTGTTCATAAATACTGGAAAATCTTTAATTCTTTTGTGTGGTTTATACATTGTATAGAGCCTTGCATATGCATTGCAATGTTACTTTGGGCTACTGTACATGAACTTGGTCTAACAATAAAACTGCGAAAAGGAAGTAAGAAAAATTGAGGAAGTTCATAGATGAGTGTCTTTTGAAACATTTTACTCCAATAGGCAACAGAGGCCAAGGCTCTGGGCCAGGTGTCGGCAACCTGCGATTCCGGAGCCACGTTCGGCTCTTTAATGATTGCTTCGTAACGTTATTTATTCAGGACCACTGTCTCGTATTCACATGCGTTGCGGCTTTAAAAATATTAATTTTTCTTACTGAATTCGAAAAAAATGGCTCTTGTTTTTTTAGTTGCCAACCCCTGATCTGGGCTATGAATAGAAGGGATATTTGACACAATTAATTTCTTGAACCAGAGCCCATGCCAACCGTGCTGCACCACTGGGTTCCAGGGATGCTTGAGTGTTGCAGAAAGGCAGTGCGTTGCTGCGCTGTGTGGTGCAGGAAGCTCTCGGCAGGAGGCAACGCGGCACTGGGATTGGCTGGAACAGAACCTGCTGCAGACGCTGAGCGTGTTCGAGACGGAGGAGGATGTCACGGAGTTCGTCAAGGGCAAAGTGCAGGTGGACACAACAACCACGCATGGCACTACACACGATGTTACTGCCCTACTAATATAACACAGGCAAAGATCCTCCGTATAGTCTTAACAGATTGTAGGGGCAAGTGCTGAAGGTCGGCATGGCACACGAGAGGGTGGGTGGCCAGCACCATGCCTGGCCGCCCTTGTCCCCCTAGTGGCGATGTTTACACACTGCACCAAGTAATAATTGAGGCTGAGTCGGCCTAGGGGAGGCCCAGGACCGCTTCAAATAATTATTACTGGTGTTTGCTGTGAACGCTAATCGAACCTGGGTTGCCAGATCCGTAGTGCAGCGCGCTAACTGCGACACCCCCGCTCCCCACAATATAACATGACACACTAAATCACATAAGAGTGACACATAATAGATATACATTAAATAACACAATACGCACACTGCACCACGCACGACATTACACACTACACTAGAGCTGGTGTGATTCATCAATTATTGGACGAAAAATTATAAGACTACTTATTTGTCGTGCATGTACAACACACAGACACGATACATTAACTTCTTCTTTCGTATGGCTGATGTAGATGCAAGCAACAACAAAAAATTCACATTCAGGTGGTCAAGCCTGGTAACCGCGTCAGGAGCAGTGGAGACTATAAACCAATACTAAACCAGAAACCACAACACTACACTAAACCACATTATAAACCAAACACCACAACACTACACTACAAATCAGGCCACCTAGGGGAGGCCACATGACCTGTTCGGATTTCATGCACCACTAAGGTTTGCCTTGGCTCGAAACTCAGGACTCCGAGTTTACTGACTGCTGCGACACTGCTACCCTCTTTGTCACAGACTAAACAAAAACAAATAAACCCCCTGTAATTTTTCGATTTAATGCTTTCGTGACTGCAGGGATTCATCTTCTTGGTTCTTTCGGTAAAGTCACGTAGAATGAAAATAAAATAATAAAAAATAAACATGTTTTATTATGTTTTATTTTTTATTATTTTATTTCCATTCTATGTGACTTTACCGAAAGAACCAAGAAGATGAAACCCCCTGTATTTAAACTAAAAAAACTATTCAAACTTTTTTATTTTACCAGGTAAGGCCCACTGAGCTGTGTATCTCTTTTTCAGTAGCGACCTGGCCACAAATGACAGCTCAACAAAGTGGCTTATGTGGGAATGTATAGCAGCCAAATACTCTTAAATGCAGTTTTCTAAATGTGGAGGGAAAAACCGGAGGACCCTGAGAAAAATCCACGCAACCACAGGGAGAACATGCAAACTTCAAACATATAGGCGTTAGGGTCGGGATCGAACCCACGACCTCCTTCATACCAGACAAGGTAGTTAACATCTCGCCAATGCAGCGCCCATGTATAACCTACATAGGTTGTTGGACTAAGTGCTGCTCGCAAGAACCTATTAACTCTGGCAGTGAGTCGTCCAAGGGCAAGCCCACAATGATTCAGATATCACTCACCATGGATGTTAGTTGTCGCCAGGAATGAAACCAGGGTGCTGCGTTCATAGCGCAGTGTTTCCACCACTCCGCCACCGCTCCCACTTTTGTCGCACACACGCTCACCCATGTATCCGCTCGGTCCCTTGCATCACAGGGTATAATGGCAGAGGAGGGGCGGCAGCGCGGCGGCACGGCCGGTGCGGCGGGAGCCGAGCAGGACTCGGACAAGTTCATGGAGGCCGTGGCCAAGTTCCGCAAGCTGTTCGGGATGCCCGAGGAAGAGCGCCTTGTCAACTACTACTCCTGCAGCTACTGGAAGGGCCGCGTGCCGCGCCAGGGCTGGCTCTACCTCAGCGTCAACCACGTCTGTTTCTACTCGCTGCTGCTCGGCAAGGAGGGTGGGTGCAGTCCCACACACCCCACGCCCCTGGGGTCGGTTGTAATTAAACGTTACGTTGGCGTGGAGGTGACCCGGTGGCTGAGAGGTCAGAGCACTGAACTGGCACCCGCTGATATACAGAGTTTGAAATGAGGTTTTAGCCGCCCATGGTTAAACTGGTTTCCCAAGCTGTAGTGAATAGAGGATGCTCAGCCCGATCAGCAATGAGTTGCATAGAGACCCATAAACTCACATGAAGACCCATAGATGCACAATGAGATTCATATAGAGACCAAGACACGTTTATAGACTTATGATTAAGCCGAGTTCCCAAATGTGGCGACTTGATGATGGTCTCAATTTGGTGACCAATCACGCAAAGTTTGGGCCTGCACTTAATTTAGCTAAATTTCAGCTCTGAGAATTTAAAATGTCAGCTTAATTGTCATGCGATCAACATTACTCTTTCAGTTGAAGAGCAGGTAGGAAAATGTTGCCCTCAAGTATGTAGACTAGACATCACTTGAAGGAAGTTTACTGATTATTTTTTTCTACTTTTTCATGCCCCCCCCATGTCCATTGCTGCTTTTTCATGGCCCATGCCACCCATGTGCCAACCGCCACCTCTTATTACACACTCCTGTCCTCACTCAATGCCACCCAACATATCCACCCATACCATCATATTCCCACTGTCTCTCCCTCAATCCCCACTGCCACCACCCCCATCTCGTTCCAAACCTTGCCCCACTGCCATCAGCCAAGCTAGTGGTGCGCTGGGCGGACGTGACGTGCCTGGAGCGCACCGCCACGGTGGTGCTGCCTGAGAGCGTACGCGTGGCGACGCGCGACGGCGACCTCTTCTTCTCCATGTTCCTCTCCGTGGGTGAGACGTTCCGTCTCATGGAGCGTCTCGCCGACATGGCCGTGCGCCGCCTGCTCAACAGCGGCGACGCCGCCCCGGGCCCCTCCGGCGCCTCCCAGATGGACGCCAGTGCAGGCGGCGGAAGTGGCGGCGGCATCGGCGGTGGCGGTGGCGGTGGCGGAGCTGCGGGCGGTGGGCTCGTTGGTGCCGGGTCCCTCCCCGGGAGCCTTGGGGCCGCTGCTGGTGGCGGTGGCGGCGCCGGGGGGGTGGGACCTGCGGGGGGGGGTGGCGGGGCGGGCGGCGGGGGCAACACGAGGTCCCCGCGCAAGGTGTCGGCGCTCAAGCGGTGAGACGCCGCCTTGTGTGACTTCTCGCTGCTGTTGTTGCTATAGTAGTGCGGGGTAGCCCTGGATTGGTGATGGGCAGAAGTGGGGTCCGTTATAATTACAACACCATTTTTAGCTGAAATTGCAAGTACAGTAACGTATATCTTTTCATTATGAATGACTCGGTAACAATTGATACATTGAGCGGATGGAGTGGGTGGAAGGGAGGTTCTTTTGGACGTGACTAGTTGATTGATCTGCGTACTTGAGTGGTTTTAGCCACACCCACCGCCTTGTGCACCGTACCGCTAATCAGCACTTGCCCAACAAGTCTGTATGGCTATGGGGAGTTCTTTGTTTTGTGGGGAGCTATGGGGTCTTCGTGCTAGAGCAATGGATAGCTCACCGCACTACGAACCCGGTGACTTTAGTTCCATTCCTCGCCACAGCTAACACAAGTGGTGAATGATTTCAGAACCAGTTGTGGGCCTCCCCTCAGCCAGCTCATCTTTAAATGAGTACCGCATGCAGTGGGTAAACATCAGCACTGGGAAAACACACCACTCCCTTGAGTGCAGTGCTCGCCTTCGTAAGTGCTCGCTAATAACACTTGCTCCACCAGTCTGTGCACGCTATATGGGTTTTTGTCTTGTGCACTTGTGTGCGTGGATAATCCTTGTCTCTTGTTTGTGTGTATGTGCGCGCCCTTGGGCATGCAGAGACCTGGATGCGCGCGTGAAGAGCGAGGCATACTGCTCAGCATTCCGTCTGCCCCGCGACGAGCGGCTCGACGGACACACGGACTGCACGCTGTGGCTGCCCTTCAGCAAGATGCACGCCGCCGGGCAGCTCTACGTCTCCTCCAACTACCTGTGCTTCTCCAGCCGCGAGGAGGGCCTCTGCAGCCTCGTCATCCCACTCAGAGAGGTGCGCAGGGAGGAGGTAGAGGGGTAGGAGAGAGCGGAGGGGCGAGTGATTGAGCAAGCGAGTGATGCGTTTTTAGCCAGTGAGCGCGTGAATAAATGGGCGAGCCAATCTCTCCTTTGTCGAGTGAACGAGCGAGGTCGTGCTACGACACATCATCGCCATTCCTTCCCTTCGTCGCCCCATCTTCCCCAGGTGACGGTGGTGGAGAAGGCGGACAGCTCGAGTGTGCTACCGAGCCCGCTGAGCGTGAGCACGCGTTCACGCACCAACTTCCTCTTCGCCAACCTGCGCGACCGCGCCTTCCTGCTGCAGCGCATCTCTGAGCTGCTGCGCAGCAGCTCCGCCGTGGGCAAGCAGCAGGGTGCCCCCACGCCAACCGCGGGCACGCCGTCCTCCCAGCAGGGCTCCCAACCGCAGCCCAACGGCGCTGCCACTGGCTCCGCGGCGTCTGGCGTGGATAGTCAGGTGCGCCACTGCCGCATACCCTGCGGTGCTGTCCACGTAGTTGTGAAGTAGCAGCGATAGCTGTGTGCATGTGTTGCCGTGTGGGCCATCGGGGTGATTTGATCATAATTTTCCGCGCTGGTCAGTGCGTTTTGGTGAAGGTGGGGAGCATAGTACAATACAGCAATGGATTTTGCTGCACTGCACAATCCAGTTAATATATCTCGCTTAACCTTCTCAGAAATAACTGTGCGAACCCCAACCTTAGTCAACCATTAATAATCAATTCCTCACTGTCTTCCTCTCTCTGGCTGCGTGGCACCGCTATTTGTTGATGCCACCACTCATGTTGTTGCTACTCCTGGTGCTGCTGCTATCCCTGTTGCTGCTGCTGTTGCTATAGAACGGAGGGTCAGCACCCAGCAACGCACCCCAGGAGACCACGGAGGCGTTGATGACCATGTTCCACCGCTCGGACAGCCACACCATTGACCTCAAGCAGGTACAATCACTGGGCACCACCCCCTCACTTCGTCAGTCACACAACGCTGCCCCCACGGCCGCCACTGAGCCAGTTCCACCTCTGCATGGGACTTAGGTATCCCCAGCTCTATGGGATCCCACATGTTTCAATCCAGGATGTTGTCTTAGCAGTGATGTGTTAATCTGTCCTGTCGTTGCAATTGCTGACATGGTCTCTGATTGTGTTACCGTCGCTGCTGTTCGTGCTGCTTCTGTTATTGGTTTTGTTGCTTGTGTTGCTGCTGCTGTCAATTGTTTTAAATGCTCATTAATGCATGCTGTTGTTTATCTGCTGCTTTTGCTTGTGCTGTTGATGCTCTGCTGTTGCTTCTCGCGCTGCTACTGCTGCCACTTCTGCTGCTCCTTGTCTGCTTCTGCTGTTGCTCTTGTTTATCTGCTTCTGTCACTTTTCCTGTAACTGCTGCTGTCCCTACCACCTTTTTGACCTCCTCTCCACCTCATCTCACCCACCCGCCACCTCCCCCCCCCCCCCCCAGGCGAAGGAGCTGATGAAGGAGGAGTCGTGGAGCATCCACTTTGCGGAGTTTGGCCGTGGCGTGTGCATGTACCGCACGGAGCGCACACGCGACCTCGTCATGCGCGGGATCCCTGAGTCACTGCGAGGGGAACTCTGGATGCACTTCTCTGGTGCGTGTGGGGCGATTGTGGTGGGAGGGGGGTGGCGGTCTTGGGATTGACGTGGTCGGACGTATCGCTTCCCGCACATATTAACTATGTTGATTGTGGAAACCCAAAAAATTTGGTGGAAAAAATACAAAATTTCACTCAAGATAACAAACTGAACAACGCGCAAAGCAACAAGTCAGTATTGACTCGTTGTTAGCTGCGTGTCCACGCTGCAGACAAGTCACATGCCAGGCAGTCTCAGTTTACGACTGCTATGTAGAAACTACACTCGCATTGGATTGTGTTCCAGAATTGAGGTGTAATCTGTGGTGGTTTCAGTCGTGTGCTTTAACTTTTCCATTGATTGAGTTGAGCGTGGCTACACAAAAAAAACCGTTGCATCTTCCTAGAAAAATTCGGCGGCCAGACCGTAAAACCCCGCGCGTGGCCCTGCGTTGAAAGGTGCGACCCACTGACCTTGACGTCTCCTGATGTGGCGCAGGCGCGATCCACGAGATGAACTCGTACCCAGGCTACTACGCGGAGATCGTGCGCAGCAGCATGGGCCGCATGAGCCTCGTGACGGATGAGATCGAGCGCGACCTGCACCGCTCGCTACCCGAGCACCCGGCCTTCCAGTCAGAGATGGGCATCGCCGCGCTGCGCCGTGTGCTCACTGCCTACGCACACCGCAACCCCTCCATCGGATACTGCCAGGTGACGCACAGATACAAGACAACGATCGCACGTGTAGCCTTAATAGACTTTTTGGGGGCAAAGCGTTGCTTGCGAGCACTCGTGAAGGCTGGAACGGCGCACGATGGGGTGGGTGGCCACCACCACGGCCGGCTGCTTTTGGCTCTCTCGTAACAAAGTTGACACATTGCACCTGGTACTCATTTGAGGCTGAGTCGACCCGCCGTGAGTGGGAATCAAACTCGGCTCACTGGGTTCGTAGTGTAGCGTGCCAACCACTGCACTGCCACTCCCCACGCACGCATGGGTGCATACACGCGCGCAAACGCACACAAACACACGCACACTGCAACTCCTGTTGCAGATACAGTACTGCCAGGTGCCATGCACACACATGTACGCTCACACACAAGTATATATTCATGCATGCATAGGTACGCACGCATTCACGTGCACTGCATTGTGTGATGATTTGCACAGTTTGCAGTGCTATTTATTGCGTCGCATTCATTGTTTTTTCAATGTGTTGTCTGCCCAATGCAATTTATGTTTACAGAGCGCCCGAAAGTCACAATGTACAATGACATGAGCAATGCAGCAGACATTGTGCTGCGCATGCTGCGAGCTGGACATCGCAGCGGTTTGACTGTGTCCCCCTCTCCGTCCCTTCGCCTACAGGCCATGAACATCGTGACGTCCGTGCTGCTTCTGTACACGAAGGAGGAGGAGGCCTTCTGGCTGTTGGTGGCTCTGTGTGAGCGCATGCTACCCGACTACTACAACACGCGCGTCGTCGGTATGTCCGCCACCCCGACCCGAATTTCCCTCCTCTCTCTACTCTGTCTCTTCCTCTCCATTTATTTATTCTGCTTCTTCTATGCTTGTTTTCTCTGCCTCCTGATCCTTCCAGACATCAGCCTGTAGTATAAACACCTGCTGTAGTTTAAACACTGCGTACTTTTGCTCGTGCATACGTACTCGTGCATGCTCGTGTGTGTATCCTTTGCTCGTGTGTACTCGTGTTTGTGAGTGTGCTGTACTCAATGCATACTCATGTGCTTGTGTGTGTGTCCTCTGCTTGTGCATACTCGTGCATGCTTGTGTGTCCTCTACTCGTGCGTGCTCATGTACGTATCCTCTGCTCGTGCATACTCGTGTGTGTGTGTGTGTGAATGCTTGCTGTACTCATGCGTAATGGTGTGTGCATGCTCCTGGACCAGTAGTGTAGCAGTTAACATGTTGTGCTATGAACCTGGTAACCTGGGTTCGATTCCCGCTCACGGCCAACTTGACGATTAGCTGAACCGGTTCTGGACTTCCCCTAGGTCGATTCAGCCTCAAATGAGTACCTTGTACAGTGCGTAAACATCGTCACTGGGGAGACAAAGGTGGTCAGGCGTGGTAATGACCACCCACCCCCTCGTGTGCCGTGCCTGCCTTCATAGGTGCTCGCTAACAGCATTTTTCTGTTCGCGAGCTGGTCTTCATAGGTTGCCATTGTGGGGGGGGGGGGGGGGTGGTTGTATGTGTGTGTCCGGCCAACACCAATCTGAACCGGTCCTGGGACTCGCCTAGGTCCACTCAGCATCAAACGAGTACCTGATGGGATGCATAAACATCGCCTCGAGAAAGACAAAGGCGGCCGGACGTGGTGCTGGCCACCCATCCCCTCTTGTGCCGTGTCGGCCTTCCTAGGTGCTCGCTAACAGCATTTGCCCCAACAGTCTGTTAAGGCTATACGGGGGATCTTTGTCTTGTCTTTGTGCTCCGGAATCCAGGAGCGCTTGTGGACCAGGGCGTGTTTGAGGAGCTGACACGGGAGCACCTGCCCCAGCTGTGCGAGCGGATGCAGGTGAACACACTCTGCAGCGCCAGTGATGGTGGTGCTGGCTGTGATGGTCCTGCCAATGCTGAATCATAGTGGACATGACGTTGATGGTGGTGCTGGTAATGAGCGTGGTGATGTGGATGACAATGTTGGCAGTGATGGTGATGATTATGGTAAATATGGTAATTACGATGAGAATAATGATGATTGTAATGATGGTGATGATGGTGAGGGGGATGTCAATGTTGGTGGTGGCTGATGGTGGTTGTAGTGGTGATAATGATGGTAGCGATGGTGATGATGTTGATGCTGGTGATGATAGTTGTGATGATACGGATGATCCTCCCTGGCAGGACCTGGGTGTCATCTCCACCATCTCCCTGTCATGGTTCCTCACGCTCTTCCTGTCCGTGCTGCCCTTCTCCAGCGCCGTCTGTGTGGTCGACTGCTTCATGTTGGACGGGGTGACTCACCCACCCACACTCTCACCCAAACACCCACCCACGCCCTCTCCCACCCACGCCCTCACCCACACCCAATCACCCACCCTCACCCACCCACCTACCAATCCCCTCACCCACCATTCCCCTCACCCACCCCAATCCACCATTTCCCTCACCCACCCACCCTCTTCCTCACCCATCCACCCTCTCACACAACCACCCAGCTACCCCCTCACACAACCACCCACCACCTCACCCACCCAAACCAACCCTCACCCACCCACTCACCTACCCCGCTCACTCGGGGCTGTGTGGTGTTTATCGCGTGCTGTGTGTTTGATGCCGGCACCTTGCAGGTGCGCATGATCTTCCAGCTGGCCCTGGCCGTGCTGCACGCCAACATGGGCAAGCTGCTGTCGTGCCACGACGATGGCGAGGCCATGACCATCCTGGGCAGGTGTGTGTATGCGTGCCCGCGCGCGTTTGTGAGCGTGTTTGTGCATGTGCATACGTGTGTAATTGTGTGCCTGTGTGTACGTGCGTGTATTTATGTGCACGCTCGCGTGTGCTTTTGTTCATGTCTGTCCGCGTATTTGTGTTGTGCGTAGTCGTGCGTTGCATGCTTGTGCGCATGCCAATGCATTGTGCGTGTTTTTGTGTGTGTGTGTGTGCGCGTGCCGGTTTATGTGAGTTCTCGTGTCCTCACAAGCGTGCGTGTGCATGCAGTTACCTGGACAGTGTCACCAACAAGGACAGCACGCTGCCACCGATAACGCATCTGCACGCGCTGCTGTCTGAGAACACCGAGCCTCAGCCAGAAGTGGACATCTTCCAGCTCATCCGCACGTCTTATGAGGTACGAGGCATGAACATGAGCATGTGTAAGTGTGAGCGTGTGTGCGCACAAGTGTGTTTGTGTTTTTGACCAGATAGAGGGATCTAAATGGGTGTGACACGGGCTAGAAAAGAGGTGGACTGATGCGGTACCGGAGTATGTGGAGCTCAATGGATTTGGCAATGACTGGTACCAGCGGTGTCCAGATCGGCCTCTAAGGAGGAGGCTCGTCAAGGACGCTATTGGGCAGTTAAAGGCAGTCACCCTCTGACATGGGTAGAGGAACGATGCTCACAACAACGAGCAGAGTGCTGGCCGGCTAAAATTCAGCAAGTTGGTACAGTAGGGTGCACAGCTGGTGCATCTGCCAGTCACCCATGGCACCTGGGTCTGTCCAGTGACCAGACAGCAAGCCTTCGACACTTAACGTGGCCTCAGAGTGCACCTGGCTGAAGCACTGTGGTGACGTCACTGCCACTTAGTGGTGAATGGCGGCTGTTGTTTTGTGCTTGTACAAGTGTGAGAGTTGGTGTGTGCAAGTGTGCTTGTGTGTGTGTTCAGTTTGAGTGAGAGAGTGTTTGTTCGCGTGTGTATTTGTATGTACATGTGTGTGGGTGTGGAATGGTGATGCAGTGGTTTGCACTTCAATCCCAGCAACTTGAGTTGAATAGCCAGCCACGTACACCGGCGACAATCATTCTTTGCGGTGACCTTGAAAGAAGTTCAGTGCTGTCATATTCCGGGGTCATTCTCTGACACAGGATGATGCACTGCTAGCTCAGAGTTCTGCATGGAAATGTCTTCATCTCGTGATGGCACCATTGGCACAGGTGGAATGTAATTTGGAGAAAAGGTAAAGAGAAGCTTTGTCACTGTGGTGCTGTTTCCCTGTGGCGGTTACTTTGCGGGGACATGGCTTAGTGGTAGCGCATTCACCACCTGTTGCAGAGGTTCATGGTTTGAATCCAGCGGCCGCCCTGGTTAATGCTGCGGGTGTAACAGTATTATTGCTATGCGCAATCCACTTCACAGTGGGCGCTAAAGATCCCTCGACGTGTGCCATTGTGTGTGGGCATCGGGGTCCAACTTTTGTCAAATTAAAATTACCTGCAAATGACTAATTTCGGATGACACACAGCAATCAGCACCCGCTACGGACAGACTAATATCCCAGGTCACTCTTGCAAATTATAATATATCCTGATCTGTTAAGTTTTCATCTGGCGATACAAAGTAAACTTGAAGCTTGAATGAGTATACGAGTCTGTTGTTGTTCCATGAGCTGTGACTCACTGCTGTGGGGCGCTGTGTGGTGTGGCCTGCAGAGGTTCGGCTGCATCCGGGCTGAGGTGATAGAGCAGATGAGGTTCAGGCAACGTCTGAGAGTCATCCAGACCCTCGAGGACACCACCAAGAGAAACGTTGTAAGACCCACAAACAACCTCACCACCACAAGCATCTCACTCATCATTGACCAAACCCAAGAGCGATTAGAGTTCTTAAAATTATAGCATTAATCATAATTTGCCGATTATTATTCAATCACCCTCAATGTACTTGATCCCATCACATCTTAGAAACGAAACAGACACTTGGAAGATGCTGTTACTGGTTAATATTTGGATGCAAGACAGCCTGGGAATGCCGGATGTCGTAGGCGTGGGGTGCGAGGTGGCCAAGAGATGGCACTACAGCAGTGGCTCTCAACCTTTTTTAGCTACTGTACCCCTTTTGATTTAAAGCTTTCGTGACTGCAGGGATTCATATTCTTGGTTCTTTCAGTAAAGTCACATAGAAGGGAAACAATAAAATAATACAAAACATTCAAATTCTCACGAAGTTTCGACTGCAACACAAGCAATCATCATCAGGTGTGAAAACCACAGCAAGAACATTTTGAAAAAGTGGCGTTTTTTTTTAACGTTCGCACCACGGAGAGCAATTTGGCAGTTATTCAGATGGACGAGTCCATCTATGTTCGGAAAAGGAGAGGGGAGACGAAAATAATGGATGCCGTCTGAAAGCCTCCGTAAGCGTGAACAATCAATTAAGACCCAAAATGGTTGATCAAATCCTTCCAATGATTGCTAAGCCAGAATCCATCTTCTCTGTTGAAATTGTCACTGTGTTTGTATATGTGGATAGCCTCATGAACGAATCTCATGGTAGCCAGATGGCTTGCAGAGAACCTCTGTCTTGGAGAAGTCAATGTCATGTGAGCCAACTGAATTATAACAGCGATCTGCCACGGCTGAGGTGTTGGTCCTACCGTGTTTTAGGTCTGCTTTGTGTTCACGGATGCGGTTCGAGGCATGTCGTTTGGTTTCTCCAATGTAACTACTACCACAGAGGCAACTTAGTTTGTAGACGCCAGGTTACTGTATGTCCGGAATCACATCTTTTACAGACGGAACCAGATCACGGATTTTATGTAATGTGTTGAATCGGACCTGGATCTTGTGTTTATTCTAGATTTTGGAGATCTTTTTTGTGATCCCCGCAATGTACTCCGCCTTAAATGAGGACCTTGAACATCAACCTTGTGGAAAGAAATGCGACCAGACATTCTGCGCCATGTAGACCATCATAGTTGCTGACTAACAGCACTTGCCCCAAGAGTCTGTGCAAACTGTATGGTCTTCTTAGCTTTGTCTGTATCTTTGTGTCAGGTTCGCTCCATCATGACTGAGACTCAGTTCACTCTGGAAGAGCTAGAGGAACTCTTTGTGCTCTTCAAGGTGGGACCATTGCACTTGACTGTGCCGATCACCATACCGCACCACACCACTCACATCATCCACCACTCACCACACAACACCCCTCATACCAAGTACATTATTACACCACGCTCTGGACACTGTGTACCCCTCACTACATCCCATGCACCACACCCCTCGCACCAAGTACATCACTAGATCACACTCTGGACACGGTCAGCTTCACCTGCTTTCTCTCAGCGGTAGCCATTACACTCCACTGGTGGAGAATTACTTGAATCATTGTACAGCTGCTCAGCCCTCTATGCTGCTGCTTCCCCCTGCGGTCCCCCCATTCCCCCACTCCTGTGCCTCCGCAGTGGGAGCACCTGCGCAGCTGTTACTGGGGAAGCGCCGCCGCTGCCGGCGCTGGCGCTGGCGGCGGCGCTGGCGCCGGCGGCGGCGATGGCGACGGCGGGAGCACGGCGGTGCCAGTCAGCGAGCGGCACGACCCGAGCCTGCCCTACCTAGAGCAGTACCGTGTGGATGCGGCGCAGCTCCACTCACTGCTCACAGCGCTGTCGCCGTGGGTGCGGGGGCCGCACCCCCCGCCACTCGCGCCGCGCCTCTTTCGCCTGCTCGACACCAACCGCGACGGCCTCATCAACTTCAAGGAGTTCGTGAGCGCGCTCGGTGAGACGCTCGCCGCCGCGGTGACAGCGACGACGAGGGGAACCCAACGTGAACGAATCTTGGAATAGATGTTTGCATACAGCAACAAAGACCAAGGATCCCCCGTATAGACTTTTGACGACTGTTGGGGCAAGTGCTTTTTGCGAGCACTAATGAAGGCAGGCGCACAGCACACGGTGGGGTTTGTGGCCGACATCATGTCCGGCAGCTTTTGTCTAGGCTAGGCGAGGCCCAATACCGTTTTTTTTATTCGCCACTGTTTTTGGTCGTGAGCGGGAATTGAACTCGGGTCACCGTTTCCATCGCGCAGTGCACTCACCATGGCACTACCGCTCACCACTGTACTACCGCAAACTGTAACACAGATAAAAGCCTGCGTGTGTGTGTTTTCAACAGGGATAATGTACCATGGAGACCTGACCGAGAAGCTGAAACTCCTCTACAAGTTGCATCTTCCTCCAGGTAACATTGGTTTGTACTTGGTAATGTTTGTTTATACAGTAAACTTTTGCCAGTGTGTCTGAACATTTGTTAGTGGATACATGTACACGTTGCGATGTGTATATGTATGTATATGTGTGGGGAGCGGTGGCGCAGTAAGTAACTCGCTGCACTACGAACCTGGCAACCCGCGTTGGATTCTAGCTCATGGCCAACTTCAGTGGTGATTATCTGAACTGCGTACTGGGCCTCAGCTGAGTACCTGGTGCGGTGTGTAAACATCGCCAATCGTAGTGCTGGCCACCTATACCCTCGTGTGCTGTGCCGAGCCAACCTTTGTAGGTGCTCGCTAACAGCATTTGCTTTGGCGAGATGTTAAATACCTCACATGGTATACAGGAGGTTGTGCGTTCGATCCCAACCCTGATGACGCCTGCTGTATATTTGGAGTCTGCGTCTCTCTGTCGTGGTCGTGTTGATTTTTCTCCAGGTACTCCGGTTTTTCCCTCCACATTTCGAATCAACTTGCATTACGTGTATTTGGTTGGTATAAATTTCCACTTGATAAGCCACTTTATTAGGCCGAAAAATAGCTTTATAGCTCAGTGGGCCTTACTTGGTAAAATAAAAGTATTTTAAAAACTTGTAGTTTAACTCGCCACAAAAATCTGTGAATGCTACATGTGGGATCTTTGTCTTTGTTGTGCAGCTCTCAGTCCCTCGGAGCACGAGGAGACAGAGTCAGCGCTGGAAGCCACGCGATTCTTCTATGAGGACATCACGCCATGCACCCCACAGCACGGTAGGAGCGTCGGCCTGCTCGCGGTGGGGCCGGAAGGGTCTATGTGTGTGTGGTTGTGTATATGGCTGTGTGTGTGTGTGTTGTGTCATTGTTATGGTTTTTTGTGTGTATAGTTAGTTTTACGCGTGTCTGTAGATCAGTGGTACAAGGATTAGCATAGGGGTTGGCATCCTGGGGTTCCGGAGCCGCATGCGGCTCTTCAAGGACTGCTTCATGACCTTATTCATTATGGACCGTCTTATATTCACGTGCATTGCGGCTCTTGAAATAGTGAGTTTTATACAGAATTCGAAAAAATGGCTCTTGGTATTTTGGTTGCCGACCTGTGGATTAGCACATCGTGTGCTAATAACTATTCTCCGCCATGCTCAGAAGTGGAACATGATTTCCACACCTGTTCTGGGCCTCTTCTGGGTCAACTCAGCCATAAATGTATATATTAATAGTGTACAAACATCAGCACGAGGGAGACAAAGGTGACTTAACATGGTCCTGGAGGGGTAGCGGTGACAGCACTTGGTCCCTGTGGTGGTGGTTGTTGCGGTGGTTGTGGTGGCCTTTGTGAAGCTGACAGTCGTGGGTAGTTGGTGTGGTCTTTGTGGTGGGTGGCGGTGGTCATTGTAATGGTGATTGTGGTGGTGACAGTTGTGGTGGTCTTTGTGGTGGTCTTTGTGGTGGTGTTGGTGTTGGTCAATCATTCAATAAAGCCTTTATTTCTATAGCACTATTTTGTGCAAAAGATGCAATTCATAGTGCTGTACAGATATAATAAAACATTGTTAAAACACTAAAGTGCAAGAACAATAATATAAATTTCCATACAAACAAAATTTCATCATAATAAATTTCTATCGAAGGCATATTAAAAAAACACTATAAAAGAATCTTAAGTAAAAGCAAGTTTAAAAAGGTACGTTTTTAGATTTAACTTAAAATTGCTTAATGATTGCAAAGCCCTCAGATCCCCTGACAGGCTGTTCCACAGGCGAGGACCATGCACACTAAAGGCCGCTTCTCCGTGAGTTTTGGTCCTGGCCATTGGGACGACTAAAAGATCGGAACCAGAGGATCTGAAGGATCTTGTTGGTTCAAAATCATGTGATAATGCTGATAATAGTGACCTCTCGTTTGAGCTCATCAGTGAGCTATACCCACTCACAGACTTCCAGTAGCCGACAGTATCACATTGGCCCTAAGTAAGGGTTATTATTGAGCCATTGCCTGGTTACGCTCAACACCCAGTGTGCTTCTCCCATACATTTACCACTGCGACCTACACCACGACTACAGTACAGGTATTAATAGTCTCTCGATGACAGCGCCTAGTCCAACACAATCTAGCCAGGTTAAGAAAGGCAGCCTTTGCGTGTAACACATCATCGACGTCCATCAGCCAATCCATTGTTGGATGAAGGGCTCAGCAAGCCATCGCCATCTCTTACGGTTCTGCGATGTTAAAATCCGTTTAGCACCACCAGCACATGAGCGGCATTGATCGCTCCCATCTCCTCGGTGGACATCCTCTCGGTTGCATTCCCTCCTTTGGCCGTCACTCCATCGTTTGTTACGACCATCGGCAATTGTCCCTTCTAGCGACGTGTCCTTCCCATCACTTGCTGCTCTCATTGCTATTGTGCTGTCCTGTTGCAGTGTAAGGTACCGTGCACCGGTGTGTGTTGTGCTGTACGGTGCTCAGCTGTGGCATGCAATGAATACTCATTAATTAGCCGAAAACATCGTAATCTATGCTGCTCTATGTTTGCAGATTGTGCAGCGATGTGTGATGCATTTGCGCAAATTACGCTATATAAAGATTCAATATTATTTTTGTGGCGTGGCATGTGCTGTATCGAGCCGAGTTGTGCTGTAGTGTGCTGCTGCATGCTAGCTTTCACGCTAACAGAATTGTGCACCGTTTTTTTCCCATAAGCATGTGTGCCTTCCTGTCTCTCTCTCTCTGCTGCTCTCTCTTCCTCTTGGTCCCCTTCTTCTGAGTGCATGCGTCTTTGTCGCACTCTTGTCGCTTCACTATTGCTTGCCTCTTCCTTTATCCGTCCTCCTTTGTGAAATTTCCTGCCTTGTCTCTCCCTTGTTTCTGTTCTCTTTCCCACTCCTTCCTACACGCCATCTCAACTTCTCTCTTAAAGACGAATCCCTTTTTCTGCCTTTCCATTTCTTCTTTTCCCGATCCGCAATCCCTGACTGTGCTGCTCTCCTCCCTCCTCTTCCTCTCTTCTTCGCTTCCTGTCTATTGCCCTGTCTTACTCTCGTCTCTCTCTCCCTTCCCCCCGCACCCCCTCCCTCCCCCCCCATCCGCTGCCGCCTTACCCCATTTTCCCCGCACGCCCAGTGGGAGTGCCCAAGCGGGCAGGCGACGCTTACAGCGACCTCGACATTAACACCCCCGAGCACAGGGCACTGTGGCACTCTCGTGGTAACGCAGCCGCCACCGCACGCCCGTACCCCACAAACTCCCCCCCCCCTCCACGTCACCTGACACTGGGCCCACCCGCCCCGTACCTGACCCCTGACCCTAACCCAGGGGTGGGGAACCTGCGTCCCACGAGGGCTCACGACCTCACTTCGCGTGAGGTCTACCACTTTGAAACGGCCCACAAACAATATTTATCCATCACTTGGAGGCATCTTAGCGGCACTAATCGGGGTACTAGAGGGGAATATTTTCAATCTGGCGACACCGTGTGTCTGATTTTAGTGCGCTCAGTCACTCGTTGTCTGTTGTTTTTCTGGTCATGCTAAGAACACAGTGCATACAGTCCTAGCCTGATCAATGTTTAGTGTCAACCGATGTGTGGCCCGGCAATGGTATTTGAAAGTCCCATGGGACCCTCGCTAAGGAAAAGGTTCCTCACCCCTCCCTTAACCCCCCTCATCCCAGCAACCCTTGATCCCCTCCAGCCGACACTGAGCACCCTCCGCCCAACCCCAGCTGCCGCGTGATAACCTCCGCGAGACGACCACCTAATGAAACACTAACGCTTGAGTGGGTACAGCTCACTAACTCACTAACGTAATGCCCTAACCAAGGAGCACCGAGGCTGTTGAGAGGTCATGCCGACCAGCTGTTATAAAACCAGGTAACTGGCTGTTAATGAACCAGATAATGGGTTATATGGAACAAAATTACGGCTCTTACTGAACCAGTTGGCAGCTATTAACCAGGTAACCAGCTACAATAGGACAGCTCTTAACTAGATGACCTTCTTCGACTAAACATATGTTAATCAAATGACACTCTCTTCATTGATCGGGCGACCGTCTCGAGTCAATCAAATGACAGATCCCACTGAACCGGATTATTAGCTCCAACTGAACCAGATGAGCATCAATTCTAGATTTTAAGTTTTCGTGACTGCAAGGATTAATACTCTTTGTTTTTTTCGGTAAAGTCACGTATGAGCACCTCTAGTGAACTTAATGGAAGGTTTTGCTGGACCAAATGATTGGCTGTCTTACCAGATTGCAGTTTCTCCTGAACCAGACAATTGGCTCTGACTGAACCAGATGGCAGTGTACACTGAACCAGATAACTTGCTTTTGATGAAACCAATAACTTGCCCTTGGCACTTGCTAAATGCTCTGGATAACTTAATCGCTGCTCCGTAGTTACCTCTGAATTCTATCCGGATGAACTTCTGAGTCACCCTGATGCTTACCCGTACCTCGCTTAAATCGGTTCACTTGCTTGCTGCTGTTGCTGCTATTGCTGTTGATCTGTGTGTGTGCGCGCGTGTCTGTCCGTGCATGTACACACAAGCATAGAGCACCCGGTAACACACTCCTTGGGCTCTATGCGAATGCCTCTTCACGTGCTCCGATTCCGTGTAAGACGCTAGTCTGTCACTTTGGTAGAATCGTTTATAGCTCACTGTGTGCATGCGTGTGTGTAAATGTACCTGTTAATTGTTGCGTGTCCCCATTGGTGTCACCCCTATGTGTGCAATGCACCCGCCTATCCACCCGTTTGAGTACCTGCATACATGTGTATCCACCGACCAATGTGCATTTGTACATTTGTGCATTTGTCCTTGTATGTGTTTGTACCTGTGTCTGTATCTGTACATGTATGTAGCTGCATACCCTTGCCTAATGCCTGTGTCTGTGTGTCTATGTCTGTATGTATGTGCGTATACCTGTGTGCTTGTGTATGCGATATACTTGTGTACTTGCCTGCCCTTGTGTTCATGTGGTCGTGTACCTATGTGTTCGTGTACTCGTGTACACTCATGTTCTCGTGCCCGTGTACCTGCATGCCCGTTTACCTGCGTGTTTGTCTATCCGTGTGTCTGACTACCTATGGACCTCTGTGTCGTCTGAATATTCACCCATCCGTGTACTCGCGCGTCTGCATCTCCGTTTGTTTATATGTCTGTGTACCCGCGTGTCTGTGTACCCGCGTGTCTGTCCCCCCCATGTATCCATGTACCCGCGTGTCCGTGTACCATGTACGCGGATGCCCGCGCCCCAGGGATGGTGAGCGACGTGGACGACGCTCACCTGGCAGAGTTGACTGAGGGCTCCTTGAGTGTGGACAACAAACGCATAGACAAAGGTGCATCATCATCATAGTCCTCATCATCCTCATAGTCCTCATCATCCTCATCATTAGCTTCATCATTACCTTTATCATGCTCAGCATCATCATAATCTTTGAAAGTCATCATCTTTTTTATCATCATGTTCTTCATCATTATTGTCATATCACCCTTGTCATCATCATCGTCGCCATTGCCATTCCTTTGTGCGAGGCCGCACGCCGGCCTCCGCCTAACGTGCACTCGCCGACACAGGCGGAGCGGAGGCCAGGGACTACCGCTACTACCTGCGCAAGTGGGCCCAGGAGACAGAGCTCAAGAAGGAGAGCATCAAGGACTTGCCCAAGATGAACCAGGTGCGTTGTCGCCTGCAGCGTGTGTGTCTGTCAGGCATGCAACGGTGCAGCGACTGTACACGTCGATTATTCTGCGCACGATACGCGTGTCAACAACCTGCAGGTAAACATATATTATTTTCAATACATATACGTTGTATGCATGGCAAAAATTAATCTGTGAATTGAATAGCAAGTGTGAATTTTAACAATTCCTCTCCACGTGTATTCAGGTGTTCGGGTCCATGTACAAATTAGGAATGCGTTTCCGATTTTCTTATTAATCTGAAAATCTTGCAAATCGGGTTAAGATATATCCAAATTTTCGGATGCAAAAATAAACGAATTGTTCTGAAAATCCCAGCCTTAACAGGTGCACGGGGAACCACACTTTAAGAGTGACGCACACACATGCGCGCGCGTACTAGTACACACAATCACAAACATTCACTCCTCTCACCTTCTTGGCCGCCTTAACATCCCCACCCAACCACAGGAGCAGTTCATCCTGCTGTGCAAGACCCTGTACTCACTGTTTGCGGAGCATCCGCACGAACAGCAGCTCTACCACTCCATCGCCACGGTGGCCAGCCTGCTGCTGGAGCTCGGCGAGGTCGGCAAACGCTTCAGCCAGCACCGCAACCGCACCGCCGGCAACGCAGCCACCGCCGGCAACGCTGCCTCCTCCGGAAATGCCGCCGCCGCGATAAACCTCACGGCGAACAGCACAGATGACAGCATCGACCGGATGGTGGACGAAATGGCGGAGGAAGTGGCCTCGGCGTCGGACGTTGCGATTGGGGGCGGCCAGGAAGAGGCTCCGTCGATGCCGCGCAAGGACGAGCGCGACCGCGCGTCGCTCAACAACCTCGTTGTGTCGGACGACGAGTTCAACTCCAAGGACGACACGTCGGTGTCGTCCTACTCTGTCGTGAGCGCCGGCTCCATCCCCTGCTCGGACGACGGCTGCTCCTCTGACGACGGCGCCGTCGTGCTGGTGGCACCTACCGCCGAGGGCTCGCGCCGGTCCAGCGGTAACGGTGGGGGGGAGGCTGCGGCCGGCGGTTCCTGCCCTCCTCTAGCCGCTCCTGCAGCTGCAGGCGCTTCATCGTCGTTGGCGGCAACGGCGGCAGCGCCGACGCCGCCGCGGCGGTCGCCGGCTCGCGGGCGCCCCGACCGTGAGTGGGCCGTGAGCTTCGAGCAGTTCCTGGCGTCGTCACTGACGGAGGCGGCGCTCGTGTCGTTCTTTGAGGAAACGCCTGCGCCTGGCAGCCTCATGGAGCGCGTGCGGTCCGCCAAGACGGGCCGTGCCATCCCCGAGTGCCCCTCGCCATCCCCGACCACTGCCGTCGACGCCGTGAGGTTTCCCGGGGATGGCCGGGCCGTGTCGCCAGGGCAGGGAGAGTCCGGTGATGGCAAAACGCCAGGCCGCGGAAGCCCCGGTGTTGCCGATCCCTTCGCTGCCAGCCTAGCGGTTTAGAAGTTCTACTCAGGCATTGGGTAAGCTAGAGAAGGGGTGACGAGTGAGAGGAGATTGTATACGGGGGGAGGGGGGTCAGAATGTAAAAGGCAGAGTTAGGAGATGAATATAGGAACTTGAATGAATCAGGGCTTCAGTTTGGCCTCCATTTCATTCCAGTGTTGGTGAAGTCCTGTCCAACATTCCCTTCATGCCAAGGTCGTAGGATAGGACTGTGTAGCATTGTCTTGAGGCAGGGGGTGGGACCGCAGCAGAAAGTGTGAAAAGGGTTGATCGTTGTATTGTGAATGGTGGGATGTAATGAATGTTAGGTTTGTTGCAAAACTTTGTACGTTTCTCTGTTAGTGATCATAGCCTTTGAGACGGACGATTCTCTAGATACCAAATGTTAATCTCCTTGTTGGAAGTTGCGCTGTACCCTGGAATTTTTTTTCTCCGTATGCCGTTATACCATAAGTATTTTCAGATCCGAGAAGTTCTTTCAGATTCCGATTGTTGTTTTGAATCCTGTAAATTACTCAAGATTCTGCAACGTGCTCTATATTCCGAATGAATTTCCTGAGAATCTCCGAAGTTGCTCCAGATCCCGGAATGCAAATCTGTCTCTTATAATCTGCGCTGTGCAACTGCCTTGCCAATGCTCTCCTGCTGACCAACCAACATTCATCGAGTTCAGAAGGCAAGTCCAATTATGCAACATTGATTGGCTTTTGGAGACTGGTCCGATTAGATATCTTTGATCTGGAATATCAACTTCTTATTCGAGCTTTTTACTCGGCATTCAAATTGATTTGTGTGCTCATTATAATTGCATTGAATCGTGTGTGTAAGAATCGATTATGTACCATTTTCGGTAATATATGCAATGATATGCTCATTTAGGCTAACAGAAATTTATTTTTTTTGCAAAATTGGACAAAAAACTAAGTTGGTAAAAAGTAGACGGAAATGGAATGTATTTAATCGACAAATGAAATCGCTGGGAGAATGAACTGTGACTCACAGTTCTCAAGGTCCGATCTCTGAGATCATAATCTGATCTCGGAGATCGATTAAGTGAGAGAGTTTGACCTGATCCACAGGGCTCATTTCGATTCAATTGCACAGTGACTTCATTTAGTGTTTCTTCTCTCGTAAAACTGCACGCTGCGGAGACCACTGTTTTTGTTTTATTTTAACCGAGCTTTTTGGTAATCAGCTAATTGCTCAATCACAATTAACTATCGGTCAAAGAAAACATAATCCCGCTCGTATATAAATTATGTGTTTTTTTTTTCACCTGAGATAACATGTACAGATATAATCGTAAATATTAACAGTGATGTGAAGCGTACAAATTGTCTCCACGTAGAGGCTATGATGATATTGTTAATTGCACCATGACAAAATGCTGTTTGCTCAAGTGAGTTGAGGGGGTTGAATTCCTCCCAGCTCCTCAGCTCCGCGCGTTCCAACCCCCACCCCCCCCCCCGTCATCAGTAGAAGACTCGAGTTCATCGGTGGGCCGATAAACCGCACGCTGCTTGGTGGAGTTTACCCACCGCTTCTGCGTCCCGTGCCGGTTCACGGTTAGATGGCCCACGGTCCGATTTCGGCTACGGCCACAAGCTCCACGTAAAATGAAGAGGGAAGTGTTGATTTGATGATCATATCGTCAGTATCATCATCACCAATTGAAGCACGCCTTCAGCTGTCTAGTGCCACTGTAGTCAAGTTTCAAGTTTACAAATTCAACACTAAAATTTGATAGAGTAACTGTTACCATGACATTGAGGTCAAACGGGTAAACTTTCACATGTTAATACTTGTCAGTGGGAATGCAAACCGTTAACTAAAGAACATTTAGTCGCAATTGAATTTTTTTTTCATCTGTTAGGTTCTGAAAACTCACTTTCCCAATTCCAGTTTATCGGCTCCTTTAGGTGGGCGAGAGGACCTCCTGATGGGAAGCGAAGCCATGGTGGCATGTGTGCTTCTCTCGCGGAAACCGCGCACAAGCAGTGATGTTACACGAAGATCGAAGCTGCTGGACACACACAACGTGTTGCGTGTTCCTTTTATGTCCCCAGCACTAACCACAAACCTTACCCCAACTATCTGTCTTGCTCTACAATGAACACTAGCTCTACCATCGCAACACGCACAACTCTCCTTCGGTTCAGATTCTAACGTAAACACAGGTCCTGTTCACAATTCTAACCAATCCTATCTTTAACACGAATAGCCACATTCCTAGCCCTATTACACTAACCACATTTAGACGTATAACCCTAAACCTTAAGAGGAATTCTAAACCTTAAGTAAAATTTTCGCATGAGTATAATTCAAGCATTCATTTAACCATAATCACAACTGCCACCTTTGCCCTATTCCCAGAACTGGTGACAACCTTGGCCATAAACCTATCTATGAGCCTGCAACATAAAACCATTACATTTATTTCATTTAATCAGGCAAAGCACCTGACACCACTCATTGTTCAGAGAAACGTTCACTGCAACACGAGTAACACCTTTTTAAGTAAATGATACAAACCGCTTAGAACACGTTTTCTGAACAATACGGCACCTTGATGATATTTTTTGCAACTTTGTAAGCGAGATTAATCGTTTTTTCTCCCCACACAGGTGGTTTTCTCAAATAGGCTTTGTTTCTTTCCCATGCATCATGGCACTGCGGTTCTGTGCCTCTGCCTTAGCGTCTGATTTAGGAGCCGACTCCAGCAACACCTCTCCCGTGTGTAACTCAAACTACTCAAAGTAAACTTCTGCTGCGCAAAATCAAACTGAGCCAAGGCCGACGATGCTGCCTTCCCTTGCCCTATTTCCATGACCATTTCCAATTTGGCTAGACCCTTCCCAGTGCCAATGCTGCATTGAGGCCCCAACATTACAAGCGGTCTTAGGATCTCTGCAGAATCTACCTGGGAGTGTGCAACCCATGGCCTGTGGGCTGGCCACAACTTGTGGTGAGGTTTATACCGGCGCACAAGCAACAGGGTGTGTGAATACACGTCAAACTACTCGATGTGCTCTGTTGGCCTCGGACAGGCTTGCACGCCCACTTTTTTCTCTTGAACCTGGCATCACGTTTGCGAGGAGCTTCTGAATGTAGCCCATTCTCCACAGAAAGTGGCACAATCCTAATATAAACTTTTCTTTTCATCAAGAACCTAACATCCAGCTTTATAAACTCACCCAAATTACTCTGCAAAGCTTAACACCAGAAAAGAAAAAGCAATCCCACAACTGAAAAGCCAAACATTACACTATGAAGGAGGGGAAATCAATTTGTGGAACACACTAGCCAATCAAATGTAGCCCTACACCTAACCAAGTAGATAATCTCCCACTAACTAGTACTGTACTGGTACTTTCATGTCTCTAAAAACCCTTCCCCTAACCTATCATGTGCACATTTTGTTATTGATGGGTCAGTCACTGGGTTGCGATGGGCAAGATGAGAGGTGCTGAGATGGTGGACTGATATGGAGGCTCCTTTAACTCCAGTTCCAGTTGTGATCTCGCTCCTGTTGTCTTTGTCTTGTTTTAAGCTCGTTGTGACTCCATCTTTAAATTCTGTCCAATTTCTGCTCTGTCCATTATCCACATCCGGTTCCAATTGTGGCTCTTGCTCTGACTTCGAATGCAGCCCAGCTCTAGCAGTGCCTCATGTTGCAATCTGGTTTTAGTCCAGTTACAGCTTTGGCGTTGTGATCTTTTTGTGATCGTGGTTTGGTTCTAGACTGGTTCTAGTCCAGATCTGGCTGCACCTTTGCTCAAAGAAAAAGTTTGTGGAAACATAATTTGTGTCTCATGTGCTACACGACGAATGTGGCTGCTGCACGTGACATTCAGCCTTGAGTAAATGACGCACAAGAGGGATTTATGTTATGGCCCAAGGTTTGGAGTCGGACTTAAAGCACCTTTAGGATTCTTAAGGTTCAGTGTTATTGCCTGGGCTAGGAGTGCCATACTGAAGCAACATTTAGGATTCTGAGGGTTCATTGCTCATGCCTGGAAATAGGTCAGCCGAGACTAGCACCCTCAGATTTCTTATGGCCTGTTGTTAAGATTAGGGTGCCCTTAGGTTCCCGAGGGGTCAGATAACCTCTTGCATTGGGATTGTTCATTCGGGCATGTCACAACCGCTACACCTTCGTGTAGATGCACCTTTAAACATCGTACCTTATTAATCATTACGGTTCTTTGTACATCATATTAATGTCGGCCTCTTGTTATTCATAGCAAATGGCACATGAACGTTAATTAAACTCTTAAAATTATATCTAAAGAGTACAAATCCTGGTCTGCCTTTGTTTTGTGTGGTGGGAGACTGTAAAGGCTGTATGCGTGTGTATGGTTGGTTAGAAGAGGGGTGGACAAACCTGAAATTTGGACTGATGAATAGGTGCATCTGGAACCAAGTGAAAGAGAAGCAGGAAGACTTCGAGCTGAATGGATACATGAGGAAGAGGGCCTGCAACTGAGTGGACGGATGAGTAGCAGGACTTTGAAGCCCCTCCTTGTGGGGAGGAGGTTCATTAATAGCGCCCCTCTTTTTTACCTGGAGTTGTACTCCATCAACAACATCAGGAGGTAGAGGAGCGCAAGGCTTACAACGATGAACAGCATCAAGCGGTTAAAGACAACCAGGACACCTTGCCAAGAGGGTTGCTTTATTGTCATTGTATTTGTAATCATATGTCCTACATTGATGTAACGACGGCTGAATAAAGATGTGGCTTGGTGAGAACTTGTCAACTTAGATATCATAAGACTCCAAGCCCCATCTTCATGTGGCGTCTTAGTCGCTTCGGCATCATCTGATGCTTCTCCGAGATCACCTGTAAGAATTGGACGTCGCACAGCGATTCGCTATCGTTTGCAGTATCTTAGGTGAGTGACTCGGTGAACAACCCTGTACAAAGCGGGGTGGTCCACAGTTCAGTGTTGGATGAGAGATCTTAATTGAAGCAACTTATAAAGTAGTCTAGGGCAGTGGTTCTAAACCTTTTTTGGCTAATATACCCCTTGTTGACTCAACATGGTTCTGAGAAATAAGCGTATGAATGATGAACATCAATATATTAACCAATTGGCCTTTTGTGAGGTATCCTAACTAGTAACTGCTAGCGAATATAGACAAATTCAACTAACGTTCTGCATGCGTTCTGTCATTTGTTCACACTCGCTGGTTACTCTTGGAAAACATGGTTCACGATCAATGAGTTTAGAAATATATTTTGTATTCTAGGTTACCATATGGATTTACATTTTACCATAGTTATTTTCTATTGGCAGATTCACACATGATTATTCACCAATGACTCATGTATGATATAATTTCACGTAAATCACCTCACGTACCCCCGGGACATTGCTACGTACCCCCAGAGGTCCACGTACCCCCAGAGGTCCACGTACCCCCAGAGGTCCACGTACCCCCAGATGTCCACGTATCCCCAGAGGTCCACGTACCCCCAGAGGTCCACGTACCCCTGGTTGAGAACCACTGCTCGAGGGATTCGTCTTCTGGGGCTCTTCCCTGTTGTGACATTGAGAGGCCCTCTTGACTGAAGAATTCCAAGGGATGTTGCTTAACATCAGTTCTCAACCTTCCTGGACCAATGGACCACTGTCAACCCTCGAAAGACTGTCGCAGACCACCACGCACGAATACAATAAAATGTAAATTATATTGATTTGTGTTTTTTTGCAAATAAATTCCCAAGTTTTGCGGACCACTTCCCATGGCCTTGTGCACCACCAGTCAGTCCTCCAAATACCACAAGTTTCAAACCACTGATTTACATAATAAAATTACTCAGACATTAAAACCCGAGCACTGGGCAGAGCCCCCCCCCAATATCACTTTAGCACTGGGCAGAGCCCCCCCCAATATCACCCGAGCACTGGGCAGAGCCCCCCCCAATATCACCCTAAGACTGGGCAGAGCCCCCCCCAATTCACCCTAGCACTGGGAAGAGCCCCCCCCCCCAATATCACCCTAACACTGGGAAGAGCCCCCCCGCCAATATCACCCTAGCACTGGGCAGAACCTCCCCTCCCAATATCACACTAGCACTGGGCAGAGCCCCCCCCCCCATACCACCCTAACACTGGGCAGAGCCCCCCCGCAATATCACTAGCACTGGGCAGAGCCCCCCCCCAATATCACACTTGCACTGGGAAGAGCCCCCTCCCCCAATATCACCCTAACACTGGGCAGAGCCCCCCCCCAATATCACACTTGCACTGGAAAGAGCCCCCCCCAATATCACTCTAGCACTGGGCAGAACCCCCCCCCCCCAATATCACCCTAACACTGGGCAGAGCCCCCTACTCTATCACCATCCTTAGCACCTTGCTATAGAGATCCGAATTATTTATTATTTACTACTAGCCCTTTGCCCGTTCAAGGACGGGTGCATTTAAGCAAATATGAAACTTGCAAGCGAAAAGCAGACCGCGACGTGATATTAATTGCGTAAAATCGTGTCCAATTTGTAAGGCCGCGGTGACACAGACATTTCATTTAGCTTCTATACTCCGGCGTTGCCTGGGCCAAGAAAATATTTCAAAACTACTCTTAAAAATCTAACAGCAGTGCGTACCGACTGTGGTGGTACCTGCTATCACTACAGTAGTACATGCTGACTCTATAGCAGTATTAATCTACTCTATAGCACAAACTCCTCACATGACAGAGTGGCGTGGTGAGGCCTAGTCCCGTGCAGAGCCTCCGGCCTCGCCTAGATTGTCCAGCCGGCCGAGGTGGCACCTTGGCAGGCTGGGGCTGGGCTGCTACCCCTGACCACCCCCCCCCCCCAGCCACGATCTCCCCGGCCGCTCTGCAGTAATATCTATGGCCTATAGTGGTAGCATCTAGCGACTGTATATACAGTGAGGGAAACAAAGTATTTGATCCCCTACTGATTTTGTACGTTTGCCCACTGACAAAGAAATGATCAGTCTATATTTTTAATGGTAGGTTTATTTGAACAGTGAGAGACAATAACAACAAAAATCCAGAAAAACGCATGTCAAACATGTTATAAATTGATTTGCCTTTTAATGAGAGAAATAAGTATTTGACCCCTCTGCAAAACATGACTTAGTACTTGGTGGCAAAACTCTTGTTGGCAATCACAGAGGTCAGACGTTTCTTGTAGTTGGCCACCAGGTTTGCACACATCTCAGGAGGGATTTTGTCCCACTCCTTTTTGGAGATCTTCTCCAAGTCATTAAGGTTTTGAGGCTGACGTTTGGCAACTCGAACCTTCAGCTCCCTCCACAGATTTTCTATGGAATTAAGGTCTGGAGACTGGCTAGGCCACTTCAGGACCTTCATGTGCTTCTTCTTGAGCCACTCCTTTGTTGCCTTGGCCGTGTGTTTTGGGTCATTGTCATGCTGGAATACCCATCCACGACCCATTTTCAATGCCCTGGCAGAGGGAAGGAGGTTCTCACCCAAGATTTGACGGTACATGGTCCCGTCCATCGTCCCTTTGATGCGGTGAAGTTGTCCTGTCCCCTTAGCAGAAAAACACCCCCAAAGCATAATGTTTCCACCTCCATGTTTGACGGTGGGGATGGTGTTCTTGGGGTCATAGGCAGCATTCCTCCTCCAAACATGGCGAGTTAAGTTGATGCCAAAGAGCTCTATTTTGGTCTCATATGACCACAACACTGTCACCCAGTTGTCCTCTGAATCATTCAGATGTTCATTGACAAACTTCAGACGGGCATGTATATGTGCTTTCTTGAGCAGGGGGACCTTGTGGGCGCTGCAGGATTTCAGTCCTTCACGGCGCAGTGTGTTACCAATTGTTTTCTTGGTGACTATGGTCCCAGCTGCCTTGAGATCATTGACAAGATCCTCCCGTGTAGTTCTGGGCTGATTCCTCACCGTTCTCATGATCATTGCAACGCCACGAGGTGAGATCTTGCATGGAGCCCCAGGCCGAGGGAGATTGACAGTTCTTTTGTGTTTCTTCCATTTGCGAATAATCGCACCAACTGTTGTCACCTTCTCACCAAGCTGCTTGGCAATGGTCTTGTAGCCCATTCCAGCCTTGTGTAGGTCTACAATCTTGTCCCTGACATCCTTGGAGAGCTCTTTGGTTTTGGCCATGGTGGAGAGTTTGGAATCTGATTGATTGATTGCTTCTGTGGACAGGTGTCTTTTATACAGGTAACGAGCTGAGATTAGGAGCACACTCTTAATCTCAGCTCGTTACCTGTATAAAAGACACCTGGGAGCCAGAAATATTTCTGATTGAGAGGGGGTCAAATACTTATTTCCCTCATTAAAATGCAAATCTATTTATAACATTTTTGACATGCGTTTTTTTGGATTTTGTTGTTATTCTGTCTCTCACTGTTCAAATAAACCTACCATTAAAATTGTAGACTGATCATTTCTTTGTCAGTGGGCAAACGTACAAAATCAGCAGGGGATCAAATACTTTTTTTCCCTCACTGTATTAGTAACTGCACGCATCGGGGTGGGGGGGAGGACATCACACAGTGAAGATTTAAGCTCAGCATTTAGTGTATTTTTATAGCATTTTTAACGAGAAAGAAAGAGTCCCCCTCACTCCCACCGAAGGCGATTTGGCATGGGCCGTCCCCCTCACCAAAGGCAACTGAGTCGGTATGGGCGTGCACGCGTCATAAATAAATAGCGCAAAAAAATCGCTCATTAAACTTATTAAAAGTTGACGGATGTGAAAAAGGAATAGCGCTTGCTCGCGGCGGGGCTTACGGCGTTGGTACCTGGCTATTTTTATTTAACGCAAGCCCCACAGTTGGACAGCCAAATCCTCCGCGAGCGCGCGAATACACACAAAGCCACAAACCGACAATTTTTTTAATTTATCTAGATCGATAGATAATCCCTTGTTCATCATGACGTCCTTTTTACTTCGATGTCTCAACAACAGCGTTACGGAGATCACGTGACGTGGGGGTTCTGCCTTCGTAGTGAGGGTTGTGAGTTGACGCCGAGGAGGGGGGAGGAGCCGCCTCGGCCCCACCCCCCCATGTAGAGTGACGTCAGCCGCTAATTATTATTAATGTGGGGGGGGGGGTCCATTTGAAAGACGTCACCTGTTAATAATTTACTACTCTAATGAGCCAAGAATGTCTGTGTGTCCCGCGCGTGACGTCACTCCACGTCGGCCAGCCCCCTCATTAATAATCACGAGCAGGTGACGTCTCTCACAAAGACGTCACCTCTTCATGATTATTAATGAGGTAGGGTGCTACGTGTGGAGTGACGTCACCCGCTCGTTATTATTAATGAGCGGGGAGGGGGGGTGGTCCATGTGGAGGACGTCACTTGTTCATGATTTTTTAATGAGGGGGGGAGGGCTGGCCGACGTGGAGTGACGTCACGCGCGGGACACACAGACATTCTTGGCTCATCGTGCTAAGGGTTACCACTCGCGATTTACCAATCACCAATGGACTCGTTGCTGGTTTCATGCTCCCATTGTTTATTCTGACAGCCTCGTTCACTTGCGGTTTTTGCTGTTGTTAATCATGATTTCTCTCTTCATTCTTGCCTTCGTGATTTCACAGCGGTTTCTGTGCATTGCCATCTGTTTTCGTTGTTGGTCATCTCCATCCTCTCTCACCTTGACCCCTGTGTATCTGCACTGTGACTTTTGGGGTTGAGGAAATTTGGCCCTCTACTTGATTTTACTTTGCCCCCCCCACTTCCAATGCACTGCCCCGTTAACATTATCGTGATGACATGCATTTGCCTTGCTTGTCAAGGAAATTAGAACACTGCGCAGAATCAGACTAAATGTCTCGATTTAAAGCTTTCGTGACTGCAGGGATTCATATTCTTTGGTTCTTTATGTAAAGTCACCACGTAGAAGGGAAATAATAAAATAGTACAAATTAAACAATAAATTCTCACGACGTTTCTAAATGTGTTTTTTTCGCTCCTGAACGATTTTAGTTTTGTGTGGGTTTTAAAAAAAATATATATATTTTTTATTTATTTTCACTGTCTTGGCACTAATAGCAGTGTCGTTAATAAAGTATTTGGTGCAACTGATGCTGCGTTGGCTGTGTTGCACAAGTATAATTCGTTTCGGGCAATGACCCTTCTTCAAAGCACGTGTGTTATGAAGAAGGGACATTGCCGGAAACGTTGTCCTACATATATATTTGAGGCAGTTATTGAAAAATGTTTGTCGTATTTTGGGTCATATAGTGGTGGGATTTTTGGTGATATGACGTCACCGCACGGGAAGCATCAGCCACTTTCCTCCTGACGTCACGCGCGGTTTCCGATGTAAACCAATTTTTTTTCAGTTACGCAATGTCGTCGCAATCTGTATCGGCTTGGGTTATTACGTCATTTGCGTGTCCCCCTGACGTCACCGCGAGATGCGGGAGCGTCACGCTCCGGGTTGCGATGACGTCAGTGTTCACTCGGCACGACGGGTTCGCCGAGAATCGATTCGCAGAGTTAAAAGAATCGATTTAAAATCGGGCGACCGCAATGTTCATGGTTTTATTACAGTATTTCCAAAATAAAATATCGATATTTAAATATAATAGAAATAGATTTTAAAAAGATATATAAATTACACTTTTAAGGCGTTGCCATTTATTTAACAACACGTGATGAAAATATCAATGCAGTGATGTTTGCAATTGACGTAAAAATAACAGTATCATTAAAAAAAAAACATTAATTAAAATATCTGTACATTACACGGCGCGACTTCTGTCCGGTCAATATCATGAATCCTAACAATGCTGTCAATATTTTAAAACAATACACCCTAAAACGAGTCGCAACACCTGCCCACGAACAATTGACCATTGCCTCGTTAACAATGCACGTGCTATATGGTAACATCGGTGGCTTTTCCTGCCTGGGTTTTTGTTGTTTAAATTCAAAGGTGGTCGCCAAACACGAAGCGCTGTCCAGGCCCCAAAAAAATAAAATCTCACCCAGATTGAGAAATCTGGGTGATTTGGTTATAGGCAACAAGAATTGACAGGGTTGGAAATTCCACGTTCAAGTGGCTGGGACGAGTCCATCCGTAATAACGAAAACTGTTGGGACCTTCCACAAAATTGACCATTTTTTAATCACTGATGATAAAATGATGATAATTCGGTAGTCTATAAATACAGACACTTGTATTAATTAATAATAGCGCTGTACTGTAATTTAATTGCAAAATCAATACTGTATAATGGAATTACAATTAGAATGCTGGGCAATTATAACTAGATAAATCAGGTATTAGGATGCTGCGGGTCTATGTGGCGGTCAGCATTGCGCAGGGCAAACACACAACCATAGTTATACTGTGCTTCTATGCTCCCCACCCCCTACACTCACCAACCCGCACTGACCAGCGTGGTGAAGTATGGTCAGAAATCCTCCGGGACCTCTGTACGGCGTAGATCCACTCAGCAGAAGGTTCGTGCGAATGTGACTGGATACAATCACATTTGCAATCGATAGTTCAATGTCCATGTGCCGTTTTATTTATGGAGTGCGTGCTATCTTGGTGTGGTCTGGGACTCTTGTTATTTTTGCTGCCTCGCCCAAGCTTGATAAGTGGGACTCATAATTTACGTATTTATACGTCGTAACTTGCTTACCATTTTCTCTATTTTGCACTCCCGATTATTGTGGTTATTATTTTCCTGTTGTAACTTGCTGACCCGACCCATACTGGACATCTATGAAAAAGGGTTTCATGGCTCATAGGATTTTCCAGTCTAAATCTTCAGATTCTTAAAGGGCAAATCTACCCATCTTAAGCGCGTATTCCCACGTCCTTCCACCCCAGCAGTATTCATTCCACGACGGGGAATCATGTAATATGAAGGAAGGACCATTGCCCGAAACGTCTCCTATTAAGGACCACAGTGTTGGGTTATTATTCGGTGCTTGTGCACCATGAAGCAAGCAGCATCGGCATCACCGAATGTGTTAAATGATCCAGGGAATCGATCCATATTAAAGAGAGCACGCAACGAAATCGACGCAAACGCACTGGGGAATACCGCCTAAATTGGAATCGATTCCAGGCAGCGAGCAGTATAGTGAGAATCGGGAGTCGACGTTAGTGCGCCACCTGATGGTGAAGTATGGACAAGGATTCGGCGGGGTGGTGGTGGTGGTGGGGTGGTGGTGGGGGGATTAACATTGGGGAGGGGGTGGGTGGTGGTGGGGGGAGATTAACATTGGGGAGGGGGTGGGTGGGTGGTGGTGGTGAAGATCCCGGTCAGTAGCAGCAGCAGGAGAGAGAGAGATCATCACAGAGGGACGGAAGACGCGTCCAAACTAGCTTCTATTTTATATAAACACCCCCTCCTCCTCTTCCATCACCAACATCACCAACATCATCGTCGTCGTCTTCGTCGTCGTCGTCACCATCGGAAGAGCAACAAAGATTTGAGTGGCTTGAGACACCCGGAGCGATGATGCAGCGGTGGGGTGGTCGCGTTTTGTAAATCCTGGCAAGGCGGGTTTTTAATAAGAACAATAAATAAATTATTGTATGAAAGTGGAGAAAAAAAAATAATCGTGGTTGTCGGGGGAGTTTCTGTTGCAGCCAAGAGGGGAGGGCGAAAAAAAATTAAACGTTACAAATAAATGTAAGCAATTATTTATATATTTGAAATAAATCCAAATAAATTTCCTATATCTATATATGAACAATTTCACTGAGACGAGGGCGTGAGGAGGGAAGCCACAAGCGAGAGGCGACGTTTTTTTATTATACAAGGTCGGTGTGGATGTATCAACATCACACGTGTGTGTGTGTGCCATGTACAAGCAATCAGTGTGTGATGTGTCACTCTCTGTGTTCATGCAGTGTGTGGCATTGTGTGTTAATTCAGCGTGTGATGTATCATTGTGTGTGTGTCAATTCAGTGTGTGATGTATCATTGTGTCAATTCAGCGTGTGATGTATCATTGTGTGTGTGTCAATTCTGTGTGTGATGTATCACTGTGTGTGTCAATTCAGTGTGATGTATCATTGTGTGTGTGTGTCAGTTCAATGTGTGATGAATCATTGTGTCAATTCAGTGTGTGATGTATCATTGTGTGTGTCAATTCTGTGTGTGATGTATCACTGTGTGTCAATTCAGTGTGTGATGTATCATTGTGTGTGTGTCAGTTCAGTGTGTGATTAATCATTGTGTCAATTGAGCGTGTGATGTATCATTGTGTGTGTCAATTCAGTGTGTGATGTATCATTGTGTCTCAATTCAGTGTGCGATGTATCACTGTGTGTGTCAATTCAGTGTGTGATGTATCATTGTGTGTCAATTCAGTGTGATGTGTCACTGTGTGCCACTGTGTCAATTTGTGTGATGTATCCTTGTGTCAATTGAGCGTGTGATGTATCACTGTGTGTCAATACAGTGTGATGTATCACTGTGTGCCACTGTTATTTCAGCGTGTGATGTATTGCTGTGTCACTGTGAGTGTCAATTCAGTGTGTCATGTATCTGTGTGTAAATGCAGTGTATGATGTATCTTTGTAAGTACGTGTCAGTTCATTGTGTGATGATGTATCGTGGTGTATGTGTCAGTTCAGTGTGATTTACCATTGTGTGTCAATTCAGTGTGTGATGTATCTTTGTGAGTACGTGTCAGTTCAGTGTGTGATGTATCAGTGTGTGTGTGTCAGTTTAGTGTGGAATATATCATTGTGTGTGTCAATTTAGTGTGTGATATATCTTTGTGTGTGTCATGTCGGCGTGTGATGTATCACGGTGTGAATGTAGTATGTGATGCATCATAGTGTGTGCGATGTATCACTGTGTGTGTCAATTCAGTGTGTGATGTAGCATTGTGTGTGTCAATTCAGTGTGTGATGTAGCATTGTGTGTGTCAATTCAGTGTGTGATGTATCACTGTGTGTGTCAATTCAGTGTGTGATGTATCATTGTGTGTGTCAATTCAGTGTGTGATGTATCATTGTGTGTGTCAATTCAGTGTGTGATGTAGCATTGTGTGTCAATTCAGTGTGTGATGTATCACTGTGTGTGTCAATTCAGTGTGCGATGTATCATTGTGTCAATTCAGTGTATGATGTATCATTGTGTGTCGATTCAGTGTGTGATGTATCATTGTGTGTCAATTCAGTGTGTGATGTAGCATTGTGTCAATTCAGTGTATGATGTATCATTGTGTGTCAATTCAGTGTGTGATGTAGCATTGTGTGTCAATTCAGTGTGTGATGTATCACTGTGTGTGTCAATTCAGTGTGTGATGTATCATTGTGTCAATTCAATGTGTGATGTATCATTGTGTGTTGATTCAGTGTGTGACGTATCATTGTGTCAATTCAGTGTGTGATGTATCATTGTGTGTGTCAATTCAGTGTGTGATGTATCACTGTGTGTGTGTCAATTCAGTGTGTGATGTATCATTGTGTCAATTCAGTGTGTGATGTATAACTGTGTCAATTCAGTGTGTGATGTATCATTGTGTCAATTCAGTGTGTGATGTATCATTGTTTGTGTCAATTCAGTGTGTGATGTATCATTGTGTCAATTCAGTGTGCGATGTATCATTGTGTGTGTCAATTCAGTGTGTGATGTATCATTGTGTCAATTCAGTGTGTGATGTATCATTGTGTGTGTCAATTCAGTGTGTGATGTATCATTGTGTGTCAATTCAGTGTGTGATGTATCATTGTGTGTTGATTCAGTGTGTGATATATAATTGTGTGTGTCAATTCAGTGTGATGTATCATTGTGTGTGTGTCAATTCAGTGTGTGATGTATCATTGTGTGTCAATTCAGTGTGCGATGTATCATTGTATGTGTCAATTCAGTGTGTGATGTATCATTGTGTTGATTCAGTGTGTGATGTATCATTGTGTGTGTCAATTCAGTGTGATGTATCGTGTCAATTCAGTGTGCGATGTATCATTGTGTGTGTTGCAATTCAGTGTGCGATGTATCACTGTGTGTCAATTCAGTGTGTGATGTATCATTGTGTGTCAGTTCAGTGTATGATGTATCACTGTGTGTGTCAATTCAGTGTGTGATGTATCATTGTGTGTGTCAATTCAGTGTGTGATGTATCATTGTGTGTGTCAATTCAGTGTGTGATGTAGCATTGTGTCAATTCCGTGTGTGATGTATCATTGTGTGTCAATTCAGTGTGTGATGTATCATTGTGTGTGTCAATTCAGTGTGTGATGTATCATTGTGTGTGTCAATTCAGTGTGTGATGTATCATTGTGTGTGTCAATTCAGTGTGTGATGTATCATTGTGTTAATTCAGTGTGTGATGTATCATTGTGTGTTAATTCAATGTGATGTATCATTGTGTGTGTCAATTCAGTGTGTGATGTATCATTGTGTTAATTCAGTGTGTGATGTATCATTGTGTGTTAATTCAATGTGATGTATCATTGTGTGTGTCAATTTAGTGTGTGATGTATCATTTTGTGTTAATTCAGTGTGTGATGTATCATTGTGTGTGTCAATTCAGTGTGTGATGTATCATTGTGTTAATTCAGTGTGTGATGTATCATTGTGTGTTAATTCAATGTGATGTATCATTGTGTGTGTCAATTCAGTGTGTGATGTATCATTGTGTGTGTCAATTCAGTGTGTGATGTATCATTGTGTGTGTCAATTCAGTGTGTGATGTATCGTTGTGTTAATTCAGTGTGTGATGTATCATTGTGTGTTAATTCAATGTGATGTATCATTGTGTGTGTCAATTCAGTGTGTGATGTATCATTGTGTTAATTCAGTGTGTGATGTATCATTGTGTGTTAATTCAATGTGATGTATCATTGTGTGTGTCAATTCAGTGTGTGATGTATCATTGTGTTAATTCAGTGTGTGATGTATCATTGTGTGTTAATTCAATGTGATGTATCATTGTGTGTGTCAATTTAGTGTGTGATGTATCATTTTGTGTTAATTCAGTGTGTGATGTATCATTGTGTGTGTCAATTCAGTGTGTGATGTGTCAGTGTGTGTTGATTCAGTGTGTGATGTATCATTGTGTTAATTCAATGTGTGATGTATCATTGTGTCAATTCAGTGTGTGATGTATCATTGTGTGTCAATTCAGTGTGTGATGTATCATTGTGTGTGTCAATTCAGTGTGTGATGTATCATTGTGTTAATTCAATGTGATGTAGCATTGTGTGTCAATTCAGTATTCGATATAGCATTGTGTGTGTCAGTTCAGCGTGTGATGCATCATTGTATCTGTGTGTGATGTAGCATTGTGTCAATTCAGTGTATCATTGTGTCAGTTCAGTGTTATGTACCATTGTATATGTATGTCAGTTCAGTTTGTGGTGCATCATTGTGTGTAAGTGCCAAATCAGCAATGTGACATAGGGACGCCCTTATCCAGCAGTGGATTGATCATGGCTGATGATGTGCATCTTATCACTGGTAATGAATAGTGTGATCTATCACTGTACGTTTCGTGCTATCAAGTCAGTGCGTAAGGTATATGTGATTGTTACAGTGTGATGCACGTGTGTGATGCACGTGTGCCACATGCTCGTGTCATGCCATCATGGTCAAATCAGAATCTCTCACGGTCCTGCGATGTTTTACCGATCCATCTCCACGACTGCCCGTGGACCATCATCAACCAATCCAGCCATGCCGTGCCCTGTATCTATCTATCTGTGTATGTAATGTTTAGTTTGTGTTTGTAGTCGTGTGTGTACAGTGTGTGTAGTGTATCACGTTGCGTGTGCTCATTGTGTCTACCACGTATGTATCAGTGTGTCGTGTGTCATTTCCGTGCATGTGTGTGTCCTGTATGCATCTCCAGTATACGTCAGGTCTCGTCATGCATGATAACATGTACCTGCTTGTATGTCATGTTGAATCTGTGTATGTACTGTAATGCATCTTTGCGCGCATAAAATAATAAATGATACGTTTGTGTGTAATTCGCAAGTGTGCAATGTCGTGTATGTATTTGATGTATACCTCTCATTAACGTACGTATCTTTGTGTATCAGGCCTGCAATTCAGATGAACATGTACCTGTGTCACGTTGAATATGTATGCAGTGCATCTGTGTGAGTGTTTAAATGATGCTTCATATGCAGTACGCATCAAGGATCTTTGTCGTTGTGTATGTGTAGAATATAAGTTGGCATCCGTTCCATGTAAAGTTGAGTAAAAACGTGCTTAATTGTGCATGCATCTGCGTGTTGTGTTTGCATCTGTGCATGTATCAGTGTGCGCGTGTGTGTGTGCATCAGGGTGCTACAGGGCAAATGTACATACAGGTATGTATTTGTGTGCATATGTCCAAATTCGGAAATGTGTCCAACACAATGTTGCGTGTGTGTGCAATTAAATTCAGTAATAAGTGCACGTCTATGATATGAGCATATTAACTTCACGGTGTACGCAACATACTGTAAGTACGTGCTAATTTAAAGTATACATTATGGCTATGCTGTACAGTAGAAACTGACCTGCAAACACAGTGCTCTATATTAAAATGCATTGCAATCATACAGCATGCAATTGTATCATGCACGTCACTATAAACTGTCACGCACAATTCAGTATATAGGTATGTATTATCAGTACGACAGTATACACGGACGGTGTATATGCACGTGCAGTATACAATGCGTGCAAATCTACCGTCACGTGTCACGCGTCACGTGCCACGTGCTCTCTTTGTTGTGTGCACGTGCGACGCAGTAGAGACAATGCGATGTTAAATTCGTGTACGCACGTGCCCGTTTATAATTGCTTTCACAGTTACGTAACGTGGTCTTTGTGGTGCATGTGCTGCTACATTGTGTACAATCTTTTTGTCACACAGGCAACACATTGCGTGTGTGGGTCATTTTGTAGTGGAACAAAAGAAAAAGATCCCCACCCCCCCGTGTAGTCTTTAACAGACTTGTCGGGGCAAGTGTTTGTCAGCGAGCACCTATTTTAATTTTATACACACACACACGTGTAATTGTACAGTATATACACTATGTACACCAATAGTCTTGGGTCTAGATATATCTACGTGACTTTACAGAAAGACCCTAGAATATTAATTCGTGCAGTCACGAAAGCTTTAAGTCGTGACTATGTACACCGTATGTGTACAGCAGCAGTGGATTATCAAAAGGGCCGTCTGTACACATACACGTGTACACATGTGTAGACACAGCTCTTATGTGTAAAAATATATCACCATATACAAGATCACACTTCTTGGGCATACAGTAACGTTTTTTTATCATCTGATAACATCGTCTTTCGTTTTTAAATGAAAAAAAACCCAGCATAGTAATTAGTATTTTCTTAATTAAGTGTATATCCATGCCGTGTTGCTGCTGATGCAGCACATTGTTAATGGTACCCAACTCACTGCATACTACACACAATTGCACTGCATCATTGTGTGTGTATCCTCCCATCGTCGTCTTCCAAGACGTGGTGGCACAGCGTGCAAGATTTGGCCAAAGTAGCCTCAAGAGCCCCCCTCTAACGGGGGGAGCTTCCACCAGCAAGTGATGTTTCAAGCCTTTTAATCTCCCTTCACACACGCGCACACACACATGAGGCACGCATGTACACTCTAATACGCCACAATACATGTGTCTCTTATGCCACATTCAGTGGAGGATTGGTGTGTTGGGGTGGTTGCCCATGGTGGCAGAGGTGATGTAGTTTTGCTTTGTGGTAGCGACTGCGGTAATGGCAGATTGTGCGCTGTGATGGTTGGTACTGTCATGTAGTTGCGGTGAGTGCTGTGGGGTTTTTTTTGGTGGCCATGGGGGTGGTGATTGTGGTTATGGTAGTTCCTGGATAATTGTGGTGATGGGTGGTGATGATGGTGGTGGTGATGGTGGCTGCAGTGCCGGCTGACTTTGCGATGTGGGGGTAGCTGTGGTTGTCACGGTGACTGGTGGTAATGGGACAGTGGGTGGTGGGTTAAGAGTTCCACAGTATTTGTGGTTGAGATTTTTAAAGAACGTAGTTGTGTTTATGTCGATGGATATGATGATGTTGCTGTGTTCTTTGTGGCGAGAAAGTGGGTAGGATTTGTGCTGGGTTGTGAGAGTGATGTGTTGGCATGGATTATAATAACGAAGGGCCCGGTCATTATGGTGGTTGTAGAGACGATTGTGTGGTGGTGATTGGATGCAGTGGTCCTAGGTGACTATGTTTATGGGTGATTGTGGTGGTTAGTGATGGGTTGTAGTGGTTATTTGTAAATGCAGTGGTCTTATAGTGATGGGTTTTAGTGATGATGGCTTATGCTATCTATTTTTACAGCTCCCGTTGCTATGTCAGTTATGTGTTTTTTTTATTACAGTATCTAAACACGCTGGTGAGTGTATATTGGTTAAGGTGGGCCCAGGACCGGTTCAAAAATGTCTCGCCACTGATGTTAGCTATTGCCGGGAAGTGATCTTCAGCTGCCAGGTTCATAGCGCAGTGCCATGGTTACCTTGATGGCTTACACATATTGGTGAATACCGTAGAGGAATTGTAGTACTCACCGATGGGTTAATATGCGTGGGTTGTGGGTGATTGTGGTTGGTGATGGGATTTTATTAGTGATGAGTAAATGTGATTGTTTCTGATGGATTAAATTAACGATGGGTAATTGTAGTGGTATGTAGTGCTGGGTTGTAGTGGTGATGGCATGGGTTTATAGTGGTGACGGGTTATATTTGCCAATGGGTAATTGTGGTTATGTAGTGATGGGTTGTGGTGATGTCATGGGTTGTAGTGGTGATGGCTTATGTTTGGCAATGGGTAAATGTGGTTATGTAGTGATGGGTTGTAGTGGTGATGGCATGGGTTTGTAATGGTGATGGGCCATTGTGGTAGATATGGCTTCAGTCTCAAATGTAGGTCACGTGAACCCCCATCTGTGAGCCTGCATGGGGTTTTGTGTTGAAATTCATTGTGTGCGCGCACACGTGTGTGTTAAGTGTGCGTGTGTGTGTTAAGTGTGCGTATATATACAGTATGTGTGGAGTGGTAGTGTAGCAGTTAGCGAGCTGCACTCCGAACCAAGGGACCTGAGTTTGATTACCGCTCACGGCCACCACCAGTGATAGCATTTATCTGAACCGATCCTGGGCCTCCCCTGGGTCAACTCAGTCTTAAATGAGTATCTGGTGTAGTGTGTAAACATCGCCACTGGGGAGACAAAGGCGGCCGGACGTGGTGTTGTGCACCCACCCCCTCGTGTGCTGTGCCAGCCTTCATAGGTGCTCGCTAGCAGCAATTGCCCCAACAATCTGTCAAGGCTATACGGGGGATATTTGTCTTTATACATGCATTTAAAATCCATGTGTGTCTATTGTACGTGACATGTGTTGGTGCAGATTGAACCCACATTGTGCTATACACAATACAAACTGAGTTCAAAATAATCGTTTGACTCAGTCTACAATCCAGTCTAGAGTGTATAAAATGGATGTCACTTTTTAGAAAGGCAGTTAGTGGTCAGGAGGCTGGTTCTTTACAAGGTAATGTAGAATATTCACCACTGTCTCATAGCGGTCAATTCAGTTATCAGAATATTTAGACTGGAGGAATCCGAAGAGCTATGAAGCTCTTTTTTCACAGATGTCCAGTTGGGGCAGGTCAGCAAGTTACAACAACAAACAATAAAAAATAGAGAAAAGGTAAGCGAGCCATGAGTATATCAGTACAAATTGCAGAAGTACATAAATTCCTGCCGATTTTCAACACTAAATGCAAGCTTGGGCAAGGCAGCAAAACAACAAAAATAGTCCCAGACCACACCAAGACAGCATACGGTCCCTCAATAAAATTGTGCATCAAAATGTAACTATCGATACATGGGGTAAGGATTAAAGTTAGAAATCACATGAGCAAATGTGGTTATATCCAGCATCAATCGTGCATAGACCAAGTGCTTTTCTTTTAGCAATGCGAAATCGTGTTATTTTATTACTCTACAACTGGACTAGAAATTCAGATGTCACCGGTTTGATTCGATCTCTCAGCGCAGCAGGTAAACTAATGGAAAGTTTTTTTTTGTCCACACAGAAGTATCAATGAGCAACGCCATAGTCTGATCTATGTATGTACGGTAGGTTGAACTTTCTTCGCACCGTACCTACACCACGCGATCTGCAGTTTGCGTGGTGTGGGGTAAAGTGTGGGTACTCATTCTAACCTTCTAGACTCGAGGGGTTCTCTCTGGAGCGCCATCAAGTGCCACGTTGGCAAGATGTTAACTGCCTCTCCTGGTATACAGGAGGTCGTGGGTTCGATCCTGATGCTGACGCTTCCTGTATATTTGGAGTTTGTGGTGTCACTCTCCCTGTGGTCGCTTGGATTTTTCTCCGGGTCCTCTGATTTTTCCCTCCACATTTAGAATAAATTTGGCTGATATACATTTCCACGTGACAAGCCACTTCGTTGAGCTATCATTTGTGGTCAGGTCGCTTCTGAAAAAAGAGCTATACTGTATAGCTCAGAGGGCCTTACCTGGTAAAATAAAATTAGTTTTTTTTTCAGTAGGGACCCTGCCATCAGCAGTGGCGTGATCAAGTACTTGGAGGGTTTCATCTTTAATGTGTGTGTCCGTATGTGGAGTGCATTGTATCCTAATTCACAATTGTCCTTATTTAGTAGGTACAGTATAGGCATCTCAGTACAATATCAACATCTAATTCTTGACTAAAAGCTTTCGTGATTGCAGGAATTCATATTCTTTGGGTATTTAGGTAAAGCCTCTTTTTTCACCTGAAGACGATTGCTTGTGTTGTGATCGAAACATCGTGATATTGTTATTATTTTGATTATTTTTTTCTGTCTACGTGGCCTTACCGAAAGATCCAAATAATATCTAATTCTTGGTCTCCCTTATTGGGTAACCAATTGTAAAGTACAGATACTGAACGCCAAGACGTGTATAATAATAATAGCCTTTTGTCAACCTACTGCTGGATGAGGGCCTCCCCATACTTTACCACGCTGGTCAGTGTGGGTTGGTGAACGCTTGGGAGAACACGTGGGACGCATAGGGGTAGAGTACAACAATGGAATTTGCGTGCACTGCCCTCTGCTGTCCACCACGTGGCCCCTGTATGTGATACGCACGGTACAATATTCAAATTGAATACATGTGTATGCTGCAATGATAAAGCATAACTTCCTGTTATCCGTCATGTCTAGGACAAACATAATTTATCTGCGATTGTATCCGCGAATCTATTCAATTTTCCACACAAATCACAAAACATGATGGATAAGAGGATACATTTAGCCACGTGACTCCCATTTGCCCGTGAAAATTTCGCAGACAATAGGGTAAGGGAAGTTGTACTGTATTGTCTACGTTTGCACGGATTTATTTTGTAATTAATTGTACTGTACTCTGAACCATATTTTCGCTCATTCCCTGATATCTCTTGCAAACACTCGGGTGTATCGTGAGAACCCAGATAGTCGAATACAGCAAAATATATATTGGACCACAGTATTGTAGTGCATACATTAAAATAGACCCTGTATTAAATAAATCACCAAAACTCTGGACCGCGCTTGCCATTCTAAAGTATCTTCACGCTTAAACAAATGCTGCTGACAAACATATACGTGTGGAATGCCAGACAACCACTTTCTCATCCAGCAGTGGATTGACATGCTATAAATTAGTACAGTATTGTTCAAAATATTCGTGTTACAACGTAGGCACATTATCAACGTACGTACAGTATAGGCCTCTGCCCTATCAATTGCTATGGGTAATTATGATGGTTAGTTCATGGGTTTACTTGGTTATGTATGGGTATTATAGTGGTTTTGTAGTGATGGGTTGTTGGTGGTCATGGCATGGGTTGTTTTTGGCAATGTGTGAATAGGTGGTTATGTAGTGATTGGTTGCAGTGGTGTTGGATTTCATTGATGATGAATAATTGTGGTGGTTATGTATGTAGTGATGGGTTGTAGTGGTGATGGCGTGGGTTTGTAGTGGTGATGGTGTTTATCAGTTGCTAAACCTCGCTTTGTATTCTTGGTTCTTTCGGTAAAGTCACGTAGAAGGGAAACAATAAAATAATAAAAAATATAATTTTCACGACGTTTTGACTGCAACACAAGCAATCATCATCAGGTGTGAAAACCACAGCAAGAAAAAAAACCCGCCACTTTTTTCTAATTTTCTTGCTGTGGTTTTCACACCTGATGATGATTGCTTGTGTTGCAGTTGAAACGTCGTGAGAATTTTATTGTTTTATATTTGTATTATTTTATTGTTTCCCTTCTACGTGACTTCACCGAAAGAACCACGAAAGCTTTAAATCAAAATCTACTCGCTTTGCTTATGCGTGAGAGCCAATGTCTCGCACAGCAAAATGGCTCATCAACCATAACGGTGCACTCGTGTGGTGCACGTGGCTATGGATGTATTTGTCTAATTGTAGAAGTGTGGAGTGAGTGTGAATGTGTGTATACGGGGATATCTTTGTCTCTATACGGGGATGAGTGCGGTGTATTCATTCGTACTGTTGCGTGGATTGCTGCACGGTATGAACTGCTGTAGCTACATGCTATGCATATGAATCCATGTGCAATACTGGACAACTATAAATGCTTGTGCATGATTTTATAGTGTAATGCCCGTGTCTGACACGCACATTGTGCACTTGCGTTAACGATTTACACGCTCTTGATTTCATCGTAAAGGTTGTCTTGGTAATACTGAAATAACTTTAATGTTCAACAGCATTTATGTTACGCTGTTAATTTTACACTGCACTAATAGTATGCCGGACCCTCGGTAAAAAAAAAAAACCCAATAGATGGGTGTTTTAATTGGCTGCATTTATCTTAACTCAAGGGCCCTCTTTCTCACGTACATGGTCTTTAATTCTCAAAATACGTATTTTCATAATTTTGTTCGAAACCCGTAGCGCACGTGCACTCGGGGGATATTTCATAATCTGTGTAGGTGTTCTCTGCGTGACGTCCCTTAACTCATCTGATGCCACAAATAAATAAACCGTGCGTCAGATTGCGGAGCGTTCACAAGTAATCGCTGTCCAAACCCATAGCCCTGATGTGCATAAGGGATTCCGTTTAATAGTCCCGATAATGCGCGTTTTAATGTTGTACATCTCTATGGTACAGGGAAATATTGCATTGCATTTGGATTTCCTAAGGTTTGCTTGGTTGAGACCATTTACAGACATCGCAAATTTGCGAAATTTTCCCTGAAATCCGTTATTAATTTGTTGTTGAAGTAATGGTATTGCGTAAATATGCAAGTAATAGCTCCTGGTCAAACGTGCATCGTCAATTTAATGTGTAGTTTTAGAATATTGTACAGTACTGTGATGTAGATACATTTATTTTTGTCATACAGGATTAATAAATTTAGCAGTACACATAATACTGCTTAGAATAATGCTTAGATTGACAATCATAACAGCAATACTTAAAAAAATGAATGATTGTATTCCAGTATTAAAATACAGTGGTATAATAATACTGTATATGAATACATTGTACAGTATTGTATTAATACTGCTGTGTTAATACAACAAGAATAAAACATTGTAATTAAAGAAGTAATTAAAGCATTGCATATCTTACAGTGTTATAGTACTGTATTGGTAGAGTTCTATTAATTACATCAATTATATGCTGTAATATACAACAATTAAGGAAACTCCTTACACGGTATTGTAAAATGAAATGATACAATCTCAGACAAGGATAGAGTAATATTTAAACGCATTTGAAAAAGCCTACTGAGATTATTATGATGTTTTGTATGCATTAATGGAACATACACCTTAAAAATACTTTAATTAGAGTACAGTTAGATTTTTTATCCCTGTTAATGTACTGCTGCTTAGAGGATCCCTCCTGCCTTGTTAACGTTATGCTACAGAGTACAGTACCTGTAATTATAATATTTAATACTGCACAGTATTATTCATAAATCTGCATACATTAACACCAAAGATTAATGTACTCTATATAAGGCGCATTAATCCCACTTGGTAGTCATCTCCACTACCCATCATCGTTCTTCCAGGCTGAAGACATTATATACCACTTCGTGGCAAGTTCAACGTGGAAACACTGGTGCCCGCCAAAGGAATGTGGAATTGTCACTGCAGTAACCAGCGTTGTCATCTACAACGTAGTTGAAATTAAACGTCAGGGCAATTGTGCTTTTAGCAAGCCCTCTCATGCAGGGCCGGGGTTAAGTGTTATCCAAATCGTAGGCCTATTGAAACAATGTCTGGCTCCTATCCCTTTTGTCTGAGGAGGCGACTGTCCCCACAAATACAGAGTAAGAAAAGCAGGAACAACTGTCCCTGCAGATGTATGTATATTGAACTTCTTTTGCACCATATGTAGTCAATCGTGCTCATTGGAGATGTGGTAATAAATGCAGTTTTAGGTACTACTGTCCCTAACCTTTAACCCTAACTATAAACCATAACAACTAGACCCTTAACCTTGAGCCTTTAGTCCATTTCTAAACCATAACCCGAACTCCAAACCCTTTATCCCATTTCTAAACCATCACCCTAAGTTCCCCTTAACCTAGCATCCTAAATTCTAATGCTTACCCCATAACCTTAATACTTAAACCCTAACGCTCATCCTTACCGCCATAAAATCCTAACACCAGAAAGAGAGAACGACATCCCTTAATGTTTCATCAGCTGAAGCTACAGAAGCAGATATTGGAACGACATCCCTTAATGTTTCATCAGCTGAAGCTACAGAAGCAGATATTGGAAAGGACCGCTAACAGCTAAGCACAACCCAAGGAGAAGGTCTGTGATTGTACGAAATTCTGGTCTATGATTAGATACAAATATGCGGGCCCGGTAGTTACCAGAGGCTCAGTTTCCTTTCCTGCATTAGCGGTGATGAGTAGTCGCGCACATCTCTATAAACAGTACAAATGTGGTCATAATAATGCAGTGTTCAATATAATCATAAAAATGCAGTGTGCAAAGCTACACAAGTCTGGAAGCACAGGCCCTTTCTCACATTTATGGGTTTGCCATGTGTCGTTTTACACCGCAATTGTTTGGAAGATGCTTGTACCACTTGCTGAACAAATCAAAATAACTTTCTTGTGCTCTGCGACACTGACTCATTCCTCCCATCTTGTTTGTGCATCCAGATCTTCAGAATCCCCCTGTGGCCATACACTTGGAAACACTTTGTATTCTAAATTATAATTACATGCTGAAACTTTTAAAATTCAAGACTTAAGTCTTTGCACTGGGGATTTCCATTCATTTACTTGTATATCCTGAGTAAACTTGGAAAAAGGAAGTCAACTTCATTGGCCACGTCTACACAAACTTGGGCCTGTTGGACAATTAGGCTAACTCAAGCCTACCTGGAGCCACTACTTATGATTCCTTCATTCAGCTACTAATTGTGTTCATAGCTGGCAAACATTCTGCTCAGAGATGGTGATTGTTGCTCACTCCATGCATTCTTTCACTTCATATTCCTCCACTTCAAAGTCTTCCTGATCATTCATTCCCTCCTCTCTCACCTCCATTCCCTTTACAAACCTAGTTTTACCCTTATTAGCTCTATCCTTCGAGCCTCGCTATATGCTGTGAAGAATGGACATTGCCCAAAACGTTGCATATCGATATTTTATTTATTTTAAGGCAGTGTTATTGACGAATGTGTTGAGATAGTTTTCGTTTGTTAATGAAACTTGTGCACCACTGCGAATGAAGAATCACCAAATAATTTGTTTTGTTTTTATTTCAATCACTGCTGTCACTCATTCATCATCATCCTCATCCTCATAACTCATGTGCACCCTTCCACAATTCCTTCCGTAATTTCTCTTTCTTCTCCCCCCCACCCCGGCCCCTCTGGCCCTTGTTGGCCCATGCAATGACAGGTGACGGCCATGCTTCCCCTCGTGTGCACTCTGCTACTCGCGCCGGCCGTCATCGGTGAGAGAGCAGCTCACACCGCGACACGGGATGTACTCACACGTGTGTGTCGACAAAGACAAAGGTCCCCCCCTGTAGCCTTCAACAGGCTGTTGGGACAACAGGTGCTGTTAGCGAGCACGGCACACGAGGGGGTGGGTGGCCAGCACCACGACCGGCCGCCTTTGTCTCCCCAGTGCCGAAGTATACACACTGCACCGGGTGCTCATTTGAGGCTGAGTCGACCTAGGGGAGGCCCATGACCAGTTCAGATAATCATCACTGGTGTTGGACGTGAGCGGGAATCCAACTTGGGTCGCCAGGTTCGTGTCGCAACGTGCTATCCGTTACTGCATCGCTTACCAGCACATGCAAGGTTTATCACGTTTTTCAAATAATCTAAAGACTTAACAAATATTTGTTATATTATTTTCATATTTAAAGTTGGAATCCTCTAACGCTACACTTTTCCATGATTACCAACTATGAGGCGCATGTAGTGTGCCGTGACTTAGCGTAACTTTGGGTGTCACGAATTGAAGTTTAGAAAAACTGATCTGCAGTCTGCTACACCTAATTACCATCAGCAATGCAGACGTCAGCAGACTTAGCGACTACAAATTGTAATGATATGGGTGAAAAATAACCTCATTTTAGGCATAAATAAGAAAACTCCCCCTTTGATTTGTTAAGCTTCAAGCAGTCCTTCCTGCTGCATTCATTGATGACTGCAATGCAAAGGGAACTGGCAATAATGCAGCAGTGCCAAGCGCTGGTCAGACGTTCTCCTCAAAGCTTCAAAGACTTCATCGTCACTACCACAAAACTTGTGGAAGAGTTTATTTGGCATCTCTCTTTATAAACTGGAGTTGATCCCCTGCTGATTTTGTACGTTTGCCCACTGACAAAGAAATGATCAGTCTATAATTTTACTGGTAGATTTATTTGAACAGTGAGAGACAGAATAACAACAAAAAAATCCAGAAAAACGCATGTCAAAAATGTTATAAATTGATTTGCATTTTAATGAGGGAAATAAGTATTTGACCCCTCTGCAAAACATGACTTAGTACTTGGTGGGAAAACCCTTGTTGGCAATCACAGAGGTCAGACTTTCTTGTAGTTGGCCACCAGGTTTGCACACATGTCAGGAGGGATTTTGTCCCACTCCTCTTTGCAGATCTTCTCCAAGTCATTAAGGTTTCGAGGCTGACGTTTGGCAACTCGAACCTTCAGCTCCTTCCACAGATTTTCTATGGGATTAAGGTCTGGAGACTGACTAGGCCACTCCAGGACCTTAATGTGCTTCTTTTTGAGCCACTCCTTTGTTGCCTTGGCCGTGTGTTTTGGGTCATTGTCATGCTGGAATACCCATCCACGACCCATTTTCAATACGCTGGCTGAGGGAAGAAGGTTCTCACCCAAGATTTGATGGTACATGGCCCTGTCCATCGTCCCTTTGATGCGGTGAAGTTGCCCTGTCCCCTTAGCAGAAAAACACCCCCAAAGCATAATGTTTCCACCTCCATGTTTGACGGTGGGGATGGTGTTCTTGGGGTCATAGGCAGCATTCCTCTTCCTCCAAACACGGCGACTTGATTTGATGCCAAAGAGCTCCATTTGGTCTCATCTGACCACAACACTTTCACCCAGTTATCCTCTGAATCATTCAGATGTTCATTGGCAAACTTCAGACGGGCATGTATATGTGCTTTCTTGAGCAGGGGGACCTTGCGGGCACTGCAGGATTTCAGTCCTTCACGGCGCAGTGTGTTACCAATTGTTTTCTTGGTGACTATGGTCCCAGCTGCCTTGAGATCATTGACAAGATCCTCCCGTGTAGTTCTGGGCTGATTCCTCACCATTCTCATGATCATTGCAACTCCACGAGGTGAGATCTTGCATGGAGCTCCAGGCCGAGGGAGATTGACAGTTCTTTTGTGTTTCTTCCATTTGCGAATAATCGCACCAACTGTTGTCACCTTCTCACCAAGCTGCTTGGCAATGGTCTTGTAGCCCATTCCAGCCTTGTGTAGGTCTACAATCTTGTCCCTGACATCCTTGGAGAGCTCTTTGGTCTTGGCCATGGTGGAGAGTTTGGAATCTGATTGATTGATTGCGTCTGTGGACAGGTGTCTTTTATACAGGTAACAAGCTGAGATTAGGAGCACTCCCTTTAAGTGTGTGCTCCTAATCTCAGCTCGTTACCTGTATAAAATACACCTGGGAGCCAGAAATCTTTCTGATTGAGAGGGGGTAAAATACTTATTTCCCTCATTAAAATGCAAATCAATTTATAACATTTTTGACATGCGTTTTTCTGGATTTTGTTGTTGTTATTCTGTCTCTCACTGTTCAAATAAACGTACCATTAAATTATAGACTGATCATTTCTTTGTCAGTGGGTAAACGTACAAAATCAACAGGGGATCAAATACTTTTTTCCTTCACTGTACATATGCACGTAAGCACGTGTATGCAAAGGAACACGTGTATAGAAACAGTGACATACACACATGAACATGAGCGCACACAATAACGAGTAGACAAATATACAGTCACACATGGATACAATTGATAGTATATTGGCAGAAATGTCTTAAATAGCAACACCACAGGAATCTCAGCATGATTTGCATATCCAGATGGCATCACCATTCCTTGCACACATCCTGCACACAGCCTTGTGATGACCACCAGTTTAAAATTGCTGAGATTGTGTTTTTATTGAATTTAAGCAGCAGAAGTACAATGAGACAACCCTATACTGGCTATACTCTTATTATGGCTCATAAGTACGATGTAGCCACCAAATTAAAGCCCCTCTTCGAGAGGCAAGTCAACATGTGCACACAGTTAAAATAATAATAATAACAGTAATACTTTACAGTCCTTTGTCAATCCAGCAAACTTACTCGTGCATACATGTAAGTACATAAAAAAATATTTAGATAGTTCACATTTGTTTATGACCAAGTATGGGGCCCCCATTGACACGAGGATTCTTATTTACTAATTTACAAAGGAGATCTTCGGTTAAATAAATATGGCAAAAGAACAAGCAAACATGTGATAAACGAACATATGCAAAAATTTAAAAACATTTGTGTTGCTATGACGCTAACCGGGTTTTCCATTACGAGCGTGGGAAATGTAACTCGGCCTTTTTTATTAAACAAAAAATATTCTCAAAAAATGCAGCAACTTTCCCATTTTCTGCAACTGAATTGTTTCTTTTTATCAGCCACTACTTGCATTGTGTGCTGTCATGTGTTATTCATGGAGCAGTATTCTGATTATAACTGATTGGATGAAATCCATAGCATGGAGCTGTTCACTTCACATTTTACCGTAAAATGTATTCACTTTACAATATATATTTTTATTGAACCCATTTTAACAATCGCAGCAGAGGATGTGCTTTCATGTGGGAAGGATTGGTCACTTTAGAATATTTTAATTATTTATCCAGGAAAGCCACACTGAGTTGTATGACTCTTTTTTAGGAGGGCCTAGCATTGACTTTTTATTTAAAAAAAAATTTTAGCCAATTAATACCGAGTGTTTATACACGTGGGAGAAAACCGGAGGTCCAGGAGAAAACCCACGCGCATGAGGAGGCAACACTCCATCCCCATACAGATGGAAACAGATGCCGATTAGGCCACTTGCTGTACTGCCTTCTCCTGGTGAGCCAGGGTATAGCTCCTCGACGCCCACGGGAAGAGAGTTTCACATCGTTTGTGTGCGATCCACCAACCCTAGCCGCCTCCATAGTGCTGGATTACAGGCGATGTGCATAACCACCGCCACCCGGCTTGTGTCCTTAATGAGTGTATTCAGCAAAATATTAAGGCGTAAATGAGTGTCCTGTTTGCAACTGCATACATTTTATTTGAAGGTCATATTCATGTCTATCCAGACTCTCTATTTTCCAAAGAGATTTTTAATTCACAACACTTATTAATACAAAACAAAGTTAACTGTGAGCCCAGTCATGAAATACACTTCTGTGATTGTGATGATGGTATGTTAATACCTGCAAATATTACCAGTCCTGTTATGCTATATTGGATATTATACCTACAAGCAGTTGCTCCACATGCTTTTTTGGGCTTTTACTCTCCAATTTCGGCAGTATGTGAGTAAAATGTAAGTTCAGGAAGTAAACTGCAACATTAGCATTAAGTCATGAGTAATTTTCATAAATGCAATGTTACTGTGAATGACTGCACAAAAGCTTGGGACTACAGTACTGTACAAAAAGCTGGGTCTTACAAACACTATAAAGTTTCCCAATGAAAACCTTTGTAAAACTTTATTTATTTCAAAAAAATAATAATATTTATCCCAGAAAAAGTGAAAACTACATACTATATATTAGCGGTACACTTTACTGAGCTCCTCCTCGCGGGCCGCAAGGGTTACGTGACTGCTCCTTTCCCACATACGCGCCAGATTTTTCTTTTGCAATACAAGCCCAAGTTGTTCTGCAAAATTGCTCTGCGTATTATTACTCATTTCATTAAAATGTCATGCATAATTCACATTTATATTTAATGTGAAAATTGCCCAGTTTACAACTTTTTTAGGGTGCTGCCCGCAGGTATGTATCCACCAGCACCGATGCAATCACACGTGTGCATGTGCGACCCCATGACGCATTCCCTGCCCGTCTCTATTCCCTCACCCCCACCTCCATCGGCGCCAGCGTCCGACACGAGCGTCCGGTCAACGTTGTTCTTCGAGGATGACCTTGCGTCTTCATCGGCGTCCTCCCCGTGGTCCTTACCGGGTCGCGCCGCCTCTCTGGTGTTCTCGTCGGCGACTGGTGCGTCCGTGACATGCCCTGCCAACGGAGCCCCGCTCGCCGAGCGCCGCTGGTTCACGTACCGCTCGTCCGGCGGTGGTGGCGGGGGGGGGCGGCGGCGGTGATGAGGATGGGGACGATGGCGATGATGACGGAGATGGCGATGGGGAAGATGTTGACGGAGATAAAGACACTGGTGGTGCCGGCGGCGGCGGAGGTGGTGGCGTCGGTGCAGGAGGCGGTGGGGATGGAACGATGGGAGTCAGCAGTGTCGATAGGAAGGCGGTGGCACTGGATGACGTGCCGGGCCTGCGCAGGGTCCACCCCAACGGCACGCTGATGATGAGTTCATTTGCGGCGGCAGCGTACACGGCACGTGCGCACCGCTCCACCTGCTACTGCACGGCGCAGAACCCGGCGGGGCGCGTGCGCAGCAGAGACCTCGCCATCACCGCCGGTAACCTCCGTGCCGCAGAGCAGGCCGGGAGATGTGAGAGTGGAGTGTGGGTGATAGTGTGAGAGTACAGCAGAGTGGGTATGCAGGTAGTGTCCAGGGTGTAAGTAGATGAGAGTGGTTGACGTGTGAAAGCTTAGATTTGTCATTGATCCCGAGCTCTCATTCTCACTTCTCAATTCAGTGCAACATCTCCTGCATCTGCCTTCACATCCCAACTGGACTGTTGCACGTCTTTTCTCTACAGCCTCCACAAAGCCCTCATCTCGAAACTCTGGGTGATCCAAAATTCCATTGCCAGACTTCTCACCGTCACTGTAAATAGAATCACGTAACCCCGATACTTCATGGCCAACACTGGCTCCCAATCCAATTCAGGATAGATTTTGAGGTCGCACTAACCATCTCCGAGGTCCTTCATGGACTCGCTCCTGCCTCCCTCTCTCTCCTTTCATCTCACTCATTCTCCTCTGCTGCCTGAATAGTCTGGAATTTCTTTCCCCAAGCCAACTGTGCTGTTGACTTCCTGCCTCTGTTATGTTCCAGATTCAAGACCTTCATTTGTCCTATATCTGTGACTGACAGCATCTATAAAAAAAATATGCCCACTAAGTCTGTGCAACATCATCACATGTGGTCTCCATTTACCGTATTCACTATATACATCCACAGTTGTATTGTATTATATATACTTGAGCGGGGGATGTGAGTAGAATAGATTTGGGGCTAGCAGTTAAGTTGGGGCTTGCAAGGGGTGAATGTAGAGGAGGTATAAGCACAGCAGAGTGGATGGAGGGCTGTCTAATTCAGTGTTCTCCATTCCCCTTTTGCCCTCGTAATCACTTGAAGCAAAGTGGATACGCTATATCTGAATGCAGTAATCGCGGCTCAAGTAAATATGGGGATCATGTTGATCGAATTCTAATGTGGATCGAACTCGACCTAAAATTACCTAAATCCCGCTGCTCGCTCATCTAGGTGAGGTTGTGACCCCTGGCTCAGCTGCTCGCTCTGCATACCTGTGTCTGGTCGTCTCCGCGCCCTTGACTACGAACCATAGGCACTGCTTCTCCTCCAATGTTATTGTCCTCGCAGTCGCTGTTGAGTTCTCAATTCTCCATCCCCAATACCTGTATTCCCCTGTCTGTGTCCCTCTTCCTGTCTCCTCTGCACTCACTGTCCCATGTCCGCGTGTTCTCATAGTTACTCTCGTCAAGGTGTCCTACGTCTCCTAATGCCCTTGTGTACCTATGTTTAAGTTTTCCCCATACCCTCTATGTCTCCGCGACTTCTGTTTTCTGTTTCTGCTATTTCATCAGTTTCCCTTTGACTGCTGTGTTCCCCGTGTCTCTTGACACCCTACGTCTCCCATGTCCCCTGTGGGTCCATGACTCCCTGTGTCCCCTGTGTCTCCTGTGTTCCCCTTGTGCTCAATACCTTATATGTTCCCACATCCCACTGACTCTCACATTCCCCATGTCTCAATGAAACCTGTGTCCTCACAAATATCGATCGCTCACGTCCTCATATCTCCCTTGCCAATTCATGTCGCCCTGTGTCTCCCATGTCTCCTGTGTGTCGCCCCGTTCCCCATGACCCCTTTGGCCCATGACTCCCACGTCTCCGTGAATCCCGAGTCCCCGTGACCCACGTGTCCCCGTGTCCCCGTGTCGTCTCAGTGCTGCGGGAGCCGTACACGGTTCGTCTCGAGGACCAGAAGGCGATGCGTGGATCCACGGCCGTGTTCCGCTGCGTGGTGCCGTCCTACATGACGTCATACGTGACGGTGACGGCGTGGGAGCGCGACACCGTCCCCATAGCGCCCGGTACGGGGACCCACGGACGCTCACTCATACGCTCAACACGTACAAGTAGAGAGATGCCAACTTGCATACGGACACTGCGCCCTACAGCGTGCGGCGCTATGGCAGTATGATCTGCAAGAACAATTGCTCTTAGTGAGCACCTATAGTGTGGGGTTGAGCCTGGATAGTGCCTGATGTGCTACCACCATGCACAGCAGCTCATTATAGGCTGTGGTCAATGTGCTGAGCAGCAGAGGGAAGTGCATACAAATCAATTATTGTGCTGTACTTCTATGCTCCCACGTCTATGCTGCCTGCCTTCAGCAACCCACACTTAGGAGTGTGGTAATGTGTGGGAGGCTCCTCATCCAGCAGTGTATTAATAATAGTGCTGTACATTTACATGCATTTAAGATGGTGTCTAAAGCAACCTGCTCTGAGATCCTCACATGACACACACGTGCCAACAAGACTAAGCCTATTCACTTCTTACACACTGTACATCATATCCTGACACACATACTGTACAATCATGTTAACATTTAACAAACACACAAACATAACCAAATGCCAACCAACCGCATAAACATTTCATTTTGTATGTATTCTGTATGTGGCTGCTGCACACACACACGTACTTGTATGTCTATGCATAGAGAATACATACAGCCCTTTGTTATTCCACACGCATTGTGATCGGCATGTACATGGGTGTACATGCACAACAAACACATGTGCGTGTGTATATGTACACGCATACATACACGTATACAACAATACAATAACACACATATCTACACACATACATAAGCACTTGACACGAGCGATGTGTTTGGTATGTATATGGATATGCCGTACGCATGCACGCACACGCAGGGTTAACCCATTATCATTCCCTCCGCGTGCACGATTGTGTCAAATCCGCGGGGAGTGAGCTTTAAAGGGCCGCTCTATTGAACGATGCTTCCACTGTGCTTGGACCTGTAGATGACGTACACACACGCGCACATATGCACATGCACGCTTGTACGTATGTATGTTTAACTTCTTTCGCACCGTATGTAGCCAACCATGCTAACGCACATGTGTACCTAAACACGTATGTATACACATGCAAAGACACACTTACACGTGTGTTCGTACATACATATACAAATATGGACAATTACGCAAATACACACATGCTCACATACATTCACAGATACATACAAAGATAAATGTGTGTACATTTACATACACATAACACACGCACACACATGTGCAAGCATACAGAGACAAAGATCCCCCTTATAGCCTCTGACATACTGTTGGCGAGCATCTATGAGGGCCGGCCTATGGCACATGATGGGGTGGGGGACCAATATCACGCCCAACTGCCTTTGTCACCCTAGTGCTGATGTTTACGCACTACACCAGGTACTCATTTGACGCTGTGTCAATCTAGGGAAGGCCCAAGACTGGTTTTGCATATACACACACACCAAGACAAACACACACACATGCACACATTCACGCTTACACGCACCGAAAGACACACACAAATGCACACCCACATGTACACCCGTGCACTCCCATACTCACACAGAGACAAAGGTTCCTTTAAAACCTCAACAGACTCTCGGGGCAAGTGCTTTTAACGAGAACTTATTAAGGCTGGCACGGCACACGAGAGGGTGGGTGGCCAGCACCACGCACACTAGCACATTCCTCTCTCATAACAGGTACGAGGCTGGGAGTTCACTGTTTGAGCAGGCAGTGGTGGTGTTGTCCTTATCGCTGACTCGGCTAGAATCATCAAACTCGCTACAAGCGAGAAACTGGACTCTTGACCATGTTTGGGGACTGGGATTTGGACCCAAGTCTCAGAGGTGCTGCGTCTGTGGCTGCAGCCATGTGAAACCCCCGTGAGACAGAGACACCCCCGTCCCTATGGCTTAAATCTCAGACTTGTACAGTGTTGGCTCCATGGCTCTGACACGGCCATTCTGAAACCCCTAAGCCACTTCTCGTAGAATGGTAATTTTATTGAAGCATCTTTATCTTTCACTGCCGTTGGGCTGTCAATATGGATGTGTCCTACTGGACATCTGTGAAAAAAAAGCTTCGTAGTTTGTTGGATTCCTCCAGTCTGAATAACGATTCAGATCTTTATTTATATGCCTGGTGTTACATTTGGTTGTTGGGCCATTATTGTGGTTGTTATACAGTAAGTTTTGTTATGTTTGTCAGTTTGGAAATTATGCCTTCAGTAAGGCTATTATATGGTTCGTGCTGTTCGCTTGGTTATTATGCTGCCTGTGGTTGGGCTGTCATTGGGGTTATTACATCGTCAGCAACGTTGTTTCGCTGTTCGGTTGTTCTGCTACTGTGGTTATTACACTGTCAGTATGGTTGTTGTGTTGTGATTTAGGTTCATTGTCGTTGTGATGTCACTCTTGCTCAGCTTCGTTGTGGCAATGTCAGGGTTGCTGTTCTGCTCTGAGTGTGGTTGTTGTGCTGCCATTCTGGGTTTTGTTCTATCAGTGTTATATGGGCATTGTGGTTGTTGTGTTGTCAGTATGATTAGTGTGTTGTCAGTGTGGTTGTTGTGTTGCCAGTGTGCTTATTGTGTGGTCAGTGTGGTTGTTGTGCGGTCAGTCTGGTTGTTGTCCTATCATTTTGGTTGTCGTGAGGTCAGTGTAATTGTTGTGTGGCCAGTGCTGTTGTGCAATCAATGTGGTTTTTTGGGCTGTCCTTTAGGTTATTGCGCTGTCAGTGCCGGTGTGCCATCATTGCCGTGGTGCTCTAAATACAGTTGCTCTGATGTTTTTGTGTTCATTGTGCGAAAACACATTGTGGTTTTGTGGAGCGGCATTGCCTGTGTTTCCGTGGTGACGGATGCTGTTAATTCGCTATGAATGTATTTTTGGTTTTATAAAGGAACAAGTCCATATGTGTCAATGGGGACTTAGCATGCGCACGTCCACTCTCTATGTTCTCACACAGACACACATCACTCATTTAGCTTTATTGACCGTCGGGGAAAACATGCCGTTAGCGAGCACCGATTAAGCACAGCATGGCAACACAAGAGGCTTGTGTGGCCAACACGACGCTCAGCCCGCCTTTGTCTCCCCGGCGCTGGCGTTGAGGCTCCGCACCAGATACTCTTTTAAAAGTTGAGTCGACCTACGGGAGGCCCAGGACAGTTTCAGACACCGCTTGCCACTGGTGAAAGTTTTGGGCGGGGAATCGAACTCGGTTTGCCAAGTTTATAGCATCGCACAAACCACTGCTCCACCATGTCCCATTGTACACAGACACACAGATCGATGGGTAGGTAGCCTTCACACGAGAGGTCGAATGATTAACCTCCCCCCAGATTAATAATAAAAATGAGTGATTTTGTATTTAGTAGCGTCAACGATGCCAACTGCATCTCACAACGCTACACAATCAACAACACACGGAGCTACATGTATATTTAGATGTTTTCAGCCCATTCATTAGTTTTGTTTTTAATACGTGCGGGAGGAGTACGGCATCTCGGCGCCTACAGGAAGGGAGTTGAGCAACGTTTGTGTGATCCACCAACCCTTGTTTTTACAGTGTTGGATTACAGGCGGCGTGCATAGCCACCACCGCCCAATTGGTGACGATTCGATGAAAACATATCTTATTTTTTTTAACACTGTGGTGAATATAGTGGCTGAAGGGATCACGTGAGCCTTTTAGATCCAACAAATATGAAATTTAAGCAGTTGCTTTTTGGATACGAGATTCAATGCATGTATTGTGGGCTTAATAATCAATATTAATCTATAGATCGATCCATCGATCAACTATTGAATTAACCTCAGTTTACCCAGGTCTCCCTTGCATGAGAGATAATGTTTGATAAAGGCTCCGTTGTTAGTGCTCACCCCGTGTGTTTTCTGAATGTGTAATAAATGCCCTTTAATGTATGTATGCACACATTTATGGAATGGAGATTGCATGTACATCATACATAATACAGAATGTTCTCATGTGGATTAGGGTATGTGGTGTGTGTGTGCGCCCACGTGCACTCTGTGGGGAGCGGCAGTGTCGTGGTTAGCGTACTGCACTATAAACTCGGCGAGCCGAGTTTGATTCTCACTCACGACCAATAACTGGTGAATATTTGAACCGGTCCGAAGCCTCCCCTAGGTCGACTCAGCCTTGAATGAGTAGCAGTATTGAGGTATCCGCATTCGAAAGGCAAAGGCGGCCAGGCATGGTGCTGGCCACCCACCCCCTACTTCGTGTGCCGTGCCGGCCTTCGTAGGTGCTCGCTAACAGCACTTGCCCCAACAGTCTGTTACAGGCTATACGGGGGATCTTTATCTATGTGTTTATGCACGTGCACACATTTGCATTTGTGTCATTTTGGCAAAATGTTAAGGTGCGTCGTGGTGGCTAGATGTTAACGACCTTGCCTGGTATACAGGAGATTGTGGGTTCGGTCCCGACCCTGATGCCTGAATTTGCATGTTCTCCCATTGGTCGCGTGGATTTTTCTTCGGGTCCTCCGGTTTTTCCCTTTACATTTAGAAACATGCTTTTACAGTATTTGACTGCTATACATTTTCATGTGATAAGCCACTTCGGTGAGCTATCATTTGTGGCCAGGTCGCTTCTGAAAAAGTTAGTTTAGCTTCGTCTACATGGCCTGGATCTTACCTAAATCGACTCAGTCTGAAATGGGAAGCACCATGGGTAGTGATTACGTTGTGGACAGCAGTGGGGAGACAAAGGTGGCTGGACAGGCGTGGTTCTGGCTACCCATTCACACGTGCGCTCACTGTGCCAGCTGCAATATGTGCTTGCTAACAGCACTAGTCCGATACACTATTCGGCGTGAAGGGGGGAACCTATGTTTTTGTTATATATTAGTGTGTGCGTGCGTACACATGCTCATTTGAATGCCTGTCTATGTGTTCATGGGTATGCTCGTATCCAAATTATGTGTGCATATGTGTGTGTGTGTGCATTGATCGTAATTTGGTTAGCGTGATTGTTTTGCTGTGCATGTGTGTAGACATCTACGTTTTATATGCATACTGTTTGTGGGGAGCAGTTCAATACCGGACCATGGCTAACATCAATGGTTGAACAATATCTGAACTGGTCCTGGGCTTCCCCTACATCAACTCAGCCTTCAGTGAGAACCGGTGCGGCCTTGTAAATGTCACTCCAGTACTGGGGAGATAAAGGCGGTCGAGTGTAGTGCTGCCCACATCACCTTCTGACAGTGCCGTCCTGGCCTTTATTAAGTGCTCGCTAAATAGCACTTGCCACAACAGTCCTTAGAGGCTATACGGGGAATCTTTTGTCGCGATCGTTGTCTTTATACCGTATATGCATACACTGCCTGGATATGCAATCATGTGTGAGTTCATGTGTTTTATATGACTACGTGTATATATGTATAACCGTTAACACACACAATATGCATGTATGTGCACTTGCAGCTACATACAGAATTTTATGTGTGTGCAAATATCTACATGTATGCATGCATATTGTACATCCACGTGTCTTTTTAAAATACATTTTAACGTGTATAATTTGTACGTGCATTTGCTCGTGCACAGCGAGTGATGCTCGTGCATATGCACAGGATATTTATTTATATGCATGTGCGCACATGTGTGCACAAATCCACTTGCAGACATTCGCATATAATGACCCCGGCCTTGTATGTGTGCGGGTGCGCATATGCACACGTGTGTCCATCCACAAGCAAATGGTTATGCACATGCATGCGCGTACGTGCGCATCTCCCCATGTGTGCATGCGCTTGCACACATATTGCACACGTGTGTCCGTACAAGTGCCTGCACGCACAACGCTGTTTCGCTGTGCCCTTCCCTCTTTCACTCCTCTCCCTCTCGCCAGTTGCTGACCCAGATTTTGCGGAGCGTTATGATGAACCGCGCATGACGGCTGTCGATGCCGAACCCATTACAGCCCTAAACCCGGTAGTGGCCCCTCCCTCCTGCCGCCACCGCCGCCGTTCACGTCGAGACCGGGGAGGATGATGGGGAGACTGCGGGAGATAGCGTGGGGGGGTGAGCGGCGGTGGTAGTGATGGTGGAGGGAGTGGGGGGCTTAATTAATAGGGCACGATGGCATTTGCCATTCCGGGCCATAGGGTACGGGGGGTGGGGCTGTAGGGCGGGAGACACAGCGGGATAAGCCCTGTGTCCATCCGCAACCCCTGTTCCGCTCTCCCTGCTTAGGGGCTGCTGCTGCTGCCTTTGTGCCATTCTGTTCCATGAGACATTCAGGCTGTGCCATGTGCTTGTCCTAGTAAACAAAAAAAAGATCACACGAAGAATGTGCGTAGTTTGCACTGACTGAAAAAAATAAAAAATACTTTGCCATCGTAAATAATGCAGCCTTTGAACTTATGTATATATATTTTTTATTATTGTTCCCCCCCAATTTGATGTGTGCTCGCACATCGGTGTCATGTCCCGAGATGAAGATTTTTATGATAATTCTTGCAGAGCAGTGAATCACCCCAGAGGCTTGGAGAACAGCCTGCAGAAGGAGATGTCACAGAACTGCTTGTGAGATACCTTCAAATAACCTCTTATTCACACTAGGGGGCAGCACTTTCCCATCTGCCCTGCGACAGAGTATTATTAGATGAACGAAAATAAAACTGAGATTTTTTTAATCTCGAAGCTCTAACTTAGCAGCTTTAAGTGCAAATACACGTTTAACATTATGACATTTTAAGCAGTTCTTAGTGACTGGGCTGAAACCATTAACTCACTGAACTTAAGACAATCCTGATTTCGTTTAATCATGGGCAAGTGACCAGATTAGAAATCAGGATCTAGTCGTTAGTACCAGCTCAGCGCTCTGACCTTTGATCCATTCTGTTGCCTCTTGAATTTTTTTTTCAGCTAAATACAATACAAAACACACATTGGCCTGTTTATATGCCAAAATCATATTAAGATGCATTGGACGAATGTTTTGCAGCAGCGTTTGTTGAAACAGGCAAACCCTGGCCTAATTTCAATATCTGAGTCTCGTAATTACGCATAATCCATCGGCAAAGCTTTTATGCTCCCTGGCTTCACCAACCTGCCCTAACCAACATGGTGAAGTATGCTCAGATAAACCTCCTAGGTGGGCCTTCATCCAGCAGTGGATTGACAAAAGAGCCGTACTCCTGCTATTAAATAGTAACAACAGGCCATTATTGTATTTTTATTTACCCAGGAAAGACTCACTGAGTCTCAAGACTCTTTTTACGGAGGGTCCTGCTTGGTATATTTTGGTCCAGTTCCTTTGTGGGTTTTTTTCGGTAATGGCCAAAACCGCTCAAAATAGAAGGAACGTTGCTATCAAACAAATTGCATTGTTGGAAACCTCAGCCTGTATGTGATTTACCATTGCAAAGCGGTGTCTGTCAATGAGGAAAGCAGTAAAACACTGTAAACTTTCTCCCTGTCCACTGCTGCCAATGCACTGCCTGAACATCGATTTTGTTGCTAATTTTCAAATTGAGCCACTGTGTGAGTTACTGCTCACTCACCTGCATGGATGAGGACGGCGCCCAATGCTTGTGTGACTCCTCGAAAGGATGAGGATCTCGAGAGACACCAAACAAACCGACTGAAATGATCGAGTGCTCTCTGGATGTTGGAGCATGATGCAGAATCTTAAAGCATGTCAGGTGGAGGCCGGCGATATTATTGCTACTATTCTGCTTGTTTACTCAGGGAAGCCTCACTGCGTTTCATGACTCGAGGGTCCTGCCAAGTTTTCGCACTTGGGGGCAATGATTGCTACTTAGATTAATTCCAATTAAGTAATTTGCAGGGAACTTTTCAAATTTTGCATATTTGAACCATGACACCGGCACACAATGGCCTACTGTTACAAGTGACATCACAGAATCTTTAACGTCCACTGCGAAGCAGACGGCACATAGCATTATTATGGTTGTTACACCCCTAGTATTAACAAGCGTGGCCACTGGATTCGAACCGTGCACCTCTGCAACAAGCCGTGGACGTGCTACTGCTAGGCCGTGCCACTGCCCTGTGGCAATGCCACTTCTGCGATTCTGTCTTTGGTATTCCACGTGTGCCGTTCTGGCCTCAAGAGGTGCATTTGGCTCACCATGGAACAAAGATGGTCACTGCATCGCGCGCTTTCAGATGCGCTTCTGCGGCCGTCTTGAATGCTTGTCCGATATTAGGAAGCCACTGGAGCTATCCACTTTTAAATTTATATTGTAAGCTAATTTCTTTAGAACTGCTTTTTGTCTTTGGTTTGTTGTCCTTATCCCACACCTCTGATTAGCGTGGTTGACTGCGTACGGTGCGAAAGAAGTTCAATATTCTTACACATACATAAACGGGGTGGAGGGGATCTTTATTATTGTGCTCGTACGTGTGCGTGCAGACGGACGGTTCTTGATCACGCGCGCTGGCGTGCTCCACATCAGCGATGTGCAGAAGGAGGACGAGGCGCACACGTACCGCTGCGCCACGCGGCACCGCTACACCGGGGAGTCGCACACAAGCAACTCGGCGCGACTCGCCGTCATGGGTACACGTGCACCTGGCACACACATGCGTACGTGTATGTACGCAGGCGAGCACTTCGCCTACACCCACGCGTGTACGTGCGTGCCATGTGCAGTTTAAATGAGATGGCGGCTAGTACGGGGCCTACACATGTGTCTCACAAAAAACAATTATCGAAGGAGTTACCGTTGGTTTAACAAAGACTCGTGCGAGTTAAAATTGGTCCGAGAAATACTTAAATGTGGAAGGCAGGGTCGCACACTGGCCAATATTGGATGGATTTACCAAGCAGTAGAATGAGACCGGGCTGTACTGTACATTATCAATATAGTTCAATGGTACGGACTGGCATAGTTCGAGGAAGAGAAAGAGTTTATGGAGCAAGTGTGAGTGAGAGAATCAGAATCAGAATCTTTATTTATTCTTGAAAAATCCGATTAACTATGAAGTTATTTTTTACAGATGTCCAGTAAGAGCGGGTCAGAAAGTTACAACAACAAAAAGTACAAATAATGATAGGAGTGCAAAGTATAGTAAAGGTAAGAAAATCATTAAAAATACTACTTTTACTCTAACTAAACAATTTTTAGTTTACCAGGTAAAGCCCACTGAGCTATTAGTTATTTTTCAGAATCGACCTGGCCACAAATGATACCTTAACGAAGTCGCTTATCACGTGGAAATGTATATTGACCAATAAGCTAAATGTGCGTTGATTCTAAATGTGGAGGGAAAAACCGGACGATCCGGAGAGAGAATCCAGGCGACTGCGGGGAGAACGCACACACACGGGCCGGGACAGTCTGCTCAGGGGTGCCTCGGGCATGCCTGTGTTTTCTCTTTGGAGACAAGGGTTGGTGGATCACGTCGAGATTTACGAGGCTCCCAAACTCCCTGGGGTTGTGAGATTTAGCCAGGTGGTGTCAATGAAGAGTGTGGGCGGTAGAGAGAGGGAAAGTCAGGAGAGTAGAGAACTGAGTAAACAAGAAGGAGCGATATGGAGAGAGACCGTGAGAAAGGGAGATTGAAGGTGGTGAATCTGGTGGCTTTGAGATTACGAGTGCTGAGCTGTTGTGTGTGTAGTAACAAATTGGCTCGTTTTGTTTTCGTGAGAAACCTCACTAATTGGTTGTGTCGGGTGGTGGCGGTTTCAACGACATTTATATTTACAAGATCTAACTACAATTTTTTTTTATTTTGGATAATATTGGTCACGAAAGCCTACGTGTTAAATTGAGCTAGCACTGCTGATATCCTGACTTCGAATCAATGCGGTAACCTGTGACTGTATTTATTCTGAACATTCACCAGCGAGTGTTCAGAAAAGTCCCATTCCGTTAAGTTTGGTTTCGCACTTAATTTGGCTAAATGAAAGGCATTGCTTTGACTAGTTATCATTACTCTCAGTGGCAGGGAAGGGTGGGGAAGTGGCTGCCCTCTACTGTGTGGACCAGATGTGAAAGTGGCTGAGAAGTAGCTCGACAATATCGATGTCCGTGCGTTGTTCTCTCACGTGAAAGGGTTGCAACTGCTCTGCGAGGGATCCGCCCGGATTCTTTGTCTCGTGACGCGACGCTGATAGTGCAGGTGGAATAAATGTGGGTGAAAGGACACACGTAAATAAGTAAATAAACGGGGAGTGGATGAGAGCTGATCAAAGGAAAAGAGCATAAATCTGAGAGATTGAGTGAACAAGAGGCAGATCAAGTTCCGGGGGAAAGAGTGTGAAAGAGTGGGAGGAAGAGCTACAGTGAGAGAATGAAAGAGGAGAGAATAGGTTGGTGAGTTAGATCGACAGAGGAATACGTCATGGGATTTAATGTAATGTATGGCCATTTTTAAAATCCACTGCTGGATGAAGGCCTTCCCACACCATCCAGTCAGGCGGGTTGATTTGACCATATTTGATCACACTGGTCAGTGTGGATCGGTGAAGGGGGTACCCAGGACCGGTTCAGAAATAACTCTTCACCGATGTTAGCTGTGGTTGGAAATTGGAACCCGGGTCGCCGGGTTCATAGCACACTACTTTAACCTCGAGAGAAGGTTAAATATTAACAGGGTGACTTTGAGTGAGACAATGGCCACGTTTCTGCTTATTTCTGTCAATTTGTATTTTTGTTACAAAAAGTTGTAGAAATGCATTTACTATCGATGCACAAATCAGACATCAAGGACTATATTAATGTGTGGCTGAACGATTATCTTCATTAGATTTTTGGCAAAAACACCACAATGCCTCTTTTGTCAACACTGGGTAAATTGCCAAGGCGATGTGTTTTAGACATTTAGTCAAGATGTTAATCAGACTTCTAAGACTCTGTGGGATAAAAACGCGTGTGTGTGTGTGTGTCTGTGTGCATGTCACTAGGTTTCCATCAATAAGGAGGAGATTTGATTGTTTTCATTGGAATAAGTCAAGAAGCATTTTCCAAAACGGAAATTTTTCTCCTTTCGTTCGGTGATGATTTTGTGTGCTCTGAGTTGTTAAGTAGATCAGGCGAGATTGAGCTGCGGATCTTCAGCAAGAGATGCATTCGTTTTCATGTGTGCTATTATTTTTTCCCCAAACAACTTTTTGTTCGAAATAAATGGTGCTCGTTCGAAAAAAATATAACGATTGGAAACTGGAACTTGACAGCGTTGTATGTGGGTGCTGGTTTGGCGTGTGTGTGTTGTGGGGAGTGGTAGTGTAGCAGTTAGCGCGCTGCATTACGACTCCATCAACTCGAGTTTGATTTCTGCTCACAGCCAACACCAGTGGCGATTATCTGAACTGGTCCTGAGTCTCTCCTAGGTCGACTCAGCCTCAAATGAGTACCTGGTGCGATGTGTATACATTGCCACTAGGGAAACAAAGGCAGTTGGGCGTGGTGCTGGGCACCCACCCCTTTGTGTGCTGTGCCGGCCTTCATAGGTGCTCCCTCACAGCACTTGGCTCAAAAGTCTGTTAAGGCTATACGGGGGGTCTTTTCCTCTTCTGAGTGAGCATGGGTCTTCAACTGTGTGTTATTGGGAGAGCGTTTTAATGTATGTGAATGTCAATTCTTGTGAGTGTGTAAACGAGTGTGGCTTACGGGTGCTGGACGCGCGTACTGGGTACTATACACGCACATTATCTACACGTATGTGAATATTGTATAGTATGTCCTTACGTCTATTTGTGAGCATATTCGCGAGTATGCATACAGCATACTCGAGTCTCATAGAGCACTTGGCCCAACTGAAGCCTATACTTTTTCTTTGTGTGCATGTGTGTGCCTGCTAATATAATTGTGCTTGCACAAGTGTGCTTGCACGAGTGAGTATGTGTATATGTATATAAAGTATGGGTGGGGAGCAGTAATTTAGAGGTTAGCACGCTGCACTACGAACCTGGTGACCCGATTTTAATTCCCACTCACGGCCAACATCTGTGGCCATTATCTGAACCAGTCCTGGGCTTCCCGTAGGTCGCCTCAGCCTCAAATAAGTACTTGGTGCGGTGTATACAAATATCACCACTGGGGACAAAAAGGTGGTCAGGCTTGTTGCTGGCCACAGACCCCCTCGTGTACCATGCCGGCCTTCATAGGTGCTCGCTACCAGCACTTTCCCCAACAGTGTGTTAAGGCTACACGGGGGATCTTTGTATAACGTCTGCCCGTTCGTACGTGTGTGTGTGTGTGTGTGCCTGCGCATGCGTTTGCGGTGTATGTGTGTGTGTGTGTGACGTGCGTGTCCATGTGCAGAGCCAGCACGAGCCTCGCCCGTCATCCTGGACTCCATGCCGGGACACACGCAGGTGTGGGCGGGTCAGTCGGTGGAACTGGCGTGTCGCGCCGTGGCACACCCGCCGCCCACACACCGTTGGGTGCGCGATGGCAAGGCCGTCATGCAAACACAGGTGGGGCAGTCGCTCTTGCCCAGGGCAAAGCCACCGAACGGCATGGTTCTGCCAGCACAATCTCAGAAAGGCTCTCTCTCCCGGGTGTCTAAAAGCAGTTGTTGTGAAATTCATAGATTACGTCCCAAGTTGAATATTTCCTGGCCTCGTGCTCAGTCAGATTATTCTGGCCATAATGGCTGATACGGTAGCACGCAAGTTATATGGGGAAGGGAGGGTTTACAGCGGTTGCATTGTATAACAAAGGCAGGGAAGTATTATATATATATGGCTGATAAACAACCAGAACTATTTACATTGGAAATATATCTCGATTTATAAGTGAGAGAGAGAGAGGGGGTGACAGAGAGAGGGGGTGCCAACTCGCCACGTGTCTCGGTCGAGTCTCCCAGAAATTTGGTGGCTTTACCTCCGAGATCGAAAAATGCACGCCCCAAATGCAGCGGAGGTTAGTGGATCGCGTAGATTTGTGAAACTACTAATATCGCCGGGTAGCGAGGTTGCCAGGATATGATGACGCAGCTGGTGGGTTTATTCATCCGTTTCTGCAGCCCTTTGAGTGTTTTTTCTTCGTATGCTTGGTGGGTTTTCTCTGAGTATACTGCTTTCCTTCCACGTGGAAATCTCTCATTCAAAGTGAATTTGGCAAGCTTAGCAGTGTAGAACCATCCTGAAAAAAAGTATTTGTAATTAATAAGGTTTTTTTCTGGATAAATGGGGCATGTTAATTTTGTTTTGTATAGAGCACACACGTTTGCATAAATCAGTTGGGATGTAACAAATCACACACTGCCATAATTTGGACCACAACACCCTCTTGTGTGTCACATCAGCCTGAAGAGAAACGTGTTTAGAGTATTTGGCTGCTATTAATTTCCACATGATGAGCCACTTCGTTGAGCTATTATTTATGGCCATGTTGCTTCTGAAAAATAGCTGTATAGCTCAGTAAGCCTTACCTGGTAATTTTTGTTAAAAATATAATTTAGTATTTTAGAATAGGTTATCGCTAACTGCAGTCTATGTGTTGACTACACCGGGATCTTTGTTCATGGTGGTATTTGTATTCGTGGAAGCAGCGGTCTTCATGGCAATAACTGTTGGCGGTGGTGTTGAAGATGATGATGATGATAGTGGTGGTGGTGTTGTTGATGATGATGGTGAAGTTGATGGTGCTGCTTCCAGTGTCGTCAATGATAATGTCGATGTTGACGGTGGAGAAGGTGCTGGTGGTGGTGGCTACGGCGGTGCCGACGGTCGCATTGTCTCCTCTTTGGTTCCATCGTCAGGGCCGCTACCGTATGGACCAGGCTGCGCTGCGGATCGACAACGCCCATCCGGGGGACTCGGGCACTTATGCGTGCGAGGTGTGGAATGAGCTGGGCGCCGCTCACACATCCGGCAGGCTCACCGTTACCGGTGAGTCCGGAGCACACCCCCCCCCCCCCACCCAGTTCCCCTCGCCTCCCCCTCCGCCCGTCCACAGTGCTGTGGACTCACTGCCAGAAACGCTTTGAAAAGAACTTTGTTTCCTAAATGTTGTTCTGTTATAGGAGAAATTGAATAATATGTTAAAGTGTCTCCATGCATACATTCGCATGTGACTGCATTCACCTCTATTGGTTGGCTATACACCAGGGTGAATATTCCACATTCCCCTGATGGAAGCCAGTTTATCCATAGGAGATTTCCCACAAAGTAGCACTATTTATATTGGCCCCAGAAGGTTGTCAGTCTCCAACTAGAGGGTTGTGTGGACTCTCTGCACATACATTTAGTACCCACAAAAACATGTGTCTAGCGTCTGTATGTGTACACGTGTTTCTGGGAAGTGGTAGTGTAGCAGTTAGCGCGCTACGAACCCGACGACCCGAGTTCAATTCCCTGTCACGGCTGCCAACACCCGTGATGATTATCTGAACTGGTCATGAGCCTCCCTTAGTTCGACTCAGCCTCAAATGAGCACCTGGTGCAGTGTGTAAACATCGCTACTGGGGAGACAAAGGCGGCTGGGCATGGTGCTGGCCACCCACCCCCTCGTGTGCCGTGCCGGCCTTCATAGGTGCTCGCTAACATCACTTGCCCCACCAATCTGTTAAAGGCTATACGGGGGATCTGTACGTGTGTGCATCTGATACAAGTGTATGTATATGATACAAATGTATGTTGTATCTGTGAGTACGTGTGTGTGTACGATACATGTGCATGTATCTGATATACGTGCATGTGTCTGGTATCTGTGCGTGTGTGCATGCGTGCGTCGCCCCACGTAGAGCCGCTGCGCGTGTCGCTGTCTCCACGGAACGTGCGCACGAGCGCGGGCAGCTCCGTGGTGCTCACCTGCACCGTGTCGGGCGGCGGCGTCCGCTTCGCGCCGGACCCCGCGCTCGGCATGGGCTCTTACCGCGTGCGGCCGGGGGGGGCTCGCGCCGGAGGTGGGCCCCCCAACTCCTGCAAAAATCACCGACCTCCATACCCAGCTACCGGAACATTCAACTCGCCCAACACTCACCTACCCTGTCACCCAACTCCCCACTCCAAACAATCACCTACCTTAACATCCAGCCGTGCCGCTCTCTGGTGTAGATATGGTGAATGGCATTCTGAGTGTTTAATGTGTTGTGATGAGTGTTGTGGTAAGTGAGTGTTGTGTGCCGTGCCGCTGTCTGTGGTAGACATATACGCCGCGTCGGACTCGTCCTCCCCGCGTTATCCGGGCTGGGAGCCGGAGTTCCGCATCACCTGGTACCACAACGGGGAGCGCCTGCGGGAGGGTGGAGGAGCTCGCGTGCAGGTAACGGTCTGACTCCTGCCTCTTGTGCAGACGCCCGCCTAATTGGTTGTCCACCAGACAGCCAGACTATCACAGAACAGTCAGTATATCAGCCAGTTATCTGGTTAGCCAGATAATCACCTAATTAGCTCATCCAGTCAGTCAGTATTGGCAAAACAGTCACTCAGTAAACCAGCCAATACGTGCCCATGTGTGTACACGTGTGTGTGCATGTGTACCCGCGTTTCTGCGTGCGTGCTTGCGTATCGGTGTGCGTACACGTGCATGCGTATCCGCGTGCTGTGTGTGCGTACTGGCGTGCGTGCGCACGTGCATACCCGTATGGATACCCCCATGTGTGCCTTACCTTTTTGTGCGCGCGTGCATGCGTACCCACATGGCTGCGAACCTGTGCGTGCATACCACCTGCAGGGGAGCCACAACCAGACGCTGGTGCTGACAAGTGTGACGCGCGCGCACGCCGGCGCGTACCAGTGCTTCGCCGTGACGCCACACGACTCGCAGCAGGACTACGCCCTGCTCGCACTCGAAGGTGCGACACGCGCAACACCAGTGCAGCTCTCGCCGCCGCAGCTGTTCTCTGAGCCTGTGTCTGTGGATCTCTGGGAGCTGTCCTGTGTCCGTACAAGTCCAGACTCAAGGCTCTCCTTTCATCCCCTGCCTATGACGTCTTCTTCCATATGGCCGCTGATGTAGATGCAGAGCAACAGCTACAATTTCACATTCAGGTGGTCAGATAATCGCGTTAGAAGTAGCGGAGTGTATCGCTGTGATGTCTCCTTCGTATTTGTTGATCGGGTATTGCGTCGACTGACCGCCTCTCTGTGTGTCTCTCGCTCTATCCAGACGGGACTCCGAAGATTGTGGCGTCGTTCAGGGAGCGCGTGGTGAGTCCGGGCGAAGCGTTCTCATTGGTGTGCACGGCACGCGGGAACCCCGCGCCCACCCTCTCCTGGCAGCTTGACGGGGAGCCCCTCCCCTCGGACGCCCCCCGTCTCACGCTCGCCACTTCGCCCGCCGGTGAGAGCGCTCGCATGCACAGACAAGGACAAAGATTCCCCAAGTAGCCACGTAGGCTGTTTTGGCAAGTTTTAGTTAGTGAGCACAGTTGAAGGCCGGTACGGCGCTCTAGCTGGTGGTATGTCCAGGACCACACCTGGCCACCTTTAACTGCCCAGTACTGAAGTTTATACTACATACTGCTTCAGTTATTCATTTAAGACTGAGTCCACCTAGAGCAGTTCCAGGGTGGGTTCAGATATTCGTCACTGATGTTGACCGTGGGTGGAAAGCTAAATCAGTTCACCAGGTTTGTAGTGCAGTGCACTCACCACGACACTCCTCCATGCATGTACACGCACACATTGCACATGTGGATGTGCACATGGGTGTAGTAAGATGCGTGTTTGTGCATGTCCATGCGTGTCCATGCGTACATTTGCGTGCAAGTGTTTGTGTGTCTGCGAGTGCCTGTGTGTGTTTACATGTCTGGTCGACACCCAGGAACAGGGCTTTGCAGGTTTGCAGACCATTTCTCTGAGGTCTTGGTGAGGGGAATGACCTCAGCCCAGATAACATCATGGGTGTCAGGTGGGGACAATCTTTGCTGGGGCCGCCATGCTTCAGATATTTGCAGAAGTCGCCACCCCTGTGAGTGGCTGGCTGAGGTCGCCATCTGTTAAGGAAGTACGAGGGGCAATCCGGAGTCTGAGACCAGGAAAATCGCCGGGCAGAGATGATCTCCCAAGTGAACTGCTGAGGGAGGGTGGCGTATTTGTGCAGACTGCCCTATATGACATAATCACAACTGTCTGAACCACAGGATAGGTTCCGCAGGATTGGAAGGATGCCCAGGTGTATGTATGTTAAACTTCTTTCACACCGTACGTAGCCAACCGTGGTAATCGGAGGTGGTCCCCCTTTTAAGAAGGCCAGGGCTCTGGGTAGTTCTTCGTGCTTTTAGGGTCCCTGACTATGCTCACAATCATTAAGGACCTTTATGATGGTGGGCAGACCTGGTTAAAGTTGCGTGGCCAGGAGTTAGAGCCACTCCCTGTTCATGTTGGGTGCGACAAGAATGTCCTCTGGCTCCCATATTATTTAACATTTCTTCGACAAGCTTTTCATGACTGGTACAGATACAATGGGAGGCTGATCGATGCCTGGGTGCGGTCAAGGCCTAGCTCCCTATTTGTCAACCATGTTATGGACACTGATGATCTGGTGGGTGTTGCTCACTGAGAATGAGTTGGAGGTTTTGCTGCTGAGTCTGAAGTATGCCACTAAGTAGAGGTGGTGCTTTACCATCAGCCCCACTAAAACTAAGCACCCGCCTGGGTATTTTGTGTCATCCAATACTCCACCCCCTCAACTTCCCCATGAGTGATGGGGCAGTCGTGGAGAGAGTGGAAACGTTTCTGTACATGGGCAGTGTGCTTATGGCCCAATTCCAGTTTGGTAGGAGAGGTTTCATTCCGAATCAGCCAAGCGGAATTATCTTTTCGGCAGGTGCAAAACGTTGTGTGGAAGCTACCTGGTCTGGGTCTTCTCGGCCACATTCTTGCCCTCCCTACTCTTTGCTTGCGAAATGGGGAACTCTCTAATGGAACATCTGGGCTGGTTTGAAACATTTAGGCTGGCCTGCCTACGATCCATCCTGGGTTTAACCAGGCTGTATTGTGTGAGGAGATCATAAATCCTTTAAAAGATCTGTGCACATTTACATCAGGGGGCTCCTCTGGCAGGCAAGGCTGCATTGGCTGGGTCAAGTATCCTGCTTGTCCAAGCAGCTTCTGTTTGGCCAGATCGAGGGGGTTAAACGGGCACGGCACGGGCTGGAGAAGAGATGGGCTGATGCAGTACAGATGTATGGGGAGCTCAATGGATTTGCTGAAGACTGGTAGCAATAGTGTCAAGATCAGCCTCGATGAAGACAGCACGTGAAGGACACTCCTGGCCAGTTGGAGGCAGTTGCCCTCCAACAACAGCGGAGAACAGAGGAGTGATGCTCAGAACAACGAGCGGAGCGCCGGGTGGCTAAAATGCAGAAAGTTGGCACAGTAGGGGCACAGTTGGTGCATCTGCCAGTCATCTCAGTCATCTGGGTTTGTCCCATAATTTCCTGTCAGCGAGCCTTCGACACTTCACATGGCCTCAGAGTGCACCTGGCCTGACACAAGCGCCGTAGTGACGTCACCACCACCTATTGGCGAATGGCGACCATTGTTGTTGGTCGTCTGCTTGGGGAGTGGTGGCTTAATGGTTTGTGCACCGCAATACAAACCCAGCTTATCGGGTTCGATTCCCACCCATGGCTAACATCAGTGGTGAATGATATCAGAACCGGTCCTGGTTGACACAGCCTCAGATGAGTGCCTGGAGCAGTTTATGAACATCGAGATTTGCTGAGACAAAGGCGATCAACCGTGGTACTAGCCACACCCCATCATGTGCCATGCAGACCCTAATAGGTGATCGCGAGCCGCATTTGCCCAATTGCCTGTGTAGGCTTTACAGGGGAGCTTTGTGTTTGTTGTCGTCTGTACCCATGCCTTCACTGATGTCTGCCCAGGCCTGTCTGCCCATACAGGCCTGCATGTCCATGCAAGTTGAATGCCCACGTGTGCCTGCGTATGTCCTTCTCTGACTTTGTAAGCCCATGCATGTCTGTGTGAATGCACGCATGCCTGTGTATTTGTGCCATTGCCTGACTGTTAAGTGCACAAATGCCCATCGGTGCCCATCCGTGTGTTCTGAAGTTTGCCTACCTCTGTGTGCCTGTCTGTGTCCACGCGTGTGTGTGTGTGCGTGTGTGCGTGTGCACAAGTCTGCCTGTCCATGCATGTTTGTGTGGTCGCCTCTAGGTCAACTCAGCCTTAAATGAGTACCTGATGTGGTATGCAAACATCAGCATTGGAGGGACAAATGCAGCTGGGCATAGAGCTGGCCACCCACACTCTCGTGTGGCACGCGCTGGTCTTCATTGATGCTCGCTAGCAGCACTTGCACCAACAGCCTATTCAAGGCTTTTCCGCGGAACTCTGTTTGCACAATTCTGGTTCTGCATGCATGCTGGTGTGCGCATCAGCGTGTATGTTTGCCTGTGTGCTGAAGACTGCCGATCTGTATATTTTTGTCTATGCATATTAGTGTGTATGTGTGCATGTTTCCACCCAAGCTTTCCTCCCTGTGCATGTCTGTGTGCGTGCATGTGCACACGCATACACCTGTGCATCCTGCTAGTCTGTGTGATATCTGTCCAAACCCTGACCTCCTCTTCCTTTTGCTCCTTGCCCTCCACACCCCCCGCACCTCCCAATCCGTCCCGCCCACCCCGCAGTGGGCGTTGTGGGCGATGTGGCCGACGTGGCCCTGGTCATGAGCCATGTGAACGTGAGCATGGCGCGCGTCACGGACAGCGGGACATACCGCTGCGTCGCACGCAACGCGCACGGCGAGGCCAGCTACCAGGCCACAGTCAATGTAAGAGGTGCTGGCAAGTTTTACTACTTCTTACGCACTCATGCCGGCCGACCCCGTGCACCCAACCCAGCCGACAGCCTCCCCACCACCTACAGATAGATAGACAGGCAGGCAGGCGGATGCAGGGGTTCATTTCAGCCGAGTTTGTCTGGGCTGGTGACCCGGAAATATTTCCACGCTAAGTGGATTGTTACAGAAATTTTCACAGCTTTGGGAGAGGCTTTCATCCAGTAGCAGAGAGATGATGGATGATGATGAGCCCATTGGGGGTATATCCGTGGTATAGTGGTTCATGAACCGAGTGACCTCAGTTTGGTTCACAGCCATGGTTAACATCAATGGCAGGTGATATCTGATACCCTTTTGGGCCCACTGCTTCACGAAGATAATTTATTAACTTCATCTCTTACATACACGAACAATTCCATGCACAAAAAAACACCACTTGAAACAAGTTATGATACAACCCAAAAATAATTTAAAAATAATAAAATATTGAGACTATGTATATAAAAACACATTGCAGGCTTCCTTTGTGCTTGTTTTGCTGACTCATCCATTTTCTACCCCGGGACATCACAAACATTTTCACAAACATCAAACTCTGGTACATATAATCCCTGAGGTTCGCCTGAACCTAATATCTCATCTAATCTGTATTATGTAAGAACTCATTATGCCGCTGTGACGAAGAGATGTCATCTCCCTCGCCTGATATGCAGGAGGCCGTTGGTTCGATCCTGACCCTGAAGCCTGTATATTTGGAGTTTGCGTGTTCTCTCTCTCCCCGTGGCCCTGCGTATTTTTCTCCGTGGCCCTCCGGTATTGCCCTCTACATTTAGAAACATGCGTTTACTTGATTTGGCTGCTACTATAAAATCACACAAATAATGGTATCAGCCACTTGGATAAGCTTGTCACGGGTGGCCAGGTCACTTCTGAAAAACAGCCAATAGCTCAGTGGGCTTTACCTGGTAAATAAAATAAGTTAGTTTTTGTTTAATTTTTTGGCAGCAGCCACTATATATTTATTGCTAGATGAATGCCTCTGAAAGCCATTGCCTCCATGGGTAAGCAAAAATAAAATTACTTCCTTTTGTCTCTCCGTGTAAACAATAAATACATTAGGCCATCAGTTTCTTTTGCATTCTGAACTAACGTCATCCAGCGGCATTTGCTTAAACAGGAAAACTGGACTGGTTTTGACCTTCTGCGTCTCAGTATCAGAGTCAGATCTGTGGAACGAATACTGCTGGGTTTGCAAGATGTTTTTGGCAAGAGCACTCCACATGACTGAAGTATAAAGAGAAGCAGCAGCAAGTTCATCCAGGCTAGGGGTCGTACATTTTGTCCAACCCCTTTAGCTCAGCTGGCCCTTCCCTCTACTCATTCCTCCCACCTTTCTTATATTTCGCTGCTCGTTTTGTTAAAATCAACTGGCCATGACATAGCTCATATCCCTGGGTCATTGGCTTCAATGTCGAGATGTAAATTCGCCCTCCCAGTCCCCCATATGTTGTGAGATTGTATGAATGGACACAAGGATGTTGTTTATTAGAATTTTGATTGCAATAGAAGTGGCCTGAGCAAAATGAGATTTCCTCCAATTTAACAAACACAGACAGACACAAAGCTAGGATCATGTAGGATCTGTAGTAACAGATGTGACTGGGTAGCTCAGGGGTTATTTTTGGCCAGGTCAGAGCACTGAGCCAGCACCACTGAGACCTCGATTTGGATCCAGGTTGCAGACAGCCATCATTAACTCTGGTTCTCAAGTGGAGCGAGCTGATGGTGCCAGCCCAGTCCCAGATGCCTGCACAAAAAAAAAATGTCTAATTTGTCATTGTACTAACTTTTTGCCCAGCCCGGCTCTGAGAATGCAAATTCATTAGACATGTTGCATGAATGCTCCGTGGCACTCTTGATGTAGTTTTTTTACAGCGCGCGAAGGAGTGCCGTCTTGTGTTGGTTGAGAGAGGCTAATGTTAAATTGAATCGAAAAGGAGTGCTGTGGTGTCACCTTCTGGGGCCATTGCCCGGCAGGATGTTGTGACGTTTGCCCTGTTGAGCCGAAAGAGTTCTAAAAGGACTTTTCTTTGCCTCATGCTAAGACCTGTATCTTCCAGCCTCTCGCATGCAACTTGCTTCCCGTTCTCTTGTAGTACCTTGCTACTTTCTATCATTCTCTCCTTCCCCCTCTCTGTCTTCACCTCTCTCTCTTCCTCTCTCTCTGCTATAAACACCTATTTCTTATTTGCCACTCTGCAACGGCCCTCTATAGCTGACTTGTTATCTCTATTCTTTGGGTCTTTTGGCAAAGTCACGTAGATACGTTCAAAGAAAATAACAAAAAAAAAACTACGACGTTTCAATCGCAACACAAGCGTTCGTCCACGACAAGGGCGCGGAGGTGGCTATGTTAATGTGAGAGATGAGCATGTTAATGGCAGATCGCAGAGCAGCAACGTCAAGCTCGGTGAGCGAGGTCGCTGTGCTAGTGTGGGAAATTTTACCTGTTAATGTAAAATTAAAGAGCCGAAAATAACAACTAACATCGGAAGGTGGTAGGATGGGAACATCACAGCCAGTTATGACTTTAAACTGGTTGATAACGTCTTTCCAATGATTACTCAGTTTATACCCATCTTCTCCATTGAAGTTGTGTCTGTGTCTGTATATGTCGATGGCTTCATGAACTAATCTTTGTTGATAGCCAGTGGGATTGCAAAGTACCTTCGTCTTAGAGAAATCAATTTCGTGTGAGCCCACCGCATTAAAACAATGATCAGCCACGGCCAAGGTATTGTTGCCGACCGTGTTTCAGGTCTGCCTTATGTTCATGAACACAGTCCGAGACATGTCGCTTAGTTTCCTCAATGTAACTACTGCTGCAGACACAGCTTAGTTTGTAGACGCCGGGGTATTGCATGTCAGGGATCACATCCTTCACAGATGGGATCAGATCACGTTATTTTATGTACTGTGTTAAATCGAACCTGGATTTTGTGTTTGTTTATGATTTTGGAGATCTTTTTGGTGACCCCTGCTATGTATGGCAAGGTGATGGTTTTGTTTGGGTTCTCAGATGGTTCTTTCCCAACGGTTGGGGTGATAGCTTTATGGATTGTGCAGTCTGAATATCCATTCATCTTGAGAGCTTGGTGTATGTGTTTCAGTTCACTGGCTAGGTGATGATGGTCGGAAATACATCGAGCTCTATGCTGTAGAGTTTTATGAGGGAATTCTTCTGGTAAGGATGGTGGTGGGAGTCAGGTTTTAGATATGCATCCGTATGGGTGGCTTTCCTGTAGACAGTGTCCTATTGAGCCAACTAGTCTCCTTTCGATTTAAACATCCAAGAATGGTAGCTTGCCCTCCTTTTCCACCTCCATGGTCGATTTGATGGCTGGGTGTATGGAATTTATGTGGTTGAGGAATTGGTTCAGAGCTGGTCGGCCATGTGGCCAGATGATGAACGTGTCATCTCCGTACCTCTTCCACAAGGACGGACGTAGAGTGGATGTCTGGATGGCATCTGTCTCAAAATTTTCCATGAAACATTGGCTTCAACTGGAGATAAGGGAGAACCCATTGGGGTACCTTCAACTTGTTTGTAGAAAGTTCCATTCCAGGTGAAGTAAGTGTTGGTGAGGCAGTGTCTAACCAGGGCCGGTACATCAGCATTCAGTCCTTGTTGGACCAAATCTTCCACTATTGCAATGGCGTCAGACACAGGAACTTTGGTAAACAAAGAAACTACATCGAAACTAACAATCAAATCACCTGGAGATAGTGAGATATCCTTAATTAACGATACCAAGTGAGCTGAGTTAAGTACAGCTGAGGCGATCTTACCAGTGAATGGTTGTAAGGTCTCAGACAGAAATCGGGCCAGTTTTAAGGTGGGTGAGTCAATGGTGGAGACGATAGGATGAAGGGGTGTACCCTCTTTATGGATTTTTGGTAAGCCATACAATCTGAGTGGTCTCGTAGCAGAGGGTTTTAAGGAAAACCGCTTGGTTCGATTAAAGATGTCGAATCAGTGATGATATTGTTGGTTTTCATAACGAGGCTGTTAGTGGGATCTCTTTTAATTTTTGTATAGCTACCATCATTAAGTAGGTCCTGAATGTTGTTATTGTATGTGGTTTTGTCCATGATTACTGTGGTATTGCCCTTGTCGGCTGAGAGGATGATGATGTCATCTCTCTTTTTTAATTGGGAAAGCTCAAAGCGCTCATCCTTACTGACGTTGCTAATAGGTGTTTTAGCGTTTTTGAGGATTGCATCAATTTCTGATCTTGCCACATCTGCAGTGATGTGTCCCAAACCCTTAAGGGCTACGTCACCTGGGCAATGATATCATCAACTGGGATGTGTTTAGGGGTGACTGCGAAATTCAGCCCTTTAGCTAGAACCGATTTTAGGTTGTCGGAAATTGGACTGTTACTCTGATTGATAACAATGTTGTCAACGTCTAACTTTTTTTACGTGTGGATCTGGCTTCTTCTTGGAAAGGAGTTTGTACTTGGTAATCAGGTTATCTTTGCATTTAGCTGACATTGAGGCGGCTGAAGAGGCTGTCATGTTATCTACATGTTCCCAATCAGATGTAGACATTTTTTCCATCAATGTTAAGTGTGATTTCAGGAGAGTCTTGTCTAAATGATCTAGTTGAAATTGGAGCAATCTTCTTTGAACCTGTCTACGTGATTTTACCGAAAGACCCAAATAATATTAATTCCTGCAGTCACGAACGCTTTAAGTCAATATTTATTGTTATCTCTGTCATTCACTCATCCATCACATATCTCTCTCTTACCCTCACCCCCACACACATCCCCGATACCTCTCTAATGCCAATACTCCTCCCGCCACTGGCTGCAAATACAATCCCAGATCAATTTCAACATCACACTCACTACCTTCAAGATCCCCCATGAACCCACCCCTGCCTACCTCCCTCCCTCGCATCTCATTCTACTCCCTTCCACACACTCTCCTACCTACCCCTCTCATCTTACACTACTCCTCTCCACGCACTCCGTGTGCCTGCAATCAAAGGTTTCTCTTAAATACCCGCCACCCCCTTCCCCCCGAGGTGAGAGATTGTTTATTCTCTTCTGGTACCCCCGTAGTAGTCTGGGGGCATATTAATTCCATAAAATACATTTACCCACTGTTTCTGCACAGTATCTAGAGATGAGGTTGGATTTCGATAATATTTGAATCCACATGTTATTTTAACACTCGGCAACATATGAAAGACTATCTCACTCTGCCTCTAAATCTTCCTCCTCATGCCCCGGTGTCTCTCTGTGTGTGTGTATCTTTGCTTCCACCTTGTTCTGTCAGCCCATCCCCCTTTCCCACCATCCCAGCCAACTTACACCCCCAACACCCTCCCCCAACCCCGCCACCCCCCAATGCAAGTCTAATGTCTCGGGAACATACTGTTCAATCTCTACCGTCTCCCACTATAAACCCCTCACCCCCCTCTCTTGTAGGTCAATTCTGTTCCAAGTGATGTTTCTCCTGCTGTAGTAGCTTAATATCATCACGAACCAACACCCACTCTCTCTTGCTCTCCCACTCTCTGTCACTCGCTCTCTCTACAGCGATCCCACTTTCTACCTCTCCCACTCTCTCTCACCCTCCTCCTTTCACTCTACACACTCTATCCCTTGCCCTCTGCCACCTCCGTGAAAAACAACCCATGGTCATTTGAAAGACTCTCTGTAATGTCAAGGACTAGTATCTTTGCCAACCTCTGCTTCTCCTCCTACACAGCCAGCGCCATGGCTCCTGGATACAGAACTGCTGGCGTCTGTAGGCCTTCGATTACGTGCGAGTGACTGTTTACGTCTGTGTACCTGTGTAAATGGGCATGGCACGAGCTAGAGAAAAGATGGACTGATGTGGTACAGAAGGATGTGGAGAGCCGATTGGACTTGCAGATGATAAATACAAGCAGTGTCAAGATCAGCCTCTGTGGAGGAGGTTCGTGAAGGACGCTGCTGGGGAGTTGAAGGCAGTTTCCCTCCACCAACAACAGAGGGCAGAGGAGCGACGCTCACGACAACTAACAGAGCGCCGGGTCGCAAAAGCGTAGAAAATTGAGGAGCACATTTGGTGCATCTGCACAAGTATCGTGCCATGCTAGGTGGAAAGTGCACCAAGCATGGCACAAGCGTCTTGGGGACGTCACCGTCACTGAGTGCTGAACGGCGATGTTATTGATGTAGTATGGGGAGTGGTGACGCAGTGGTCGCCGCACTGCGCGACAAACCCAGCGACCAGAGTTTGATTCCCGCTCACGGCCAACACAAGTGACGATTATCTGAACTGGTCATGGGTCTCCCCTAGGTCGACTCAGTCTCAAATAGGTGCCTGGTGCGATGTGTGAACATTGCACCAGGTACTCAAATGAGTACCTGGTCTTTTATGTAGACAGTCAAAGGGTTTTTGGACATGGTGCTGGCCACCCACTGTATCGGCCTTCATAGGTGCTCGATAACAGCACCTGTCTACAGTGTATAAGGCTACACAGAGGATCTTTGTCTTTGTATGTGTGGTCGTATGGTTGTATGTATGTGTTTGCATGAGTGGTTGTGGTTGTTTATTTGTGCGGTTATGTGTGCATGTACGTGTTCGTATTTCGTATGATTGTGCGTTTGTATAGTTGCTTACGGGTGTGTTGGTATTATTGTTTATGAGTGGTTGTGTATGCGCATGATGAGGTTGTGTGTGTGTTGGAGCGTGTACGTGTTTGTCTCTCTAAATTTTTCCATCCCGCCTGCAGGCGCAGGCGACCACATGGGAGTGCTCATGATGAAGTGGCTCCACACGCACTCCCTCTCACTCCCTCCCTCCCTCCTTCTCACTCCCTCCCTCCCTCCCTCTCACTCCCTCCCTCCTTCTCACTCTCTCCCTCCCTCCCTCTCACTCCCTCCCTCCTTCTCACTCCCTCCTTCTCTTGCTGTCTCTCCTAACTGCTGATCTCGGGTATTTTTTGTGTTGACACCATGTCAGTGTTCCAATGAGCATTTTCTTTTTAATAACCTTCAATACCCCTCCCCCTGCCCCCCCCTACTCCACCCTGCCTCCAACACCCCTCTGCATCTCCCCATGCATTCCCTTGTGTTTCTCTCCGTGTCCTCCGTATGTCTCCCAAATATTCCGTTATGGTTCCCCTGTCTCCCTCCCCTCATCTCTCATGTGTCCCTTTTCACTTCTGTGAGTCTCCAATGTATCACATTTTTCTGTCTTTGTCTCGAACTTCTCCCCGTGTACCCTCTTCTTCTCTTCACTGTCTTCCATTTACCTCCCTGTGTCACCCATGTCTCCCCATGACCTATCTATTGTGTTTCTCCATATTTCTCCTACCTCGTATCTTCACTGTACTTCCTCACTTCTCCCACGTGTCTCCGACCCCATTCTGCTTCTTTACACACCTCACACGTATCCTATTGTACTTTTGTGTTCCTTCCTCTGTTATCCATATGCTGCCACGTACCTCCACGTGTCTCCTACCGGTCACACGTATACCCCTTTAAGTTCCTTCTTTGTGTCTCCGCGTGTCCCTCCTTGTTTCCCATATGCCTCTGATGTGCCTACCCGGGTTCAGCCCCATGTCTCATGTCTATGCCCATATGCCTCCCACCTGTTTTCCATATGGCTCATCGTGCCTCCCATGTATTGCATTATTTACATATTCATCTCGCTCATGTCTTCCGCACACATTCCCTCCTGCATGGATGCCCCTTCGTGTATCTCTGCACTTGTATCCTGCGACCTCCCTTGCGTACCACCGCATGTCCAACATACCTCTACTTGCCTCCCACACGTCTCTCCAACATACCCCACCACCCCCCCACTGCCCAACGTATCCCTCCCGTACCTCCGTGTTTGCGCGTCCCCCCCCCGTTCTGCTGGCACGTCCCCCCCTGTTTCACCGGCGCCCAGGTCCCCCGAGCATCCGGCCGATGCGCAACGTGACGGCGCTGGCCGGACACGACGTGTTCATGCACTGCCGCGTCGTGGGCTACCCCTACTACTCGATCCGCTGGTTGCGCGACGGGCTGCCGCTACCCGTCAACCACCGGCAGAGCGTGTACGCCAATGGCACGCTGCGCCTCTCCGAGGCTCAGAAGGGCCAGGACGAGGGCGAGTATGTGTGCAGCGTGCTCGTGCAGCCCCAGCACAGCATCCATGCCAGCACACACCTTGGCCTCCGAGGTGAGAGTTAGAGGAGGGCGGCGGGTAAGGGGCGGGATGTGGGGGTAGGGGGTGGGGAGGTTGCCATGCACAGGTAAGGGGTTAGTGACTGCACCTATGGGTCGGGGCTTAGAGGGGCAGCATCTTTATATTGGAGGATTTAGGGAGGCAGCACCTGGAGGTTAAGTTTTAAGGGTATGGCAGATGTTGGTTTGTGATTAAAGGGCTTGTGCCCAGAGGTCAGGGCTTGGGGGCAGTGCCTATGATTTTGCGTTGAGAGAGACACCACATACGGGACAGGGGTTAGGTGGCGGCACCTCTGGTCAGGAGCTTAGAAGGGAGGTACCCACAGGTTTAGGGGCTAGAGAGGGCACCTATGGTGAGGATTGGGTTGGTAGCTCGCACAGGTGAGGGGTTAGCATTCCTAATCTCATCGTATCTCAAAAGCTAAGCAGCGTTGAGCCTGTCCAGTGCTTGAATTGGCAAGCACTGGACAAAACTTGCATCGTAGGCTGCTGTGGTGCCGTGTCAGCAGGTGGCAGTGCAGGAAAAAATATATTTTATGGTACTATACTGCAACCCAGACTGACCCAGTGGTGAAGTATGGTCACATAACCCAATTATTTTGTCAGTGGGTTTGTACATATACAGTACATACATTAAGACACTGGCTTTAGATCATCACCCACTCATACACACATACATACCAACGCATTTTAAAACAACAACCCACAACGAGTATCATCCTTATCGTACAGCTCCCCTGTATGTTTTAAGGTTGTACCGCATGACCCTCAAAATTTAACTCTATGTGCTGTTAGCTTCAACACACAGAGCGAAACGTCGGACATCAAGCCGAACAACACGTGCAGAAACAACCCGAAACCACATCAGGGAGACATACAGCACAACCGCGAAAACCTACGCAGCAACATCCCTATCCATTTATCTTCACTGTTTGTGTTCCACTGTGTGTTCCCCGTGTGTTTGGGAGTGGTAGTGCAGCGGTTAGCGTTCGATTCCCGCTTATGGCTAACACTGACAAATATCTGAACCAGTCATAGGCCTCCCCCTAATTCGACTCAACCTCAAATGAGTACCTGGGGCGATGTGTAAACATCGCTCACAGCACTTGCCGCAACAGTCTGTTAAGGCTATACAGAGGATCTTTGTCTCCGTGTTCCCCCCCACCCCCCGCTTCACCCCCGGCAGTTCCGCCCATCATCCAGCCGTTTGAGTTCCCGTCGGTGTCGGTGGGGCAGCGGGTGTTCGTCTCGTGCGTGGTGGTGTCGGGCGAGCTGCCCATCCTCATCTCGTGGCGTTGTGACGGGCGGCCGATCCGCGAGCACGGCGCGCCGGGTGTGGTGTCGGGCAGCGCCACGGGCGTGCGTGTCGAGACCCTGGAGTACACGAGCTCGCTGCGTGTCGCCAGCGCGTCGCCCGTGCACGACGGCAACTACACGTGCGTGGCGAGCAATGCCGCCGCCACTGCCACACACTCCAGCCGCCTCACCGTGCGCGGTACGGCCGAGGGCGAGTCTATTAACGCTTTTCAACGCTTTTCAAATGCAAGGATGAATGCGGGGGTTTGTTTGTCGCTGAATTTTTCCTGACTAGTTTTACTTTACCAGATATGGCCCAATGAGCTAGATATAGCTCTTTTTCAGAAGTGACCTCTCTCTACTAGGTAGGGGCGCATGCAGCAGTCAGGTAGGGAGAGGTGAGGCAACCCGTGCTGACCTGCGGAATCAATTATGGTAAACCCCCCCACCCCACTCCCTATGAATATACCTGAACCATAGCATCCAGTCCCCGGTGGCCCCAGACTCACCAACTATGATGTCGGTCAAGATGGCGAAGGACAATGAGGGTAATAATCACTGGGTCAGTTCATGTGTGGGTGCAAGGTGGAGAATTGTTACATTATGGCCCGGGGTGACCTTCCTTTCCCTAGCTGTGGATAAAACATGGCTGATGATGAAGAATGGACGAATCGTTCTGGCTCTAACCGTTTTCACTCTTGCATCACCTCTGCCCGCGCGGTCTCGCCGCTGTCCATTGCTACACTCAGTCCCCCCGCGGTTCGTGGTTCCGCCCGGGGACCAGGACGGGATCTTCGGTCGCCCTGCAGTCCTCAATTGCTCCGCTGAAGGATACCCAGCCCCCTCCATCACCTGGAAGTACTCGGCAGGTGAGGGACCCAGGGTGGACGGTGTGAGTCCTCCGGCCTGGAGTGCGTGTGTGCGTACGTGGGTGGTGGTTAGGCACTTAATGATTGGTGAGTGTCCGTGTTGCGTGGATGGTGGATATCTGGTGAATGTAAGTATCTTTGGTGAGGGTCAGGTCACGGTCAACACTAGTAACGATGATCTGAACCGGTCCTGGGCCTCCCCTAGGCTGACTCAGCCTCCAATGTGTACCTGGTGCAATGTGTAAACATCGCCACGAGGGAGGCCGCCGGGTGTGGTGTTGGCCACCAACCACCTTGTGTGCCATGCCGGCCTTCATTGGAGTTCATTGAAGCCTTTGCCCCAAGAGTCTGTTAAGGCTATACGTGGAATATTTGTCTGTGTGAGGGTCAGGTGAGTGTCTTGTTACTCCATTCTTTAGGATGGACTGCCCTCTAGTGTGTATATATACATGCTCGTTAACATGCCACAAAAGTCTATATGTGGTAGATGGATCTTTGTGTGTATATATGTGCACATCTCTGTACATGCCTATTTATGTAGTGTGCTAATTCAGAGACACTAGTAGGAGGCACTCTCTCATTTATTCTGGCCTTCATAGCCATAGGGGATAACTACACACCGGGTCAGGACAGCCAACATGCTTCCTGACCCACAGCTCGAAGAGGCGAAGACCATGACGACGGCAGCACAACGAGTTCCACTCCAGACCACGGCAGCCCCGACTGTGAGTCGGAGCTCGCCTTTTATCCTCCCCAGCGTGGCCAGGCTCCGCCCTCGGCCTCGCCCCCTTCTGGATTCCCCCAGAAGGCTCCGGGCTTCGCCCACGTGTCCCACTGGTAGACCGGGCTGCTACCCATAATCCCACTCTCTACCAGTCCCTAGCACTACGCGTTCCAGTGACTCATTATAGGTAACTACATCAACCCCCACCCCCCATGAAAACAAACAACCATCCCGGCTGACCTTCATACGTCGCGTAGCAGGATGATGAATGCAACAATACCCACGTAAAACAACATCTGCAAGGCATGGCAACAACCCAGCCCCCAAAATATACAGCAATCGAACAACGAGTAGCGGCTGTCATCTGAACCGAACCGTCTTGAAACGGGTCCTCGTCGCTGGCCCCTCATATGGGCCCGAAACAGGTCCTCCGGGGACCCCGGGGATGAGTTGAAGATGGAGGGAAAGAAGAAGTGGGTGGCGGTCATACCGTCCACTCCAGTCCGCCTGTGGGCGGCACCGCCGGCGGTTCCATGGGGGTTGGGCCCTGGGATCCTGCAGATGGAGGAACAGTCTCGCTGAAGAGCAACCTCCGTAATCGTACGTCCGGTTCCGTCGGACACATCAAACACCCAGCCATCAGATGGTGGAGATGAAACCTCATAAGGTGGAAAATATGGTTTCAGCCGTGATGGGTACACATACCAATGCCTGCGACCAACCTGGATACACACACACTGCGGCTTCCTAACCTCAATCACCTCCACGGGGCCCTGCCATGGCTTATGTAATTTAGGAGACATGCCCAGAGGCACCTGGGGGCAATGCAGCCATGCCCTCTCCCCAGGTTTCCACGGGTTTCCGGATTCCTTAATTCCAGCCAGTTTTTCATTCGCAGCGTGCTGCTTGGCCGAATTGCCACAGGACGCCTCCCGCACTTCCGTCAACCGCTTACGGGTGAGGCTCATAAGTCCCGGCACAGCGACTCTCTCCTTGCTTGGCTCAATATTTAACTGGGCTTCCATGGGAGGGTCGCATTCTCTCCCGTACATAAAAATTGGGGATAATCCGGTAGAGGCATGAGGGGCCATCCTATAGGCCGCAAGAACACCCAGAACATGCAGGTCCCAATTGGACTTTGCCTCATTAACCTGTTGGCACAGCATGGACGTAAGAGTCTTATATAAACGCTCTACCATTCTGTCAGTCTGGGGATGGTAGGGCAAAGTCCAAATTTTCTTTGTACCCAACAAATCACATACCTCTTGTAATAATTTTGAAGAAAAATTTCGACCCTGGTCCGTAAGGAGATGTTCCGGGGCCCCTTTATCTAATACATAACCATGCAGGAACGTGTGCGTAATGGACACCGCCGACTGATCCGGCAGGGCCCATGCCACCGGCCACCGTGACAGGTACTCTACCCCCCTACCAGCAAGAATTTATTTCCCCTCGGAGTGGTGGGAAATGGCCCGAGGATGTCGAGGGCAATGAGCTCATTTACACGGGACACCCCAATAGACTGCAACGGTGGTCGGGCCAGCCTCAGCGGGGGCTTCCGGCGAGCACATTCCACACATCCCTTAAGCATGTTGTGGACGTTTTCCGACATGCCGGGGCCAAAATAAGTCACGCTTCAACGTAGATAGCGTTTTCTGCACCCCTAGGGTGCATCAATCGCACATGGACAGCTCTCGTTACTCTACCTCACAGAGCAGTTGGCACAACGATACAGTACCGCTGTGCCTCCGTATCCCAGCGCATAAGTAGTCTATCTCGGAGGACCACGGGGTACATACCCCCTGGACCCTTCCTATCACTTGGTGCACCAACGCGGCGCCGTATTTTTAGTAAGGAGACATCCTCTGCCTGGAGGCGCCCCCATTCCTCGTGTGCAAGACCAATAGTATTATCGCGCGCCACACCCGTTACGGGTGGCGGAGCATCCACCGATGCTACAACGGCGCCCGGCTCCCCCGTATCCACCAGCTTACAACGGCCGGCGCCCATCAAACATGCGCACTGACTCTGTGGCGATAACCGTGACAGAGCGTCCACATTACGGTGGTGCAACCCTTTCCTATAGGTGACTACGAACGAACAATTTTGCAGAATTTCTAACCATCGCGAGAGTTGCATGGACGGCTGGTCAGCTCGTAGCGCATATTGCAAGCCCTCGTGATCCGTGCATACCACGAACTGCCTACCATAGAGGTACAGGCGGTACTGCTGTACAAAATGCATGATAGCCAACAATTTGCGGCACGTAACACATTAGCGCTGCTCTGCGAGGGACAGTACCCGTCTCCCGTAAGCGACTACGCTCTCCACCCCATTCTCCACCTGCGACAATACGGCACCGATCCCGGTTTTACTGGCGTCCATGTCCCACATAAACGGCAAGGAGAAATCGGGGTACCGAAGGGGGGGTGCGTTAACGAGGCCGTCGCACAGCGCAACAAATGCGGCTTCTTCCTCCTTCCCCCACCGGAACCTCTGGCCTTTTGCCGTGCGAGCGTGGAGCGGCTTCGCGATCTTTGCAAACCTGGGCACGAGGCGGTGGTAATACGAGGCGAACCCAACAAAACTGCCGACCTCACCCACCAATGTGGGGGTCGGCCACTTACGCACGCACGCAGTCTTGTCAGGGTCCGTGGCGATCCTGGACTAGCTAACAATGTGACCCAGGTAGCGAACCGATTTTTGCAAGAGGTAACATTTCTGCGGCTTTAATGAAAAATTAGCCATCTGCATTTAAACAAATATCGCATGCAACCGCTGCAGATGTTCCTGGAACGTGCGTCCAAAGACAATCACGCATCCAAATAGATCAGACATGAATCCCATTGGAGCCCCGACAGTACCAACTCCATAAGTCGCTGGAATGTGGCCGGAGCCGAGTGAAGCCCCATTGGACGGTAGTTAAATTGAAACAGCCCTTGCGGTGTCCGGAATAGATCCAGGGTGGAAAAAAAACGCGCGCGCCCGACAGGGCATCCAACGAATCGTCCATCCATGGGAGCGGAAACGCGTCCGCCACGGAGACTTTAATCTGTGCACTCGAGGGAACCCTAACAGTTTTTCGCACCAAGGCCCGAACCACAGCGTTGGCCATACACAACCCAGTAGGGGACTCCAAAAATCTCAACCGATGCCCCGAAGGTAACACACCCCTGGTCAATCAAAAATCTTGAGGGGCATCCTCTTCAAAAAATCAGTCCCCAATAAACAAGGCACCACCAATGAACTCGAAACCAACACCGGACCCGTCCTTTCAATATTTATAATCCGTACTGTCGCTACATTTTGGCCCACAATACCTAAACCCACGCCATTAGCGGCAACACAAAGTATACACGCAGGACTAATGCAACCCACTGTCGACGGAAAAGTCCTATAAAACTCTGAAACAATGGTGTACCCGCACCTCAACACCCTGCACAAATCCACTTACTGCGGATGATCCTGCTCCCGCTGCCATGACACGGTGTGCCAATGGGGTCGATTGCCCGGACCCCCACGGCCAACTATCATGCACCGAAGCACCACCTTCGCACCCCGTATAAACGTGAGGGGCGATGGCGTGTGCACCCGACACCGACTGCAATGGAGATGCATGAGGTGACTGTGTCGGCCGGGTGTGTGATGCATCGCGACCTGCCTTTGGGCCCAGAGGAGTGGAGGCCGGTAGGGCGGAGGACAGCGATGGTGGAAAGAACTGCCCCAGGTCAGCACGGCAGCCCCCGGAGATGTGGCCCGGTTGGCCACATCTGAAGCAAGTAACGGGGCCCCGCCATGAAGGAGGGAAGATCCCCCCCGCTGGTCCCGTCGTTGTCCTATGCCGAATCTCCCGCGCGGGCTCCAACTACCCGACGCGCTGGCCCGAGAAGGCTCTCAGCGCTCCTGGTCGCCCTCTTCTCCAGGGAATTTAGCCCAGGCCGCCACCCCGAACGCCCCAATTACTGACACGGTATGGGAAGACCTTTATAGAGTTGTGGCTTGACAATGCCCTGTTGGTTGTTATAATAATATCTATTATTAATATATATGTGCATGTATGTATGTGACGTGGATTATTAACATCGCAGGATCGTGAGATATGGCAGTGGCGGCTTTGGGAAGGGAGTTCCCTTCATCCCGTGTTGGGTTGCCTATGGCTGATGACGATGCTGATGATGGTGGTGACGATGACGTGTGTTTGTTTGCGTTCGAGGCGGAGGAATCCCCAGCTTCCAGCCGCTGGCGCTGGGCGGCGGGGGGCGGCTTCAGCTGCTGGCGAACGGCTCCCTGCTGCTCACGCGAACCCTCGAGACGGACGCCGGCCACTACCTGTGCCAGGTGATGTGCAGTCCCACCCAGCAGGGGGCGTCCCCTACACAATACAGGGGGAGGAGGGGAGTTATGAGTGAGTCTTCCACGGGATAGCTGGTGGACTGGGAAATGTTGTTGGAATGCGTGTGTGTATGGGCACATGTGGGGAGTGGTAGTGTAGCGGTTAACGCTTTGCGCTACAAACCCGGCGACCAAAGTTCAATTCCCACTCATGGCCAACACCAGTGATGATTATCTAAACCGGTCCTGGACCTTCCCTAGGTCGACTCAGCCTAAAATGAATACCTGATGCCGTGTGTAAAACATCACCACTTGGGAGACAAAGCGGTTGCGCATGGTGCTGGCCACCCACCCCTTCATGTGCCATGCTGGCCTTTATAGGCTCGCTAACAGCACCTGCCCCAGCAGTCTGGTAAAGCTATACGGGGGTCTTTGTATTTGCAGATTTGTGTACGTGTGCATGTGCGCTGCGTTATGAACCCGACGACCTGAATTTGATTCCTGCTCACGGCCAACACCAGTGATGATTATCTGAACCAGTCCTGGACCTGCCTTAGGTTGACTTAGCATCAAATGAGTACCTGCTACGATGTGTAAACATCGCCATTAGGGAGAGAAAGGCGGCCGGGCGTGGTGCTGACCACATCACTCTCGTGTATGCCATCCCGACCTTCATAGGCGCTCGCAAACAGCACTTGTCCCAACAGTTTTTTTTGACAATTCGAGGGATCTGTCTTTTGTGCCAATTTTCTGATGCCCATTGCCCAAGTTAATGTGTGGTGGGATGAGCTGCGCATTGTGTGATGCGAGTACCTGGGTTAGATTCCTGACCGTGGTGCACGTCATCACCACTGGAAAATGGTATTTGACTTGACAAGACCTCCTGTAGGTCGACTCAGCACTCATCCTCGCAGCCCTCCAAGATTATACAGGGGATCTGCGTACGCATCTGTGTGTGTGGACGCGTGTGCGTGTGCGTGTGTGAGCGTACATACATATGTGTGCGTCTGTGCATCTGATGAATAGGTCAGCAATGGTGTGGGAACAGACATCAGCAAGGCCATGTTGCTCTCTGTGAGATGTAAGTGCACAGACTACATACGCACATGCCCACACACATATCTCTCTCCGATTTACTACGCAAAATGTACCGTTATTAATAACAATGTGATTGCTATACACCTGCTAGTTACGTGCACCTTTGGGCTGGTATGTACACAGTTCCGCACATGAGAGCAATCCTCATCTTGAAAATGTTCCATCGTGTATTTACACTTCCCATGGTCCCCTCTGGCTCCCCTTCAACCCCACCTGCTCCTGCGTCTCAATATGGCTCCTCGAAACATATTCTCTCCACCGTTGTTGCTTGCTTTCACTCGCTTTCTCCATGGGTTTACCATCAATTCTGTCCGCTCTATCCTCTTTCTCTCTCTGTTGCTTCTTGTCACCTCTGCTGCCTCTTCCTGCATCCCCCTTTCTCTCACTCCCCATGACTCTCCCTTAATTCCTCACACTCCTAATGACTCCCCACATGTGTCTCTCACTCCCACTGGTTCTTCTGGCTTCCCCACTCACTCTCATTCTACTTGCCTCCCCATCACTTACTCTTATTGCCGCTGATTCCCCATGCCTTTCCCCTCATTCCCCTTGCTCTCGCACGCCTCTTTTTTGTAACTCCCCAACTCCTCTCTGCATGCCTGCCCTTCCTTCTCCTGCATTCTGCCTCACCATTGCTCTCCTTTGCTCCACCCTTTGCTGCCATGTCTCCGCAACTCCTCCCATGCTTCCCTCTATATCATGTTACTCACCACTGCTTTCTTTTGCTGCCCCACTGTCCCACGTGTGTCCCTCCACCTCCTGTCCCTCCTCCATCATCCTGTGCCACCCCCTCTTTCTCTCTCCCGTGGTAGTGCCGGCCATGATCACACGGCACCCCAACGCGTCTCTCGCGGTGCTCGGCCGCCGCGAGGAGCTGCAATGCTCGGCGCGCGGCGACCGCCCGCTGCTCGTGCGCTGGGAGAAGGACGACTCGGTGATCCAGCCGGAGCGCTCGTACCGCTACGCCATCGACACGCAGGGCAGCGCCGGCGAAATGACCTCCACGCTGCAGGTGCTCGCTCCTGCCCGTTGGTCCGTCCGTTGGTCTGTCTGTCCTTTCCCCTGTCCATTGGTTTGTCTTTCCCTCTGTCCCTCTTGTTTCTTTATCTGTGCCTCTTTCTGTCTTCCCATCCATCTGTCTGTCCATTCATCCATGGCATCCTCATCATCATGAGCCATTGTCTTTCCACCGCTGCGTAAAGGCCTCTCCACACCCTCGTGGTCCTGTGATGCCACAATCCATCTCACTCCTGCACAGGAGTTTATCCCATAGCTCCGTCTCCATGTGGTCATCTTCTCACATCGGTTTTCTTCTTTGGCGACTATTCCATTACCTATCTCATCCATTGGCCATCAACCCTTCTGACCATCATGGTGTGTCTTATCCAAGCCCACTTTCATTTGTGTTTGTGAACAGCATTTGCACCTCTGGTCTATAAAATAAAGAGTATATCTTTTTCTTTGTGTGTGTAGGTGTGTTGGACCTAGCGACCCAAGTTAGATTCCCCCTCACGGCCAATACCAGTGACGATTATCTGAACCGGTGCTGAACCTCCCCTAGGTCGACTCGGCCTCAAATCAGTACCTGGTGCGATGCGTAAACATCAGCACTAGGGAGACAAAGGCGGCCAGGAATGGCAATGGCCGCCTCGTGTGCCGTGCCAGCCTTCATGCGTGCTCACTAACAGCACTTGTCCCAATAATTAATTCAGGCTATACGGGGGAATATTTCTCTTTGCTTTTGCTCCAGATCCTCCCAGCCATGCGTGGGGATTCGGGTTTCTACTCGTGCCACGCAGTGAACTCGTATGGGGAGGACCGCGCCATCATCCAGCTCACCGTGCAGGGTATGCCACAGCACACGCAGACACACGCTAAGGCACACGTGCCGCGCATGCTCGTCACAGAGTTCATTCAAGGAATTCCACTCTTTTGGTACGGTTTTTTTATTTTTATTTTTCCCCACGTGGGGGGTGTGAATTTCTTGATGTATGTTGAACTTCTTTCGCACCGTACATAGCCAACCATGCTAGTCAGAGGTGCGTATTTGTGCGTGTGTGATAGTATCGGGGGCGGAAGTGCAGTGGTAAGCGAACTGTGCTACGGACCCGGCGACCCGAGTTCGATTCCCACTTGCGAATCTTTAACAGTGGTGAATGTCGAAATCGGTCTTAAGCCTCTCCTACTTTGACTCAGCCTTAAATGAGTACCTGGTGTGGTATGTAAAAATCAGCACTGGGGGTACAACAGCGGTCAGGCATGGCATTGGCTGCCCACCTCCTCAGATGCTAAGCCAGCCTTCATAGGTGCTCGCTAATAGCACTTGCCCCAACAACCTGTTAATGGCTATGTGGGAGATCTTTGTCTTTGTTCGTGCCGCCCATCAGAGCCTCCAGACCCCCCGGAAGTGAACGTGCGCGAGGTGACGTCACGCAGCATCACGCTGAGGTGGAGCGCCGGCTTCAACGGCAACAGTCCAATCACAGGCTTTGACATCCAGTACAAGAACGCGAGCGGTGCGTGTGCACTAACGAGCCCCCCACTAACCAGCCACCCGCCCTCCCACCAACAAGCCCCCCACTCACAGGCCCGTATCATGAGTCTCCCCATCACAGGAATCTCCACGCATGAACCCCCATCGCAGACTTCAACATCCAGTACAAGAATCCTGCACGTGTGCTAACAAACTCTCCACTAACCAGCCGTTCACTGGTCAGCCACACGCCGTCCACCTACGAGCCCAAATCACGAGCTCCCCACTCACAAGCCCCCCCCCCCACTCACGAAACCCCCACTAACCGGCCATACATCAACCAGCCGCACACCAACCAGCCCTCCCACTTCCTAGCCCGGTGCACAAATCACTGCGCCACCACTCCAAACCACTAATGAGGATTGTGGTGATTATCATGTTAATATGGTGATCATGGTTATGATAAAGGCAGTGTTGACGTTGATGGTAGCGATAATCATTTGGGGGGTGGTGGTCACTTTCATGGTGATTATTTTTATCATGCTGTGTTGATGATATTGGTGGAGATGATTTTGCTTGTGCTAGTGCTGGTGTTGATGGTGGTGGTGTTTTTAGTGATGGTGTTCATATGGTTTATGTAGGTGACGATGTTGATGAGGCTGATTTTTATGGGGGTGGTCGTGTTGATGTTGGTTATGAGAAAATAGTGTGGCTGATGGTGGTGCATTAGTCGTGAAATTAATGACAATGGTATTGATGTTGAAAATGGTGGTGTTTATGGTGATGATGATGACGGTGATGTTGACTGTAATGATGATAGTGTTGATGCTGACAAGGATGGTGACGTTGATGATGTTAATGGTAGCAATGATGTTGTTGATGTTGACGACGATGATGGTGATTTTGATGGTAATGATGATGCTGTTCATGTTGACAATGACGGTGACGTTGACGGTAACAACGATGGTGTTGATGTTGACACTGACGTTGACAATGATGATGGTGATGTTGACGGTAACGGTGATGGTGTTCATGTTGACAATGATGATGATGATGACGGTGACGTTGACGATAACGATGATGTCATTCAGAGCCGTGGGAGCGCTCCCAGCAGACGAGTGGCATCTCTCCTGAGATCTCTCTTGCCACCGTCATCGATCTTCACCCTGCGACCTCCTACCGCCTCCGCGTAGCCGCTCGCAACCACATCGGCCGTGGTGATGCCAGCTCCGAGATCCTAGCCACCACGCAGGAGGCCGGTACGCACCGCTCGCACGGGCAGCTTTAGCTCGCATGGATAAGCGCAGCTCGAATAGGGTTGATGGAGTTTGCACGGGTACACACAGCTCGCGTGGGGCAGCTATAGCTCGCATGGGTATGCACAGCCGGCACGGGGAAGGCAACATTTCGCACAGCCAATGTACACTTCACATAGGCCAGTGCAGCTCACACGGGCCCTCATTCGGCCAAGATTGCTCACGTACACAGGCACGTGAATACGCACACATGCACATTCGCTCGCAACATGTCGTGTTGTGTACGTGTCGTGTTGTGTACAGCCCCGGACGGCGCCCCGCTGGAGGTGGTGTTGGAGCCGGTGTCGTCCCAGAGCATCCGTGTTTCCTGGATGGTGAGATGTTTCTCTACCCTGACCACTAGCACTGACCCTCACACTAGCCCTAACACTAGCCCTATCCACTAGCCCTAACACCAGCCCTAACACTAGCCGTATCCACTAACTCTACCGGCCAGCCCTAACACCAGCCCTAACACTAGCCCTACTTCTACTCCTATCCACTAACTCTATCACCAGCCCTTAGATGAGCTCTAACTCTACCCCTGACATTTATCACTATCCTATATCTACCCCTAACCACTTCACTCTAAGTTTAGTCCTTTATCTAACACTAATCTTAATCCTATCATTAGCACTCTCCCTAACACGAAAACTACCCTCACATGATTCCTAATCCTCGTTCCAACACTAACCCTAGCCCTATCCATAACTCTTCCCTCAATCCTATCCCGACTTCTGTGCTTCGCTTAAACACTAGTCCAAGCCATGTCATTAGCATTAACCAAAACCCTCACAAGAGTACGAATCCCAATCCTCGCCAAAACCCTCGAGTTTAGCTTAACGTCTGCCACAGTGGTGATGGTGATGATGGTGATGACAACAATGTATTCACTTGACTCATCTTCACTAAACATATCGATCATCCTTCCATCAAATATTGCATCTCTCAACTGCACTGTGACTAAAGTGACTGACTAAACTCCCATTCCTGGTACCACCCACGCCTTCCTCCCATGCTTCACCCCCCGCCTCACCCTTTGTGCCCAGGCCCCGCTACGCGAGCTGCGAAACGGTCTCATTCGTGGGTACCAGGTCGGTTTCCGCGAGCTGGCGCTGGGCACACACTTCATAGTGGTGGACGCGCTCACGGCCAGCGGGGCGGCCGCGGCGCCTTCAGACACGGCCTCGCTCGACGGCACCACCACTGAGGGAGGGGGTACGTGGGTGTGCGCCCTACTTCTGAACCCTCAGTCCGACCCCTAACCCCGACTTTAACCCTGACCCTGTGTCGAACTTAACGGTGACTCTGATCCTGATCCTGTGCCATGTGTGGTCTGTGTGTGTGTGTGTGTCCTCCCTACACGGTGCGCTGTGTATGCATGTCTTGTGCTTGCATACCATTAATCTTTCACATCTGTGCCTTGCACATGCACTCGGTGCATGTACACGGTGTTCACGTGGCGTACCCGGTATATGTGTGCACTTTGCGTGCTCGGCGTGTGCCCACCGTGTTCGTGCAGGTGGTGTGGGCGCTGTCGGCGGTGCCGTCGTGGGTGGCCGCGTGACCCTTGACCCCGAGACGGGCGGCTCGGTGCTGCTGCGGGGCCTGCGCAAGTACGCGGGGTACGCGGTGGTGGTGCAGGCGTACAACCGTGCCGGCACCGGCCCCACCTCCCCCGAGGCCACTACCACCACCCTCGAGGACGGTGCGTGCCCCAGTGTGTGTGCGTGTGTGCGTCGTGTTCGTGTACGCGTGGAGGATGAGGCTCGTCAAGGCCTCTACTGGCCAGTTGCAGGCAGCCGCCCTCCAGGGCAAACGACGCTCACAACAACGGGCAGAGCGCTGGGGTAATTAAAATACAGAATGGTGGCGCAACTGGGAGCACAGGTGGGGCATCTGCCAGTCAGCTCAGTTGGTTAACTCATCATGATGACTGGGATCTGTCCCGTGATCTCCTAACCACAAACTTGATTTGCTGCATGTTACCTAAAAAGTCCATCGAACCTGGTATTAGTGCAGGGTTCCATCACTGCCACTTAGCAATAAATGGCAGCTGTTGTTGGCTTGTGTGCGTGCATGTGATTACTTGTGTTTGTGCTCCCTCCTCCCTGTGCTCCACTGTCCCTGTGTTCTGCTTGTCCCCTTGTTCCCATCGTCACACTTTTCCAATGTCTCTGCATCCGCACATATTCTTGTCTCTGTGTACTTGTGATCCACTGTCCCCATGTCAATGTTGCCATGTGCTTACATCCCCCATGTCTTCCTAGCCCCTTTGGTACCATCGTTTTAATGTCTCCCACATCTGTCTGTGCCCATGTCCACCATGGTCCTTTCTCTCTCACATCTCCATTATCTGTGTCTCCCCGGGTCTCCTTATCCCTGCATGCCCTGTGTCTCCATCTTCCCTTGTCCTCATATCCTCATGTCCCTGCATCGCCACATTTCCGGTGTCCCTGCCTGCGTCCCCACCCTTGTGCTCCCGTGTCCCTGTGTCTCGCATCCCATGTCCCCACATCCCCGCGTCCCTTTGTCCTGCGTGGTGTCCTCACGTTCCATGTCCACATGCCCCCGTGTCCCACGTCCCGATGTTTCCGTGCCCCTGTGTTCCGCATCCCATGTCCTCCGTGTCCACACGTGGTGTCCCCTCGTCCCTGCGTCCAGTGCCGAGCCGGCCCCCTGGCACGGTGACCGTGGTGGCCATGTCGTCGGAGGCCGTGGAGGTGACGTGGGAGCCACCCCCCAGGGACGCCTTCAACGGGGTCCTCACCGGTTACCGCGTCACCTACTGGCCCCTGTCAACCGACGGCGGTGAGGCTTGCACGCCGCATCGTTGCGTCGCACCGTTGTGCCGCTCATGATACTCGCAAGATCGTCGTGCCACACCAACGCACCACACCATTGTGCTCAGGGTTTAATTTCTCACCATGTGTTTTCCTGGTCACCGGTAGACCTCGAATAGGCACGTGGCTGGTCACCAGAGCCACAGCAAGAGGTGTACTGCATGTGGTGTGCCGGGTGCAGAAATATTCTCCAGGTCCCCCAACCGGACAGACCCCGGCTGAATTGAATCTGTGAATGTGCTACATTGACACAGTGGCACAACATAGAAGAAGCATGCGGCACATTACAGTGCCACACCATCACGCCCCACGACTCACATTCACGTGTTGACTCATCGTTAAGCCGCACACCGAGCTTCGCACCCCACTAGCATGCCGTGTATCTCTCCGTTGAGCCACACCACATGACACAAAATGGCACACCACGCCCGCACCTACGATGAGCATGATTGGCTAGGTACGGTGCGAAAGAAGTTCAAAATACATACATCGCAGCACACTCCCCAAACGATTGCAACATTGCAATTTTCCCGCTTAAAGTTGTTGTTTCAAATATAACTGTGTGGTCGAGTGTATTTAATATTGTTGCATTTAATGTTATAGTGCTTAACGTTGTCGTTGCTGCGAGGTTGCTGTGCTTAATGTAGTTCTGTTTGCTGTTGTGTGTGTGTTTTTGTGGCATTAATGTAGGTGCCGCTATTGTTGTTGTTGATGTTGTGATTGTTGTTGTTTACGTGCCAGACCCCGGCGAGGTGAGCAATGTGAGTACGACGGAGACGCGCGCGCAGCTGCGGGGGCTGCTCAAGTACACGGAGTACAGTGTGCAAGTGGCGGCGTGCACACGGGCCGGGGAGGGTGCACGCAGCCTCGCCACGCAGGCCCGCACCGCCGAGGACGGTAACACCGCACACCGATCCACAGCGCAATGCTCCACACTGCACTGCAATACACCTCCTGCGGACGGCAACACCAACGCTGTTTGTCTCTTTCGCCGTCTCTGCGTCCCTGCGTCTCAGTGCCAGGAAGTCCGGCTGGGATTAAAGCGGCCGCTGCGTCGGCGAACGCGGCCATGGTTTCGTGGCTTCCGCCCCTCACGCCCAACGGCCTCATCCGCAAGTACACCATCTACCTGAACTACCAGGGCCAGCCACACACGGTACACACCCCACACCATCTACCTGAACTACCAGGGCCGGCCACACACGGTACACACCCCACACCATCTACCTGAACTACCAGGGCCAGCCACACACGGTACACACCCAACACCATCTACCTGAACTACCAGGGCCGGCCACACACGGTACACACCCCACACCATCTACCTGAACTACCAGGGCCGGCCACACACGGTACACACCCCACACCATCTACCTGAACTACCAGGGACGGCCACACACGGTACACACCCCACACCATCTACCTGAACTACCAGGGCCAGCCACACACGGTACACACCCCACACCATCTACCTGAACTACCAGGGCCGGCCACACACGGTACACACCCCACACCATCTACCTGAACTACCAGGGCCGGCCACACACGGTACACACCCCACACCATCTACCTGAACTACCAGGGCCGGCCACATATGGTACACTCCCCACACCATCTACCTGAACTACCAGGGCCAGCCACACACGGTACACACCCCACACCATCTACCTGAACTACCAGGGACGGCCAAACACGGTACACACCCCACACCATCTACCTGAACTACCAGAGCCGGCCACACACGGTACACACCCCACACCATCTACCTGAACTACCAGGGCCAGCCACACACGGTACACACCCCATACCATCTACCTGAACTACCAGGGCCAGCCACACACGGTACACACCCCACACCATCTACCTGAACTACCAGGGCCAGCCACACACGGTACACACCCCACACCATCTACCTGAACTACCAGGGCCGGCCACACACGGTACACACCCCACACCATCTACCTGAACTACCAGGGCCATCCACACACGGTACACACCCCATACCATCTACCTGAACTACCAGGGCCAGCCACACACGGTACACACCCCACACCATCTACCTGAACTACCAGGGCCGGCCACACACGGTACACATCCCACACCATCTACCTGAACTACCAGGGCCAGCCACACACGGTACACACCCAACACCATCTACCTGAACTACCAGGGCCAGCCACACACGGTACACACCCCACACCATCTACCTGAACTACCAGGGCCGGCCACACACGGTACACACCCCACACCATCTACCTGAACTACCAGGGTTAGCCACACACGGTGCACACCCCACACCATCTACCTGAACTACCAGGGCCATCCACACACGGTACACACCCCATACCATCTACCTGAACTACCAGGGCCAGCCACACACGGTACACACGCCACACCATCTACCTGAACTACCAGGGTTAGCCACACACGGTGCACACCCCACACCATCTACCTGAACTACCAGGGCCAGCCACACACGGTACACACCCCACACCATCTACCTGAACTACCAGGGCCGGCCACACACGGTACACATCCCACACCATCTACCTGAACTACCAGGGCCAGCCACACACGGTACACACCCAACACCATCTACCTGAACTACCAGGGCCAGCCACACACGGTACACACCCCACACCATCTACCTGAACTACCAGGGCCGGCCACACACGGTACACACCCCACACCATCTACCTGAACTACCAGGGTTAGCCACACACGGTGCACACCCCACACCATCTACCTGAACTACCAGGGCCGGCCACACACGGTACACACCCCACACCATCTACCTGAACTACCAGGGCCGGCCACACACGGTACACATCCCACACCATCTACCTGAACTACCAGGGCCAGCCACACACGGTACACACCCCACACCATCTACCTGAACTACCAGGGCCAGCCACACACGGTACACTCCCCACACCATCTACCTGAACTACCAGGGCCGGCCACACACGGTACACACCCCACACCATCTACCTGAACTACCAGGGACGGCCAAACACGGTACACACCCCACACCATCTACCTGAACTACCAGGGCCGGCCACACACGGTACACACCCCACACCATTTACCTGAACTACCAGGGCCAGCCACACACGGTACACACCCCATACCATCTACCTGAACTACCAGGGCCGGCCACACACGGTACACACCCCACACCATCTACCTGAACTACCAGGGCCAGCCACACACGGTACACACCCCACACCATCTACCTGAACTACCAGGGCCGGCCACACACGGTACACACCCCACACCATCTACCTGAACTACCAGGGCCATCCACACACGGTACACACCCCACACCATCTACCTGAACTACCAGGGCCAGCCACACACGGTACACACCCCACACCATCTACCTGAACTACCAGGGTTAGCCACACACGGTGCACACCCCACACCATCTACCTGAACTACCAGGGCCAGCCACACACGGTACACACCCCACACCATCTACCTGAACTACCAGGGCCGGCCACACACGGTACACATCCCACACCATCTACCTGAACTACCAGGGCCAGCCACACACGGTACACACCCCATACCATCTACCTGAACTACCAGGGCCAGCCACACACGGTACACACCCCACACCATCTACCTGAACTACCAGGGCCGGCCACACACGGTACACACCCCACACCATCTACCTGAACTACCAGGGTTAGCCACACACGGTGCACACCCCACACCATCTACCTGAACTACCAGGGCCAGCCACACACGGTACACACCCCACACCATCTACCTGAACTACCAGGGCCAGCCACACACGGTACACACCCCACACCATCTACCTGAACTACCAGGGCCAGCCACACACGGTACACACCCCACACCATCTACCTGAACTACCAGGGCCGGCCACACACGGTACACACCCCACACCATCTACCTGAACTACCAGGGCCAGCCACACACGGTACACACCCCACACCATCTACCTGAACTACCAGGGCCGGCCACACACGGTACACATCCCACACCATCTACCTGAACTACCAGGGCCAGCCACACACGGTACACACCCCATACCATCTACCTGAACTACCAGGGCCAGCCACACACGGTACACACCCCACACCATCTACCTGAACTACCAGGGCCGGCCACACACGGTACACACCCCACACCATCTACCTGAACTACCAGGGTTAGCCACACACGGTGCACACCCCACACCATCTACCTGAACTACCAGGGCCAGCCACACACGGTACACACCCCACACCATCTACCTGAACTACCAGGGCCAGCCACACACGGTACACACCCCATACCATCTACCTGAACTACCAGGGCCAGCCACACACGGTACACACCCCACACCATCTACCTGAACTACCAGGGCCGGCCACACACGGTACACACCCCACACCATCTACCTGAACTACCAGGGCCAGCCACACACGGTACACACCCCACACCATTTACCTGAACTACCAGGGCCAGCCACACACGTTACACACCCCACACCATCTACCTGAACTACCAGGGCCGGCCACACACGGTACACACCCCACACCATCTACCTGAACTACCAGGGCCAGCCACACACGGTACACACCCCATACCATCTACCTGAACTACCAGGGTAGCCACACACGGTACACACCCCACACCATCTACCTGAACTACCAGGGTTAGCCACACACGGTGCACACCCCACACCATCTACCTGAACTACCAGGGCCAGCCACACACGGTACACACCCCACACCATTTACCTCAACTACCAGGGACGGCCAAACACGGTACACATCCCACACCATCTACCTGAAGTACCAGGGCCAGCCACACACGGTACACACCCCATACCATCTACCTGAACTACCAGGGCCAGCCACACACGGTACACACCCCACACCATCTACCTGAACTACCAGGGTTAGCCACACACGGTGCACACCCCACACCATCTACCTGAACTACCAGGGCCAGCCACACACGGTACACACCCCAAACCATCTACCTGAACTACCAGGGCCAGCCACACACGGTACACACCCCACACCGTCTACCTGAACTACCAGGGCCGAACACACACGGTTCATCACCCCACACCATCTACCTGAACTACCAGGGCCAGCCACACATGGTACACACCCCACACCATTTACCTGAACTACCAGGGTCGGCCACACACGGTACACACCCCACACCATCTACCTGAACTACCAGGGCCAGCCACACACGGTACACACCCCATACCATCTACCTGAACTACCAGGGCCAGCCACACACGGTACACACCCCATACCATCTACCGGAACTACCAGGGCCAGCCACACACGGTACACACCCCACACCATCTACCTGAACTATCAGGGCTAGCCACACACGGTACACACCCCACACCATCTACCTGAACTACCAGGGCCGGCCACACACGGTACACACCCCACAGGATCTATCTGAACTACCAGCGCCGGCCACACACGGTACACACCCCACAGCATTCAACTGAACTATCAGGGCCAGGCACACACGGTGAATACCCCACACCATCTACCTGAACTACCAGGGTTAGCCACACACGGTACACATCCCACACCATCTACCTGAACTACCAGGGCCAGCCACACACGGTACACACCCCACACCATCTACCTGAACTACCAGGGCCGGCCACACACGGTACACATCCCGCACCATCTATCTGAACTATCAGGGCCAGCCACACACGGTACACACCCCACATCATCTTCCTGAACTGCCAGCCTTCATAGGTGCTCGCTAACAGCACTTGCCCGGTATGTATGTATGTATGTTGAACTTCTTTGCACCATATGTAGCCAACCGCACTAATCGGAGGTGTGATTGCCCCAACAGTCTGTTAAGGCTTTCCGGGGAATCTTTGTCTTTGGGTGTGTGTACACACGGTAACGCGCAGGGGTGTGTGTGTGTGTGTGTGCAGGTGGTGAGCGAGTTTGAGTCGGCGCCCGATACACTGCTGTACCGCGTGGGGAACCTCCGCACGGGAACGCGCTACGTCGTGAGTGTGAGCGCCAGCACCGCGGCCGGGAGAGGAAACGCCACCCACAGCGTCCCCGTCGAGGCCATGCACAAGGGTGAGGGACACGGGGACACGGGGATGGAGGTGGCACAGGACACACACGGACGGAGACACGCGGGGACACGTGAAGAACGCGAAGACACGAAAGCGCGTTGAGCGCACGGGGAAATGGAGGGCGCTGGAGACACAGGGACACTGCCACGTGCAGGGACACAATGAACACATAGAGTACATGAGGACGTCGGGGAAACCGGGGACTCACAGAAACATAACGGACATGGGGACACACGGGCATATGTTGGGGGGACGTGAAAGACACAGGAAACACGGACACACAGTGGACGTGCGTCGACGTTGATTGCTGTTGTTGCTGAAGGTTTTGCGGCGGGCGTTGTTGTTGTGGTTGCTCAGCGCCGGCGCGGGTGCTGTCGTTTGGAGGCCGCGTGTCATCGCCGTGGATGAGGGACGTGCAGTTACCCTGTCGCTCCGTTGGCGAACCCGGCCCCTCCGTGCGCTGGACCAAGGACAGGTCCCGCCCGCGAAACAACAAACGGCACACACGGCACGACGATAAGAAAAGTCCATAGCCTTCCTTAGGCAGGCAAATCGTCAAATCAGCCGATCTCATGAGGTCTCAGAAGCTTAGCAGCGTTGGGCCTGGTTGGCATTTGGATGGCCTTGAGCTGCGAGGTGGCAGTACGGCGATTGACTTCCGGTTGCCGAACGAATACGTTATAAGGTTGCACTCATTACACAAAAAGTGCTTGCCACAAATAAACAACAGGACCTTGCTGATCTCGTCAAGGAGCATAAACCATCACGCGAACTCCGGTAATCCTCGCAGCGACTTTTGGCTGGCCATTGAACAAAGATGGTTACCGCATCGCGTGCTTTCAGGTGCGCTTCTGCGGCCGTCTGGAACGCTCTTCCTTCCAATAGGAAGCCACTGGAGCTATGCACTTTTAAAGCTAGATTGAAAACTAATTTTTTTAGAACTGTTTTTTTTTGTTTAGTTTGTTGTCCTTCCCCCGCACCTCCAATTAGTATGATGCGAACGATGCTTAACATATATACATACAAACCGTCTGCGCGGAGCTTTGAGGGTCATCCTCTCCTCGTATGCGTGATGGGTTATGCTCCGGATACTTTTCGTTTTGCATGATGCCAAAGGCTCATTTGTGGAATTGGTTCAACATCTCAATGTGAGATCCTTCTGAAAAAAATTGTCGTGAGGCTCAGTGAGGCTTTCTTTGATAGATACAGTGAGGGAAAAAAGTATTTGATCTCCTGCTGATTTTGTACATTTGCCCACTGACAAAGAAATGATCAGTCTATAATTTTAATGGTAGGTTTATTTGAACAGTGAGAGACAGAATAACAACAAAACAATCCAGAAAAAACGCATGTCAAAAATGTTATAAATTGATTTGCATTTTAATGAGGGAAATAAGTATTTGACCCCCTCTCAATCAGAAATATTTCTGGCTCCCAGGTGTCTTTTATACAGGTAAGGAGCTGAGATTAGGAGCAGACTCTTAAAGAGAGTGCTCCTAATCACAGCTTGTTACCTGTATAAAAGACACCTGTCCACAGAAGCAATCAATCAATCAGATTCCAAACTCTCCACCATGGCCAAGACCAAAGAGCTCTCCAAGGATATCAGGGACAAGATTGTAGACCTACACAAGGCTGGAATGGGCTACAAGGCCATTGCCAAGCAGCTTGGTGAGAAGGTGACAACAATTGGTGCGATTATTCGCAAATGGAAGATACACAAAAGAACTGTCAATCTCCCTCGGCCTGGGGCTCCATGCAAGATCTCACCTCGTGGAGGTGCAATGATCATGTGAACGGTGAGGAATCAGCCCAGAACTACACGGGAGGATCTTGTCAATGATCTCAAGGCAGCTGGGACCATAGTCACCAAGAAAACAATTGGTAACACACTACGCCGTGAAGGACTGAAATCCTGCAGTGCCCGCAAGGTCCCCCTTCTCAAGAAAGCACATATACATGCCCGTCTGAAGTTTGCCAATGAACATCTGAATTATTCAGAGGACAAATGGGTGAAAGAGTTGTGGTCAGATGAGACCAAAATGGAGCTCTTTGGCATCAACTCAACTCGCTGTGTTTGGAGGAGGAGGAATGCTGCCTATGACCCCAAGAACACCATCCTCACTGTCCAATATGGAGGTGGAAACATTATGCTTTGGGGGTGTTTTTTTACTAAGGGGACAGGACAACTTCACCGCATCAAAAGGACGATGGACCGTCAAATATTGGGTGAGAACCTCCTTCCCTCAGTCAGGGCATTGCAAATGGGTCGTGGATGGGTATTCCAGCATGACAATGACCCAAAACACACGGCCAAGGCAACAAAGGAGTGGCTCAAGAAGAAGCACATGAAGGTCCTGGAGTGGCCTAGCCAGTCTCCAGACCTTAATCCCATAGAAAATCTGTGGAGGGAGCTGAAGGTTCGAGTTGCCATACGTCAGCCTCGAAACCTTAATGACTTGGAGAAGATCTGCAAAGAGGAGTGGGACAAAATCCCTCCTGAGATGTGTGCAAACCTGGTGGCCAACTGCAGGAAACGTCTGACCTCTGTGATTGCCAACAAGGGTTTTGCCACCAAGTACTAAGTCATGTTTTGCAGAGGGGTCAAATACTTATTTCCCTCATTAAAATGCAAATCAATTTATAACATTTTTGACATGCGTTTTTCTGGATTTTTTTGTTGTTGTTGTTCTGTCTCTCACTGTTCAAATAAACCTACCATTAAAATTATAGACTGATCATTTCTTTGTCAGTGGGCAAACGTACGAAATCAGCAGGGGATCAAATACTTTTTTTCCCTCACTGTGTATAAATTAATTACACTTCAAAGGGACCATGTAGAGAAACAAGACAGACTTGCTTTCAGTCATGCCATTTGCATATTTTCGTAATGCAACAGACGCTGTCCAGATCGGATCATGCCTTTTCAAAAAACAAACTCGTATTTTGGAGAGTGGATATCGTTTACTAATTTGTTGTGCACTGCTCATACTTCTGTACTCCGCTTGTAAGGGGAACAACGGGCAGAACAACTTTCCAAAAGCCTTACAACTGGGGAGAGCTGCGGCGCAGTATTTAGCACACTGCATGATGACCCCGCTGACCTAAGTTTTGAATCCCAACCGTGGCTGACATCGATAGCGAGTGAAAGCGGAACGGATGCTCAACCTCCTATCACCGCTCCTCACTGACCAGCGTGGTCAGTGCGGTCAGACACCCCCCCCATGACTGACACGGTGTGGCGAAGACCTCAATCAGACAGAGGCCTGGAACTTGTTATGATGATGTTGACTATGTGTGTTTGGTGTGCGTGTGTGTGTGTGTGCGTGCGAACATAGTGACGGCGTGCCTGTGGCTCTGTGGTCGGATGCGCGCCGTCTCATCCACACCAACGGCAGCCTCGTGATCCGCGCCGTCAAGGCCGACGACTCAGGCTTCTACAGCTGCGAGGCCTCCAACTCGTGGGGCTCTGACCGCATCACCCTGCAGCTCACTGTGCAGGGTGTGTGTGCGCGCGTGCGTGTTGGCGCACCATGCTACTAAGCCGGCGACACGAGTTTGATTCCTGCTCGCAGCTAACACCAGTGACGAGTATCTGAAAAACGGTTTTGGGCCGCCCCTAGGTCGACTCAGCCTCAAATAAGTGCCTGGTGCGATGTGTGAACATTGCACCAGGTACTTATTTGAGGTTGTCCTGAAAAAAAGATGCTCTCGCTGAGCATGATGAGAAGCTCATGAAGCCCCAATATGGGTATAGGCAGGGGAAGCAATGCACGGAGGCCATATTCTCTGCCCATCTGCTACAGCAGACATACAATACATCCTGGGTTTAACCAGACTTGATTCTGTGAGGAGCTTGCATATTGTTAAGAGGTTTAGATATATAATTAGATATTTTTCCATCAGTGAACTCCTTAAACAGGTGAGGATACTGGGTCACATAGCCACATTTTAAGATGGGCTGATTTGGTGTCAAAATTGCACCATGTGGAGGATGCTTGTGATAGACAGTACGGAGCCAGGTGGCTCATTCATGGCGCATTGGCGTAGGGGGGATTGTACAATAATGTAGCCTGTAACACTTGGGTCTGTTCCCGTGACCACTTGCCAGCTAGCCTGGAACACTTCACATGGCCTCGAAGTTCACCTATCTTGGCACAGGAGCTGTGGTGATGTCGGTGCCACTTAATGGTGAATGGTGGCTGATGTTGCTGTGTGTGTTCAGTTCCGCCTGATCAGCCACGACTGTCCGTCTCCAAGACAACAGCCAACTCCATCACCCTCACTTGGGTCACCGGCGACGATGGAGGCAGCAACATCCGAGGTGAGTGGGGACGTCCCCAGAGAACAGGTTTATGAGTTCGACTCCTGGTGGGATTAGAATTACATTGCTGCTATTAATGCTGCTGTCATTGGTGTTGCCTTCGGTGTTGCTTTTAATGCGATCGGTTTTGAAACATTACTGCCGTTATTGGTGCTATTGATGCTGATTTGTCTTTGCTTTTGCTGCTGCTGTTACTACTGCTGTTTTTAATGCTGCTGTCTCTGCTGCTGCTATTGCTGCTACTATCGTCTCTTGCTAACCGTTGCTGCTGCTGCTGTATCTCCTGCTGATGCTGCTGCTTCTCTGGTCCCTGGCGAGCCGTGTGCAGGCTACGTGCTGCAGCTGTCGTCGGAGCGGGGCGAGCGCTGGGACGAGGTGCGCGTGGGTCCGGGCGAGCGCTCGCTACGTGTGCAGCAGCTGCGATGCGGCACGTGGTACAAGTTTACGCTCGCCGCGCGCAACGCTGTGGGCACGGGGAGGATCAGTGAGATCCTCGAGGCCAAGACGCAGGGCAAAGGTGAGTGGGTGCAGACGCGACGTTCACGCGGATTCGCCGCCGCACAGACGTGTAAAGACGTGCGGACGCACACAGATGCACGGACGCACACAGATGCGTGCCTCTGCCCCTCCGCTGTCCTCGTGCCCCTCTAGCGCCGTGGTTCTCGCGCGCGGAGCCCGACTCCCACACGCTGTCCTTCGTCAACTCCACGCACGCCGCGCTGCTGCTCTTGGGCCTCTCGGATGGCGGTTGCCCCCTCACATCCTTCTCTATCGAGTTCCGCCCCATCGGCACGCCGGGCACCCCCGCCTCTTCGTCATCATCGTCCTCGTCATCCATCCCGAAACTCCCGGGGCTCACCAAAGACTCGGATTTGCCTGGCTCCGCGCTGTCTCTCGGCGGCGGAGGCAGCGGCGGCGGTGGAACGAGAGTGGCCCCGTGGTCGCACCTGCCTCCTGGCGGGGCTGGTGGCGGAGGCGGCGGAGGAGGCGGCGGTGATGGTGGTGTCGCCGGGGCCCCCGAGGGTTGGGGTGCGGCCACGGCCGGGCAGCCGGGGTGGTCGCGGCCGCCTGGGCCTCCAGCGGGCGGCCCCTCGTCCGCCGTGGCCGCGCCTGACAGTTGGACCCGGCTTGCGCCGGCCACTGCATCTGGAACAGGCGGTGAGGGGCAGGCGCGGGCGGATGGCTGGGAGCCTTCATGGGGTGTCGAATGATTATATGGTTGGGTGTGAGTGTTGCGTATGATGGGGTGGATAGGTGGTTGCTTGGATGAATGGTTTGATTAATAAGTTCATTTATGAATTGTTTGAGTGGATGGCTGGTTATGCTTGGTTGATTGGTTAGTTCAGTGGCCAGTTGTATGATTATTGAATTGTATGGCTGGTTTACTACATTATTACTTGATTAATAGTTTAACGGATTTTTTGTTTGTTTGTTTATGAACTGAAATGTTGGATGATTTGGCAGTGTGACTGGTTAATTGGCTGGCTGGCTGAATGGTTGACTGTCTCATAACTGGCTTTCTGCATCATTGGCTTTCTGGTTAGTTGAAATCGGTTCATTGATTGATTGACTAATTGGCCGAGTGACTGGCTATGTGTCGGCGGCATCCCTGGTAGGCATTGGCGGTGGTGGCGGGGGTGGCAGCGCCGGCGGCGGCGTGGGCGAGGGCTGGTGGCGAGCGGACGGGTGGTCGCGCGTGCACGCCGTGCTGGCGTCTCTCCGCGAGGGCACGTGGTATGAGGTGCGGGCGCGCGCCTGCAACGCAGCTGGCTGCTCCGAGCGCCTCCACTCCTTCGCCACGCTCGACGCCAATGGAGGTGCTCGCTCATTCGCGCGCACGCACACGCGTGTATTTGCGTGTGCCTAGTGTGGTGGTTATCTCACTGCGCTAACAACTCGGCAACCCGAGTTCGATTCCCACTCACGGCCAATAACAGTGACGAATATTTCAACCAGTCCTGGACCTCCCTTCGGCCTCAAATGAGTACCTGGTGTAGTTTGTAAACCTCGCCACTAGGGGACAAAGGCGGGCGAGAGTGGTGCTGGCCACCCACCCCCTCGTGTGCTGTGCTGCCCTTCATAGGTGTTCACTAACAGCACTTGTCTGTATGTTTCTGTGTTTGGGAAGTGGTAGTGTTGCGATTAGCGTTTTGCAGTATGAATCCGGCTACCCGAGTTCGATTCCTGCTGATGACCATCAACAGTGGCGAGAGATATCTGAACCTGTCCTGAGCCTCCTTTCGGTCGACTCAGCCTTAAATAAGTACATGGTGTGGTGAGAAAAAACATCAGCACTGTGGAGACAAATCTAGTAGGGCATGGTGCTTGCTACACAAGTCTGTTAAGGCTATACGGGGGATCTTTGTCCTTTTTGTATATATTTTTTGGTAAGAATGTGAGTCTCCGATGTGCTAATGTATGCGCGTGCGCACACGTGTGATATTAACATTTACACGCGTGTATCTTAATACACACGTGATTGCTTATCCCGCCATGCGTGCGTGCACGGCGATGGCGCATGTCGCAGCGATTCACACGCTGCCGTGCCTCCCACCCCCCCCCCCCCCCCCCCCCCCCCCCTCCGGCGCCCGCTCCCCCGCTCCGTGCAGGCACGGTGCCGCCCCTAACGCGGCTGGATGCCGATAGTCCGCGGGTGCCGGATGGCGATGGCGTCGCGCTCACCGCGTCGCTCTGCTGCGGTCTCCTGCTCCTCTCTGCCATCTTGGCGCTCGCCTGCGCCGTGCGCAAACACCGCCGCCAGCGCCGCCTCAAGCGGCTCAGAGGTGCTCAGCCTCACCACCCCGATCATCCTCCATTCCCCTGATCACCCCGATTATTCCGCTGGCCTGCCTAGCTCCCGCTATCCTGAGTACACCCCAGCTTCCCTTGACACTCGTTTGAACCGCACGTACGTATGTGGTGAATTGTACATGCATGCTTATGTGTGTGTGTGTGCACGCACTGCGCCATGAACCCGGCGACCCGAGTTCGATTCCCGCTCACGGTCGACACCAGTGACGATTATCTGTACTTGTCCTAGGCCTCCTGTAGGTCGACTTGGCCTCAAACGAGTATCTGGTGCGGTGTGTAGATAGCACCACTAGGGGACAAAGGGTGTGGTGCTGGCCAGTCACTCCCTCGTGTGCCATGCCGGCCTTCATAGGTGCTTGCTAACAGCACTTGTCCGAACAGTCTGTTGAGACTATATGTGAAGAGTGTCCATTGTGTGTTTACCTGTCAGTGGTGAGTGATATCTAAACTGGTGCTGGGCTTCACTTACGTCAGATGTGTGAGTGTGTGTGTTTATATGTGTGGAGGAGGCTTGTGAAGGACGCTACTGGGCAGTTGGAGGCAGTCGCCCTCCAACAACCACTGAGGGCGGAGGAGCGACGCTCACAATGAGCGGAGCGCCGGGCAGCTAAAATGCAGCAAGTTGGCACAGTAGGGGGTATAGCTGGTGCATCTGCTAGTCATCTCAGCCAACCCATGGAACCTGGGTCTGTCCCGTGACCTGTGAGCGAGCCTTCGATACTTCACGTGGCCTCAAAGCGCACCTGGCCTGGCACAGGCGCCGTGGTGACGTCACCTTCAAATAGTGGCGAATGGCGGGTATTGGTATTGGTGTGAGAAACTGTGGCACTAAATGGGTAGCACATTGCAGTACAAACCCAGCAACCTGATTTTGATTCCTCGCCATGGCTAACGTCAGTGGGGAGTGACATCTTAACCTCACCTAGGTCGACCCAGATATCTGAGCCTCCCTTAGGTCGACTCAGTCTTAAATTAGTACCTGGCGCAGTATGTAAAACATCAGCACTGGGGTGAAAAAAAGTGGCTGCCCCAGTGTGGTGCTGACCATACCACTCAATTATGCACTGTTCCAGTCTTAAAAAGAGCTCGCTAATAGCACGTGCCCCAAGATTCTACGTGTGTTACATCTTTGTATGTATGAGAGTGTGCACTGGTGTCTACATGATTTGCCAACTGCGCTACCATCCTGCCAACAGAATGAAGCCACACAGCAGTGGCCAGAGAGGCGTTAAGGTTGGGAACAATGATCCGTGATTAAAGATGCCATTGAAATGAAAATTCTCTCTCTGCCTTCTCTCCCACGTGCCCCCCCTCTCCACCGGACGTCTTTGTACCCCCCGTACCATCCTTTTCTTTGTCTTTTGATTTACCCAACGACCATTCCAATGCCAACACACGTTTTTTGTCTTGTCTGTGCACCCCATGAAAATGACCAAAATTCATATCACTTTTGCGTGCTAAACCCAAAAATGAAACGACCAAACATATTCCATTTCCTACATTCACTTTTAATTTTCTGTTGCGTTTTTTCTGGGTTATTTTGTATGGAGACAATCGTATATATATATCTGTTGTCACTTATCGTGTATTAATCCATCAATAAATGTATCTGCTGTCCCCTGTTTGGACTCGTTTGTGTTCCATTATCTTGAGGTTGCATTGCCTCTTCCCTCTCATCTGTTGTGCGACGCTTTTGTGTCTCCCTTCACCTGCCCTTTGTGTCACCGCCATCGTGCTCTCCTTGTGTTTACTCGCGTCACACCTTTGTTTGCCGCTACCTTTATTGAATTATCTGTTCATTAAAGATGCCAAAAGTCTTGCGGAAATGCTGATGAGGTGAGTGTTCATCACTACGCTTTGGCAAAACCCTTTACGCACCAACCAGCAATGCACAGGCGGTAATTCCGCCTTCTCTGTGTCACACATAAACGAATTTATGAGGTTCACCTGTGTGTGTACGCACGTGTGTTGTACGTCTGTATTTGTCGTACTTTGTGTCAAGCCGTGCGATGACGCAGCCCAATGGTAGCGCGTTCGCCGCTTGTTGGAGAAGTTCGCGGTTGGAATCCAGCGACCGCTTCTGGTTATCACTGCGGGTCTTAAGTGGCGTCAGCTTCACAGCGAACGTTAAAGACCCCCTTGACGTCACTCGCAAGAGTGGGCTATTGTGTGCCGCGTCAGGGTCCAAATTCGGAAGTTTTACCCGCAAATGACTCAATTGGCATTATACACAACAACCGTTGCTTACACCTGGCAGATTCATACCCCAGGTCACTCTTGAAAATGAGACTATGCTGGTCTGTTGAGTTTTCAGCTGGTTTGGGAAAATTTGCTTAAAACCTGAAGCCACTGCAGGATTAGGGCCCCCTCCCCATGCCTGTGTGGATCATGGGGCTTATTTGGCCATACTTCACCTACCCAAAATAGATGTTTTTCTCTCTCTCTTGGATTTTTCTAATATTTAAGCAAAGACTCGGCTGTATTTGTGCCAAATTTCAGCTTACAAGCTTTTGTAGAATATCATTCGAATTTTTGTCAATCACTGACAACGAGCTTAATGTATCAGCTATGCAACGTATTTGTACTGCATATGAACATGTACAGCCCTTTGTCAGTCCACTGCTGGATGAGGTCCTGCCTGCGTGGTGCAAGTCGTGGGGGTTATTTGACCATACTTCACCACGCTGGCCATTGTGAGTTGGTGAAGGCGGGGAGCATAGAAGCACAGTACAACAATGCATTTTACTGCACTGACCCCTGCTGCCCACAGCGTAGGCAGCAGAGGTCAGCACTTATCCAGGCTCAACTCTGCTTAGCTTCTGACATTTGATGAGTAATTTTGACCGCTTATCTATTTGTGTATGTGCATATATATATACGTCAGAAGTACTGAAGTGTGTATATATATACGTGGTACCATGTAACTGCTGTAGTATACGTTAACACACAGGCACGGATGTAAATGCATGTTCATGCATGCGCGTGTGCACGTGTGTGCGCTCGTGCATGATGTGCACATGCGACAGGAGTGGCTGGGCCCCTCTCACTGCACACTGCATGCCTCAGCCACTCTGAATGTGCTTTGCTTATCCTGCGCCTCTTTGTGGTGTGCCAAAAATGTGCATGTGTACTGCACATATTAATCCTTTGTGCTGTGTGTGCCGTGTGTGTCTCGTGTGTGCTGTGTGGCTTGTGTGTGCTGTGCGTGCTGTGAGTCGTCCTGTATTTGTCGCGTGTTATTTCTGTAAACGCTGTGCGTGACGTGTGCTGTACGTGTCTCATGAGTGCCGTGCCTGATGCGTGTGTGTGCGTGTCTTGTGGGTGCTGTATGCGACAACCCTTCGTCCTTGTGTGGTTTGACCTGTGCTGTGTTGTGTGGACTGTGCTGTGTTGTATACCCTGCGTGTTGCGTGTACTGTGTATGCGCTGCGTACTGTGGATATGCTGTGTGGTCTGCGTGTACACTGCCTGCTGTGTATCATACGTACTGTGTGCGTGCTGTGCATGCTGCATGTCCCTCTTGTACCATGTATTTTGTGTGGTGCTCTGTGTGTACTGCGTGTGTGCTGTGTGTGCTGTTTCTCCCCCCCCGCCCCCCCGCCTTGTGTTGCGTATTCTGTGCTGTGTGTCGTGTGTCCCCCTGTGCGCGTGCTGCGTGCGTACTGTGTGTGCTGCGTGTACCGTGCGTGCTGTACGTGCCGTCCCCGCGTGCTGTACCCCCAGTAAGAGCTCCCGGGCCGGGGACCCCCCCAAGTGGCAGCCCCAGACCCCACGCGTTCACGTGGACGTCCCCCGCGCGCAGCTCCTCATCGACGACAAGGGCAGCACGGAGCGCCTGGGTACGCGCCGCAACACGACGACGCGGAACATCGCCGCACACGGTGTCTGGGTACGTGACGACGCGTGTATCGCGTGTGTGGTGTCGCGTGTGTCGTGCTGCGTAGACGTGGATGACAATGCAACGGTGTTGCTGGGCGATGGAGACTTTGCGTCGCGGCCTGAGCCGTTCCCCTGCGGCCTCGGCTCGGCCGCCTCCGCCTCCGCGCTGGAGCCATCGCTTTCGCCGTCGCGCGGTGAGCGGCGCCACCCCGTGGACACCATCGCCACCACACTAGCCGCAGCACACAGTGACGACACACTGGCCGCCACCATTCCAGCTACCACACCACGCTCCTTCACGCTCCACCATGCTCCGCCACGCTCTGTCACGCTCCTTCACGCTCCACCATGCTCCATCATGCTCCGCCACGCTCTGCCACGCTCCATCACGCTCCGCCACGCTCCTTCACGCTCCGCCACACTCCATCACGCTCCCCCACGCTCCATCACGCTCTGCCACGCTCCATCACGCTCTGCCACGCTCCTTCACGCTCCGCCACGCTCCATCACGCTCCCCCACGCTCCATCACGCTCTGCCACACTCCATCACGCTCTGCCACGCTCCATCACGCTCTGCCACACTCCACCACGCTCCCCCACGCTCCATCACGCTCCATCACGCTCCGCCACGCTCTGCCACGCACCGCCACGCTCCATCACGCTCCATCACGCTCTGCCACGCTCCATCACGCTCCATCACACTCCACCACTCTCCACCATTGTGTACAATCACACAGCAGCAATTACATAACGACCACGTTCAGGCACACCACACCATTACTACATACAACCAAATAAACTACTGCTGTCACCACACCCAGTCACACCACACCACTATAAAGCCACTGTGATCTTTCATGCACAGCCATCACATTCAACCACACTTCACCCTTACCACACTAATCCACACCATGCCACTTCCCACCACATTTCTACCACGGCCCACTCTACCCAACCACACTGCACCACTGCAACATCCAGCCACACCCCCTGCACGGCCAACCCTTTTCCACGGAGACACGAGGATTGCTAATGCTGTCCAGCCAGTTTCATGACAGTGGTTTGTGTTCATGTTTAGAACGCTTTGCAAGTGAACAACCTCGTGAATGTTTCATTCCCCACCCAGAGTGACATGTGACACTCTGTCTTTCACTCCCGCTTTCCCCATCCATGCCGACCCCCTCCCGCCCTCCCCACCTCACTTTCCCTCCCACGTCCCCTACTTGCTAAAGGGGCCAAGTCGGTGCTGGGCACGTCCCTGACCCTGACGCCGTCCTCGGGCGGGGGGCCCGGGGCTCCCTCGGCCTCGGCTGGCACCCTCACGGCGGCCGCGGCGGCGTCGTCGTCCGGGGTAAAGGCGGTGGGCTGCACCCTTTCCTCGTCGTCCTCCTCCTCGGCGCTGGGGCCCGCGCTGGGAGCCGGCGGGGGGATCGGCATCGGGGGCGTCGGGGGCATCGGGGGCGGCGTGGGCAGCGGAGGAGGTGGGGGGGTGTTCCTGGGCACGAGGGCCCGGCGGTGCTCGCACGCGAACGCCAGCGCGCATCACACGCTGCCCAGGCTCCACGGGGGAGGCAGCGGTGGTGTCGGTGGCGTCAGTGGTGGCGGTGGCGGCGGCAGTGGAGTCGGCGGTGGCGCCGGGGGAATGGATGCATGTGCCATGGGTGCGAGACCTTCCACGAGTGAGCGACACTTGATAAAAAAAAGGAAAATGTAAACGATCATTCTACTATCGTCGTCATCATCATAGCACTACCACGGGTTAAATGAACGATGGTCATCTGACATTCTGCTCATAGTTCGAGACACGAAAGCAGTACAAGAAGGGGCAGCAGCAAAACAACAATCTGTTAAACAAATTTCCTGTTTCAAAAACGTGAGGTTGTATTTTTGAGAGGGTGTTATGTGACTGAGGAAGCGGGCAAAAAGTTTTAACGGAGAGAGAGTAACCACTTGCCGCAACTGCCTCTCTGTTACCGTAGAGTCACAAAGCAACAAACGTTGAGTGACTATATGAGGCTGAATGTGAATGTTTTTACAAGATGAGGAGAGGACAATGGGAATTTCAGACCATCGTCCATCCACAATTGCTGGATATGGCGACAGACGGTAGCAAGACAGCGTTGCCAGAGCCTCCCGTAACATATTGCTGTGATGGTGCCCTCGTGCGCTTTTGTGCACGCGCGCCCGCATGCCCGCCCGCGTGCTCATGCCTGCGCGCGCGTGTGCCTCGTGCGTGGCAGACCCATCGGCGAGGCGAGGCGGCGTGGTTCGCCCGCGCTGCGTGAGTCAGTGGACGCTGGGCACCACGCTGAGCCGGGGCCACACTCCGCACGGTGGTGGCGTTGGTGGCGGCGGTGTTGGTGTCGGGGGTGGCGCTGGGCATGGCGGGGGTGGCGCCGCCGCGGGGGAGAGTGACAGCCACAGCGTGACGCCGTCGCAGGACACGGGTGAGGAAGCGGCGGTGCTGGAGCCGACGGCAAAGGCCGGTAGATCCAGAGAGACGAGATCAATAACTTTAAGAGAGGGACCAGATGAAGATTATATATATAGCGGGGGTGGGTAGCCACGTGCACGGTTAAATCAAAGCCGAGTGAAATTGATTCTAAGAAGCTCCCCCCCCCACCATGAGAACAATGGCGGAGTCGGCCATTGTGAGCCGTAACGGCGTCCACCCCACGTGATGGGCGAGCGTCTCCCGCTAAGATCTAAGCCACGTTACCAGCAACGGCCATACCCCTTGCGGTCGAAAGAGCAGCAGCTGCAGAGATCAAAGACGTATGCTTGGTGAGGTTATAGAATTACATTTACCAGGAGAGCAAGGAAGAAACAGCATGGTCAGGTAACCAATGGAAATGCCGAGATAGGACAGCCCTTCTGTTAATTCCCTACTGAACGAGGGCCTCCTCTTGCTGTGCAAGTCATGGTAGTTTGTTTGACCTTCACCACACTGGTCGGTGTGAGTCACGAGTGCGGTGAAAGTAGCCGCAGACGTACAAGACAGCAATGGCGTTTAAATCACTACCCTTTGCTGCTCACCATGTCACCCCTTAGTCTGTAGCTGATCACAAGCTGCGTGCGTGATGGTCGTCCATCCAAGCACTGCCCGGGTTCAACCTTCCTGCTGAGATTAGATCCTGGCTTGCCTTAGCTCTGAACATTTCGGGCACATTCCGAGCGATGTGGTCACAGGCAGACAGAGACCAGGTGGGCATTCTCTATGTACGGAGACCAGATGACCGCTGTCAACCACGGGACATCAGATGAGGGTGTATTGAGATTCGATAAAGGTACACGCTAGGGTAGCGGTGGCCAACGTGTATGAGACCAAGAGCCAAAGAGTACCCATGAGTTCTACAAAGAGCAAAGTGTATATATAAGCGTATGTATAATTCAGTTTTCGGCACAGCTCGGGAGACATTTATTATTCTCTGCTACTGTTATGCCCCTTCAATAGAGCCACGTGTGGTGGATTAAAAAGCCTCGTGCGGCTCGGGCGACGCCAGTTGGCCACCGTTGCACTAGGGAGTCCAAACAACGCCCGGATTAAGAACGAGAGCCCTGGCTGCACCGCGGCGGTGACCATCTCGCATTAACACGAGCACTCTCCCTCCCCTTCTGCCGACTCCCACTGGCACTGTGGGTAAACCCCCCAACCCTACCACCAGACAAGGGCCGCAGCAGCCTGGTGTCGGAGAGCGCGTCGTCCACGTATGAGGAGCTGGCGCGCGCCTACGAGCACGCGCGCATGGAGGAGCAGCTTCGCGACGCCACCTTCCAGATCACCGAGTGCTTTGTGAGCGACCGCTCGTCCTCGCGGGCCTCCTCCTCACCGCTGCCGGCGCCACCGCCGCCGCCGCAGGTGAACGCCAAGGTCGTGGGGAGCGGTAGTGTAGCGGTTAGCGCGCTGTGCTATGAACCCGGTGACCAGAGTTCGATTCCCGCTCACAGCCAACACCGGTAACAATTATTTGAAGCAGTCCTGGGGATCCCCTAGGTCGACTCAGCCTCAATTGACTACCTGGTGCAATGCGTAAACACCGTCACTAGGTAGACAAAGGTGGCCGGGCGTGGTGCTGGCCACCCACCTCCTCTTGTGCCGTTCCGGCCTTCATACAGTGAGGGAAAAAAGTATTTGATCCCCTGATGATTTTGTACGTTTGCCCACTGACAAAGAAATGATCAGTCTATAATTTTAATGGTAGGTTTATTTGAACAGTGAGAGACAGAATAACAACAAAAAAATCCAGAAAAACGCATGTCAAAAATGTTATAAATTGATTTGCATTTTAATGAGGGAAATAAATATTTGACCCCTCTGCAAAACATGACGTAGTACTTGGTGGCAAAACCCTTGTTGGCAATCACAGAGGTCAGACGTTTCTTGTAGTTGGTCACCAGGTTTGCACATATCTCAGGAGGGATTTTGTCCCACTCCTTTTTGCAGATCTTCTCCAAGTCATTAAGGTTTCGAGGCTGACGTTTGGCAACTCGAACCTTCAGCTCCCTCCACAGATTTTCTATGGGATTAAGGTCTGGAGACTGGCTAGGCCACTCCAGGACCTTAATGTGCTTCTTCTTGAGCCACTCCTTTGTTGCCTTGGCCGTGTGTTTTGGGTCATTGTCATGCTGGAATACCCATCCACGACCCATTTTCAATGCCCTGGCTGAGGGAAGGAGGTTCTCACCCAAGATTTGACGGTACATGGCCCTGTCCATCGTCCCTTTGATGCGGTGAAGTTGCCCTGTCCCCTTAGCAGAAAAACACCCCCAAAGCATAATGTTTCCACCTCCATGTTTGACGGTGGGGATGGTGTTCTTCGGGTCATAGGCAGCATTCCTCCTCCAAACATGGCGAGTTGAGTTGATGTCAAAGAGCTCCATTTTGGTCTCTTCTGACCACAACACTTTCACCCAGTTGTCCTCTGAATCATTCAGATGTTCATTGGCAAACTTCAGACGGGCATGTATATGTGCTTTTTGAGCAGGGGGACCTTGCGGGCGCTGCAGGATTTCAGTCCTTCACGGCGTAGTGTGTTACCAATTGTTTTCTTCGTGACTATGGTCCCAGCTGCCTTGAGATCATTGACAAGATCCTCCCGTGTAGTTCTGGGCTGATTCCTCACCATTCACATGATCATTGCAACTCCACGAGGTGAGATCTTGCATGGAGCCCCAGGCCGAGGGAGATTGAGAGTTCTTTTGTGTTTCTTCCATTTGCGAATAATCGCACCAGCTGTTGTCCCCTTCTCACCAAGCTGCTTGGCAATGGTCTTGTAGCCCATTCCAGCCTTGTGTAGGTCTATAATATTGTTCCTGACATCCTTGGAGAGCTCTTTGGTCTTGACCATGGTGGAGAGTTTGGAATCTGATTGATTGATTGCTTCAATGGACAGGTGTCTTTTATACAGGTAACAAGCTGAGATTAGGAGCACTCCCTTTAAGAGTGTGCTCCTAATCGCAGCTCGTTACCTGTATAAAAGACACCTGGGAGCCAGAAATCTTTCTGATTGAGAGGGGGTCAAATACTTATTTCCCTCATTAGAATGCAGATCAATTTATAACATTTTTGACATGCGTTTTTCTGGATTTTGTAGTTGTTATTCTGTCTCTCACTATTCAAATAAACGTACCATTAAATTATAGACTGATCATTTTTTTGTCAGTGGGCAAACGTACAAAATCAGCAGGGGATCAAATACTTTTTTCCCTCACTGTAGGTGCTCGTTACCAGCACTTGTCCCAAGAGTCTGTTAAGGCTATACGGGCGATCTTTACGCACGTGGTGGGGAAGAGGGCACAGGTTTGGTTCGTACCTTCGCCAGGGTTGGGTGGGCAGGGGGGTGGGCAGGGGGGTGGGCAGGGGGGTGGGGCATTCACCCCAGGCCCCCCTCCTGAGGTGGGGGGGGGGGGCTGCACGAATGGGGGGCTGAATTGTCGGTAACAAAGCGAGCAATGGCAGCTGGTGGCTCAAATTTTTTGTGGAGCGGTGCCGACGCCACAGCGGGACTTGGTGGGGGATACCTGGGGATTTTGATAAAGTTGGCAACCGAAAAGTTTTAGGTAGTTTAAGGTAGTTTAATACGTAGGCTTTTGTTACCAATATCATCCATAATACAGGTTATTTGGGTTACATCGTGTAAATATATAAATGTGTCGTTAAACCCACCAACACACCTGTGTGCTGTACGAGTGTAGTGAGTCTTGATAGCGTGACACGCGGTCACAGCGACTTACCTGGTGTAGCACCAGCCATGGGTCAACAGGGGGCGACAGCGGTACGGTCTGTATTAAGTAACATCAGCAATTGTTTCTTGCTGTGGTTGTCCCACCTGATGACGGACGCTTGTGTTGCACCCGAAACGTCGTGATTTAATTAATTCGATTTAATACCTACGTGACTTTACTGAAAGAACTAAAGAGTAAGTAACGCCGTTAGGCCAGGGAACCCAGAGGGTGGTTGGGAACCGGAGATATACACCCCAGGCCCCCAGTGGGGGCTGGGGGATTACGCAATAGTCCAGGTCCCTCCAGAAGATTCCAGAGAGTAGGCGTGGCCAAGGGGCGGAGTGACCCTGGGAGCTGTATATAAGGCGGACCCCTGAACGGGTTTGCCAGTCGTCGTCAAGCTGAAGACCCGAAGAGCCAGCCTAGAATAGGACCCTGGGAACCCCCGGACCCCGACGTCCTTCTAAGGGCCGGGACCGAGCGGGCCAGTGGCCGGGATCTGAGGACCTTGGCTGGGTCGGGTCAGCTAGCCTCCCCTAGGTCCCCCTAGCCGGAGGGCTGATATATAGAGGAAGTGGTCTTAGTGAGTAGGACACGCTAGTCTGGAGGCTATATCTCCTCAGGGTATCGGGTAGAGGGCCGATACCCCTTTGTGCTAGGGACCTCGTGTTATAGTTATTACTGTTAAATAAACGTGTTGCCTCCAGAAGAAGACTGGGTCTCCATTCATTAACATTACACTAGTAGCGAATTGGCATGTTCTGTTTACGTAACAAACCTTACTAATTGGCTGTGTTGGGTGGTGGCGGGTTTAATGACATATTTATATATTTACGCGATCTAACCCAAAAAAACCTGTATTATGGAGTTCATAGGTAACAACAGAACTGTTTTTGGAAAACAAATACATGTGCAAACTTTTTAAATTAAGACGATCAAATGAAACGGAAGAATTGCATCATGGGAAAACCGATAATGTCTTTCAGTAGCTGTGAAAGGCCCATCTTTATTTTTATTGGCAGAAACAGAGACTCTGTGCCCCAGGCTGCTTAATCCAAGTTTGAAGCCGTGTTAATGAGATTAAAAGACTTTGAGGTTTCAGTCAAGCGTGCGATTACAGCGGTTTTGTGAAATCGATGACATATCTAGAGCGCTCTGACTGGAGCGCCTGTCAACCTCTGATTGACCTTTAACCCCCCTTGCTGTCATTGACCTCTCACCTTTGACATATGCACCCCACACCCCCATTGCTACACCGCTGCAGGCTCAGACACTGTCCGGCTGCCACCTGCAGAAGCAGCAGCATGGGCAGCAGGCGCCACAGGGAGGCGGTGCAGACGCGACGGCCACGGGACTTGCCGGGTGAGGGGGGGGCGGCAGAGGAGAGGGGAAGGGAGAGGGTAGATGGGTGAAGGCAGAGGTCAGAGCAGCAGCGATTCCATTGGGGAAGACCTAGTCTGCGTAACGATCAATGTTTTTCTATTCTTTTTGTTTATGATATTAAAATTGTATTGAACGTCATGGAGAGCGCGGCATTCAAGTTCAAGTTAAAGAGGTCATCATAGCCAGTGTTGTTAATGCCACCCGGCCTCGCTCACCATCGCTTCCTCCTGCCAGTTCTCGCAGCTATTGCACAGTCGACACCTCGTGACCTCTAAGGCTCATTCATTGCTCTTAGTCTCATCCCACGCATGGAATTTCACATTGAGGGTGTGGACATGGGAGCCTCCCCCCCATCATATTAGGTGGTGGTGCCTCCTGCTTACGATCATAGAGTGAGAGAATGAACCGTGATGTGAAAATAAATTATAGATGTTTGGGTTAGGCCATAGGATGAACCGATGAGCTATGAAGCTCTTTTTCACTGCATATTTGTGAAAAAGAGCTTCATAGTTCATCGGATTTCTCCAGTCTATATAAAGATTCTGATCTGACCAAATTTAGCCTGGCCCAAAAAGCTATTGGGAATCGTAATGTTGGCTGGGAAAACCTTCGTGTTAACATGACGTTGAGTTTGTTTTTTCATTTAATTTGCAAAAATTTCCCACCAGCTAACAGAATCAAGAATATCAGTATCATCACCACGTGCAACAAGGAGGGCTTGTGGGAAAGTGCATCGCCGCCCGGCGCCTACGCCGATTGTACATTCGTAACGGAAAGAGAAACGAACCTCATCAAAATTGTAATCTCAGAGCTCTCCCGTCTCCCTCCTCCACCCACGCATCAGGGAGACGCCTCTGTCGGGCTCCACGTCCGGCTCCGAGTCGGGAATCTGTCGCTTCACGGCATCGCCGCCCTCGCTGCTGCCGGCGACGCGAGGAGGCCCCGGTGGGGGTGGCGGCACCTGTGGGGGGCCCACGCTCCGCACCAGCGGCAGCGCCATCTCCGTTCCTGTGCCGCACCGCGCCGGTGAGACGGCGGCGAGCGTTTTCAGGACTGCCGATGGTTAATGCGTGGGTGCGCTTGACACTGTGTAACGATACGTGGACTCGGGCGTTGTGCCTCACAATTCCAGTGGAAATCCACGGCTCCGGGTTTGATTTCTTGCTGTGATGCCAGTGAAGGCGTCTGGGGAGGCTCATGAATGATGCCACTGGGCGGCTGCCAACAGCTGTTCTCTAGCAACGCAGGTGGCAGAGGAGCAACGCAGCGGTGCTCAAAGTAACAAAGACAGCATCGGGGGGTGCGTGGGGGGAGGGAATGCATGAGTTGGCACAGTGGGGAATACAAGCGGTTCATCTGCAGGTCACCCTGATCTTTTAACCGTAACACCTGGGTCTGTCATGCGTGCCTCCTGCCAAACCCACTCCACATGGCCTCGGAGTGCACCAAGCCTGGCACAAAAGGTGTTGTGGTGCTGCCACCACTTAATGCCTACCACTGACCATTTCTCTTGTGCAAGTGTGGTCATACCCTTTGGGTCTTTCGTTAAAGTGACGTAGATCGTTTCGATAGCAACACAAGCCATCGTCTTCAGGTGAAACAACACAGCAGGTGGACTGCTGAGGCAGGAGGAAATGTAGCGAGAGAGATACTGAAACCAGAGGTTATATGGGTTTGTGGTAGGCACAACCCAAGGGCAAGTGGGCGGGGCAAGGGATGGAATTTGCAAGTCAATGCAAGATCGCAGAGCTTGCACACCTCGGCCAATCCGAGGGGAGGAGGGAGGGGAGGGGGAGGGGCCACCGCAACGGGCGAGTGGGTGGGGGTGAAATTTACAGAGGGAACAAGGTGATAGAGAAAAAAGAAAAAATATATAAAACTTAGCAAACTTAGAAATGTAACACAACAGCTAACACTGTACCTGGTTGATCAATGTCCTTCCAAATATTGCTAAATTTTTCATCCACCTCGGTTGAAGTCGTGTCTGAGTTGTGTGGAAATCCTCCCCGTAGAGGCGGTTCAATCTTGATTTGAAGCTTTCGTGACTGCAGGAATTCACACTCTTTGGTTGTTTCTATCTACGTGACTTTACCGAAATAATTAATTTGCTTCTTTAAGGCAATTTACATTTTGTATGGAATCCTTATTATTTATATATTTGTGTAGGTAAAAAACGCCGCGGTCCCTAATCTCTGGAATCACCTCGCCCAAGAAGCAGGCGCTGCGTGTCTCAGGAGCCGCGTGTCTCAGGAGCCACGTGTCTCAGGAGCCGCGTGTCTCAGGAGCTGCGTGTCTCAGGAGCCGCGTGTCTCAGGAGTCGCGTGTCTCAGGTTACACGTGTCTCAGGCACCACGTGTCTCAGGAGCCGCGTGTCTCAGGAGCCACGTGTCTCAGGCGCCACGTGTCTCAGGAGCCACGTGTCTCAGGAGCCGCGTGTCTCAGGCACCACGTGTCTCAGGTGCGCCACGTGTCTCAGGCGCCGCGTGTCTCAGGAGCCACGCGTCTCAGGAGCCACGTGTCTCAGGAGCCACGCGTCTCAGGCACGCCTGAAGTAATTAATTCAAGTAAGCGTTGATGTGGGAGCAGGCGCCACATCATTGACCTACTTCTCGACCGTGAGTTAAACGAAGTTGTTAATAAAACCGTTATTTAAAAAAAACGTTTTTAAGGAGTTTATTTCTCTCTATCAACTTGTTCCCTCTGTAAATTTCACCCCCACCCTCTCGCCCGTTGCAGCGGCCCCTCCCCCCCTCGGATTGGCCGAGGTGTGCGAGCTCTGCGATCTTGCATTGACTTGCAAATTCCATCCCTAGCCCCGCCCACTTGCCCTTGGGTTGTGCCCACCACAGGCGTATGTGGCCTCTGGTTGCGGTGGCTCTCTCGCTACATTTCCTCCTGCCTCAGCAGTCCGCCTGCTGTGTTGTTTCACCTGAAGACGATGGCTTGTGTTGCTATCAAAACGTCGTGATTTATTCGTTATTTTTCTACCTACGTGACTTTACCGAAAGAACCAAAGAGTATGAATTCCTGCAGTCATGAAAGTTTAAATCAAGTGTGGTCATGTTTGTGTGATTGACCTCAAAATGTATCTGTCCCTGAGGAAACTGTACTCAATGTTGAATGTTACATTTTATGTTTCCTAATTATGCTTTGGATTTCATGTAATGAGATAAAGAATCCATTCGGATTTTTCACAGACAAGCGCAACCCTTTGCGTCGGAGAACGGCCCACAGAACCGCATGTCACGGTGCCGCTTCTTGAGATCTTTCCAAGTCGTCTCTGGTTCACACAGCACTGGGCAGCACTGTCCCACTTGACCCAGTGCAGAGTTGTTCATTGCACGAGAGTCAAAACTAATGTGTTTAATTATCAGAGCTGAAATTTTGCCAAATAAAGTGTAAATCCAAATTGAATGGAATATTTTTTTTGTGCAGTCCTTGGTGATTGGGCTATGACCATAAACTCACTACACTTGAGAATCCAGATTTATTGCAGGTGGATGACACCTGAATTGGAACCTAGGATCACTGATCCACCTGGCCAACGCCTCAAAATGTTGGTTTAGAATGTTTTGTGGCTTGTGCGATCGTCTCTCTGATGCCTGTGACCCGTCGGCCCCTCTCCCTGCCCCTCCTCCTCCTCACGTCTCCTAGGCGAATACTGTAACCTGCCTCTCTACCTGAAGGTGGACACGCCGCATGGCGTCGCCACACCCGCGTCCACAACCCGACCCTTCCAGCCCGCACCACGTCGCTCATGTGGGCCTCCTCGGCCCCAGCCCATGCCACAGGCTCCACCGACCACCACCCTGCAGCAGCAGCAGCAGCAACAGCAGCAACAGCAGCAGCAACAGCAGCAGCATCAGCAGCAACAGCAACAGCAGGCCGCGGTGCCCATCATGCAGCCTCAGCTAGTTTCTCTGCCTCCTGTCAGCTCAGCGTCGCGGGACTCCCTTCTAGGCGAGGCCGGAGGGCCCTTGGGCACCAGAGCGCAGGCCTACCCCAAGTCGTACACTCTCGTGTGAGCGAGCGAGCGAGCGGAAAGGCGGGTGGGCGACGTGTGAGCGAGCGGGCGACTGCTGCCGAGATTGTGACGGCACCGGTGGTCGGTGTCGGGCGAGGGAGGATCTTGGAACCTCTGTCCTTCAGAGGCACCGTCGAGCCACGTCGACCATAAACCACCGTTAGCGAGCGACGCTCTTGTTAAGCAGCTTCAATCTCATCTCGTGCTGGTCCTCAGCTCTCTCCCTGCCTGGTCGCCAACTCAATCTCAGCTGGTTCTCGACACGGTTTCAACTCGGAATCATTCACAGGTTGAACCCGGTCTCAGACTGGTCTCAACCCATTCTAAACCTGGAGCCATTCTGACATAAACTTGGTTCCATTGTGGCGTCAACGCAGTCTAAACCTTGACCCATTCTGGTTTTCATCGTCTCGGCCTGGTCTTAACGTGGTCTCAACCACGAGCCACTCTGGCCCAAAGCCAGTCTCCCTCCTGTTCCGTGACACCCGCAATCTTCATCCGAAAAGACGTGGCTTTTGATTAAGAAATGAACATATATTTATTATATTGTCATTATTCTTATTACTGTATGATCATTATTGTTATAATTATTATTATTGAATGCTTGTTCTGGCTGAATGCCACAGTTTTGAGCCGGGAAAGGTGGCTACTGTGGGCCGCACCTAGCTGCAGGGCAATACCCAGCTCGCGAGGTGACGACGTTCATTATTATTAATATTGTTTAAGGGAATGCGTTACTCGTGTGTTAGGTGATTTGTTTATCTCAAGGGTTTCGCGGCCTCCCACTTACAAGCGTCTCCCCCCCCCCCCCCGTCGCCGGCAAGCGTCGTCCGTGTGGGGTGTGCGGCATGACTGTGTGTGTATGCGCGTGGCAGTGCGAGTGCTGTGAGGAGCGCTGTCCCAGTGGTTGTTAGTGAGCGCACCTGTGCTGTGATCCCGTCGACCCGGGGTTCGATTCCCGACCAACGGTGCGAGTGGTTGTCGCTGGTGGCAAGATCGTTTTTTTGAAACAGGCCTGAGCCTCCCGCTAGGTCAGCTAAGCCAAAAATGCTTACCAAGCCGGCGCGGTGTGTGCGGTCAACATCACTGGAAAGCGGGGAGGTAACGGGCGGCGGCTGGGCGAGTGTGGTGCTGGTTACACCACCCCATCGTGTGCCACTGTGCCAGCCTTAATAGGTGCTCACTAATAGCACTTTCCCCAGCGGCCTATGAGGCTAAAGGGGGATCTTTGTCTTTGATAGGGGGTAGGGCAGGTGTTGGGGGAGTTTAGGGGGAGGAGCTGCGTGGTGGTGGTGGTGGTGGTCAGGGGGGGGGAGCAGGTGTGGTGGAGTGTTTTACGTTATCACCGCGAACTTCGTTTTTGCCATTTAAAAACAAAGGGAAGAATCGATTATAAAAAGACAGATGGCTACAAGAATCTGTTGACGCCTTTGCAGCCCCCGAACAACATGAAATAAACCTTTTGCTGATTTTAGCTGGCTCGTGTCGGCTCGTGTTTGGCGCGTGTTGGCTTTTTCGCGTGCACTATGCGCACGCACGCACCCACCCAACTGCACGTGTAGGTGGCGATGATGTTTAGATGTGTCGGGACATTTGGCTGGCGAGTTCTAACCGCTTTTTGAGGGCTTATTGATTCATGGCTTAAAATAGAGCTTGGGACTCAGTGATGAATCATCGCGTAACTTTTTGACAAAAGGAGCAGGAAGAATAGACAAATAGTGAGAAAAGGCATTTAGGGAAAATATGCAATGTCCAGCTGAGCTATAGGAATCATCCTCACATTGTGGCATCTCCCTGGAGGTCCCCAGTGATCCTACTGCTGCTGATTTTCCTACATTTATGTTCAGCACCCACGTAATCCTTCAGTGAGCACATTCTCCCCACCACTTTGCCACTTGCTGCTGCACTGCTTCAGAATCCATAATCGTGGAGGCACCTCTGCCGAGGTCCGTGGATGGCTATCCGAGCCGTAGAGAGTAGGGATCTACGCGGAGTCGTGTGTATTAATGCTGCTGATCTATCTCATCGGTGGTGCGAAGTTGATGCCACTTTGTTTCTCCGCACATAGCCGTATGAAGGAGGCGTGCACATATCAGCGCAGCTGATTTAAGCTGTAGGCTGCCGATTTCTAAATCCTTTTACCACCTGGGTTTCAAAGCTAATCGAACCGCTGCATAAAAAGCAAAGTCTTAAATCAAATCCTTTGGCGCAATATTCGCTTTGAAAATCTGCACACAGTCATTGGATTTAAAAAAAAAATCGGCATCCTGCCCCTTAACATCGGTGACGTTGGCAAGTACGCAAGGGATCCACGGCTCTCCTGTTGCAGCATGGGACATGTTTATATTTTGAGTTAATATTTGAGTGCCTTAGGCAGACAGGCAGGTTGTGTTGTTACCCATGGCACAGTATTTATGACTTGTTGACCCTGCTGCTGCCGCTGCTGTTTATACTTCACGTGAACTGTAGATTGGGGGTGCGAGCGAGCGACCCTGATCTCTGTTCATGGGTTTGTGGCAAATGTCCTTTACTTCCATAGCAACAGCGTTCCCCGCCCTCCACCAATGGAACATTCTATGCCCTTGGCAATTCCAGAAGAACTGGGTAGAACTGGATTATATTGGTGATGCCGATATCACACCGCAATTGACATCGTGAATTAGATACGCATGTCATCTTTATATGTGTTTGATATGTGGGGCTTAATTTCAGCTGGGTCTACGCGGTATACCGCATCCAGTACACCTCTCGCTATGGACATGGCTATTAGTCACGTACTTGCTGTAGTCTGATACTGGCCCAGAAAAAATAATCGGTAAGAATTATGACCTGGTGATATGTCACAATGATACCACTACGATACACGTCTCAGAACACGAATAGCTGGGTTCGCCACCTCTCTGGGGTTCAAAATTGACAGCTAGCGAAGCAGCTATCTTGTCAACGTCGCAAGAATGAAACAACAGAAGACAATGGTTGGCTTTTGGACTCCGAGGCAAAGGCTTTGCCCAAGTCTTTGCCCATGTGAAGCCACCTGACCCTTGGTGCAGTGCCCCACCACCGGGTAAAGGATGAGTGCTACACCATGCATGACTCGTTTTAGCAGGGCACCGTGTGGACTTAGTCAATTACAATTTGAGGCAAAGACGGTTAACAGCCATTCGCCAAAACCTAGAACACGGGATCGTTTGTTCTAGTGCGTTTGGAAGGCTGTGCATTAAATGATTGTGTCACTGAGATTTGCGAAACTCCAACAACCCTCTGGGTTGCGGTGGCACTCGGTGATGGCAGTGCAGCAAGTCGGTTCGCTCAACCTTTGCGCATCACCCTGGTATTTAGTGTGCGTTTCCACCCGGTTCCCCGGTTTCCTCCCGGCTTGAAGCCAAGCTCTCATTCATGGAATTGGCCAAACATCCCCAATGCTTAATCCCTCAGGGAGGTATTCTTGAGACTCATTGAGACGTCCCTGATGAAATATGTGACAACCGAGATGCTTGAGCGAGGGAGAATGTTTGAGTTCCCCAATATCTAATTCAACGATGAAGTCATTTTGTGGAAGATTTCTGCCGGCTTGCCAGATGTATTATTGGCATGAGCCCTAAGTGAGCATTTTGGGACCTATTTAATGTAAAATTGTAAGCTTCTTTTCTGAAGCTAATTTTTCCCAGTCACGGAAGATTACGAGTAATTATCGATAATAAAGGATACGTCGTTTGATTTTAAATATTTTCTCCATCAGCTTATCGGCCTTTTGCACGAATGGCAACAGAGCAGCATTTGTTTTATCAGCTTGACACCGCTGATGAGACGTTGAAAAGTGGAAACCGGTCCACGGGAAGTGTTTAAACAAATGCATCCGGGAAACATTTCTCCTGAAGGGCTAAAATGTGGTGGACTACAATGTTGCATTTTTTGTATGTGGACAAACAAAACATTTACCTATATATTTAGGTGTCTATTATAGGATTACCTATAAACCTACACGGCAGCACATGTTGTGTGTTTTGCTACCTGTGTATGCACCCTTGGGAAGCGGTTAGCACGCTGGACCATGAACCTGGTGACCTGAGTTTGATTGACAGTCACGGCAAACATCAGTGGCGAGTTATGTCTGAGGCGGGCCTTTGGCTCCCTCTTCTTCACAAACCCGCACTGACCAGCGTGGTGAAGTATGGTCAAAACTTAACTATACTACTGTACTATTTTATCTTACCAGGTAAGGCCCACGATAGCTCTTTTTCAGAAGCGACCTGGCTACAAATTATCGCTCAACGAAATGGCTTATCATGTAAAAATGTATAGCAGCCAAACACTCTAAACGCATGTTTCTAAATGTGGAGGGGAAAACCAGAGGACTCGGAGAAAAACCCAAGCCACCACGGGGAGAACACGCAAACTCCAAATATACAGGCGTCAGGATCGGAATCGAACCCACGACCTCCTGCATACCATCTCGCCATCGCGGCACCATCATTCACGACTGACGTGGCACAGGGGAGGCCTTCATACAGCAGTGGATAACCAAAGGCCTGCAAACATCGACCATGCACACGTACGAACGTCACTGAAGACAGTGACAGCGCAGACACAGATATGAGGCTGTTCATTTTATTGACGCTCATTAATAAGTGCGCGCGAATACAAATAGCCCATGCTCGGGTGGGAACAGCGAACACACAAGACATTGCAGGCAAACCGACATTTTTAAAGAATTAAACAACTCGCACTGAACCCCAGGAAGCTGAGTCATGAAGACACCAAAAGAGCTGACAGACACCCAGTCCCTGGGCTTGAACCTGTACCCTCAAAAGGCTGCAGGTTTGGTGTCTCTGCCATAGGCAATAGCTTCATGAGAGACGCCCAACCCCAGGGCTTCAACCTTTAACCACAGACGTTACTCGTTAATTGTCTTTGACACAGCAATGCGCTCCACGAGAGACGCCCAGCTTCAGGAATGGTTTTGGGTCATTTTTTCTGATACGGTTATCGTTATTGTTCATGTGCCATGAGCACACCCAGTCCCAGGTCTTGTACCCGAAGCTCCCGAGGTTGCAAGTTTCGTGTCTCTGACAAAGGTATCCGTCCATGGGAGACAACCTGCCCCCGGGCTTGAACATATTGCCTCAGTGGTGTGTGGCTCGGTGCCCTGAAATGACCATCAGCCCCCCGGAATGAAAACTGAGCGACACAAAGCGACACGCACGGTGGACGGCACGGCGATCGGCGTCCGCGACAAGAAGCAGAAGCGGCGCTTGGTAAACGAGAATTCAAATTGGGAGCCGTGTCGCGACCAAGGCTGTAGCCAGGGCCCGTTTCAGCCTCGTCTGTCCGGGTTGGAAACCGGCACACCACATCCAATTGTGCCGACCTCTCCCTCTGGCTGTGGCGAATGGCAACCGGCACACCACATCCAATTGTGCCGACCTCTCCCTCTGCGTGTGGCAACTGGGTCACGTCGCCACCTCCCCGTCTACTGGTAACCGAAAAATAAAATTAAAAGTGAGAAATTTAGCCCCGAGAATATGGATAGCTTTCTGTGTTTTTTTCTTCTTCCCAACATGGTAAAGGGGAAGCGTTTATTTATATTGCGCAAACCTATTTATTCCTTGCAGCAGAGCCAGTTCTGGGCCCTTGTTATGCCACCAATCACGCAACTCGGGAGAGGACATCGGGGATTAGCGTTGTCAGCAAGACAGGTCCTGGGACCCAGAGACATCAGATTTGTTTTTATGGCCTCTGTAAAAAAAAACAACCCCCAAGACTTTGGCTCAAGTAGAAAAATCAAAGGCATGGTGTCTTGTGGAAACCAAGACTGGTCATTTGTAAAATAAAAAGTAAATGTGATTCTGTTGATGAAACCCAGATTATCGAAAACGATCTAGAGTTTGCTTTTTAAAACAAATTTTGCTCCATAATATTGGTCTGGAAAGCCAACATAATGACATTTATTTTTTTATATGCGGAGACACAGGACAGAGTTCTGCTTACAGTCTCTAAATTTTGGGTAAAAGCGCTATGAGCTTACCGAAGCCCAGGACGTGGTGAGCACAGTACAAGTAGTTAACACATATCGCTATCATCATCACCCACCCTCTACCCACTGCTGGATGAAGGCCAGCAGGTACCTGCGTGGGCACAGCCAAGGCATGCTCGCTCTCGCTCAGGGTTCACAACGGACGCCTCGATTAGAGAGGCGTAGTTCTCCAGATGACGCGGCGGAGGTCGGCAGCGATAAACAACATCATCATCAGCAACAACATCAACAACATTGTCAAGTCTAAAAGCATATCCGTGAATTAATCATCATAAATTAGTTGAAACACGACACTTAACGGTTCAAGACTCGGGGTGGGTGACACAGATACATTTCACGTTGCCTACAGCCTACAGGTTATGATTGTACAGCGACACACACATCATCATCATCAACGTCGAGCAAGAGGGACGCTAGAAAGGCAGACATCTACCCGTGCAGGAATGGACTGGAGCAGACAATGTTCAGTAAAGTTTGGCAGGTAGCTGTATGCATATACTGTATATAATTTATTATCTGTACATGTGCGCAAAGCTACAGGAGATGGTTGATTGAAGAGGGTCGACGACGCTGGGCGACACGTGGGGTTTGTGTCACAAACCTGTCACGTGATTCCTCCGTCACCTTCACGACTGTGGCTCTCATGCACAATCAGCCGAGTGAGGTGGCCACTGTCACAGAGTGTGGCTTCTCAAGAAAACCCAACCTCCACAGCACAGCACTAGGACTCAACCCTTACTCTATAGCCCAGATAGATAACTCGACGTTTATGCTATATCCCAGACCTAGAACCAACTACCCACTCAATATCCCACGTATAGGATTCAACATCCACCGTATAGCCCAGATATATAATTCTACATCCACTCTATGTAGAATTATATATAGCCTGGGCATCGAAATGAAGTCCAACTCTGTGGCCCAGACTGACCCCCAGCACCTGCTGTGTGGTTCGTGATCGTGGGGACATTGGTTTTCAAGTGGTGAGCCGCAGGAGCTCGGGTGGCTACAGTGACATCGCTCTCTTTCCCCGTTGACTTCAGCGTGGAAGAGATGTGACGAGGTGAGTCGGAGAGGTTACACTGGGTAGTATTGAATGAAGTGTGGGTTTGTCTCTTCAAAGATGTGCCCAGGTAGAAGTTACTTTTCTAGAGTCCCATGTACATAATTTAAATATGCTCTCCTAGACATCATGACCGTCAACATAAGCAGCACCATCATCATCATTACTGGAATCATCATCATCATCATCGGAATCATCATTGTTGTTATTCTCATCATAATCATCATCATTGTAATCATCATTACCATTGTAACCTGTCGCAATAACCGCTTTAGGAATTTAGTGAGAGTTTTGGTTCACCCTGAGTAAACTACAGGAAGACCTGTCGTCATTATCATCATCTTTAACTTCGTTATCATTATTATTTCCCATGCAGGTAATGGTGTTATGGCCATCAAAGCGTCGGTCGATATTTTCAATATAATCACGAGCATCGCGATTAATTGGAATTCAAATCACCATAATTACAATCATCAGCAGCAACATTACTACAATCAGCATAATCATCATCAGGATATTGGTATTCATCTCTAGCCCTCCCCCACCCACCCAACCAAACTCGTCCACACAGCTGCCTTTGGAAATCCGCGGCAGTACGTTGCCCTCGGATATTAGAAATCTGCGACCACACGAACCGGCAGGCAGATGTTGTCGTGCGTCCACCCTAAGTCGCGCCGATCTCTCTGGGAGACGATGCCGCGCGGCCGCGTCTATCCCTAATTGCGCCTGCCTTAAGTCCAGATTAAATCCTAGGCTATCTGTCTATTTTTGGAAACGTGCTCAGACTTTATTAACGCCGTCATTCAGGCGGAAATGCGGTTCGTCCCTCGGGCACGCATCGATTCAGCACCCATCCCGCGGCGATTCTAACATCATTTGTCACGATTCGATTTTTTTTCAGATACACGATCTGTTCTTTAACCTTAATTCTCTTTTTTTTAAATCTCTTGCTCTCCGTGTCGCGTGTACAGCATCACGCTTGCTCCAGGAGGCTAGACGCGACGCGAGGATGCCATCTGAGTTACGCTCGCAAATGATCGAATGGTGCGAGCGACGTGGGCGTAATCGAGATTTACTCGCACGAAAACGATAGACGGTAGCATCGTCACCTCGTCTAAATTTTGTCCCCGTCGATCTCGACTCGCGCATTGGTTTCATTGTATTTTGGTCGCGAGGTAGGATGTGATGGGGATGGAGAGTGATATATAATTGGGGATGCGTGATGGTACAATTGCGATGGGAGGAGGGAACGGAAGATGCGGTCGGAGAGAAATGCTGCGTGACGTCTGTGACGGGAGAGAGATTTCGTGGCGAGAAGATGCGACGGAGGCCAGAGACGTGAGGGTTAAAGAGATGCGATGTGAGAAACAGACGTGGTCGTGCGTGAACGCCGTGATGGAAGAGATGCACGTTATGGTGGAGGTGCAAGAGTGGAAAGTGATGGGAGAGAGATGTTCATGCAAGTATGGACGTGATGGGACGGAGGGATGGGAGTGATGTAATAAGAGGGAGGCATTTGGTGGGATGGAGGGCTGAGATGGGAGGGAGGGAGGTGGAGAGCGGAGAGGAGAAACAGGAGGGAGTGGAGGGACGGATGGAGGAGTCTCATCAGTGCCATGAGAACGATCTTTGCTATTGCGCGCAACCATGGCTCGAGCTCGAGGCGAGGAAGATGAAGAGAGAGGGGGCAAGGAGGAGGTGGTGGGAGAGGGAAGGAGGAGGGCGAGACGGTGGGAAAGATGAGGAGGACGTCTCCAGCTAACGCACGACTTCACGCAGGATCGGTAGCAGCAGCTGGTGCCAGTAGAATTCACCATCCCACGAGACTGCAGCACCACCCATAGATATCCACGTCACAGCCATAAAGATTACGCTCACGTATTTTTGGTTCTTTCGGTAAAGTCACGTAGATTAAACAAATTATAAATATATTAAAAATAAAAGCAAAAAACCCACGACGTTTCGCAACACAAGCAGTCATCTTTTCTCTCCGCCTGATAAAGACCGCTTGTGTTGCGATCGAAACGTCGTGGGTTTTTTGCTTAATTTTTTTTATTTATTTATTTGATTTTTTATTTTCTATCTACGTGACTTTACCGAAAGAACAAAGAATCTGAATTCCTGCAGTCACGAAAGTTTTAAGTAAAAATTACGCTCAATTACCTGCAGCCTACCTTTATGATCTAGCATTATAGATGTAGAGACCAGACCCTTTAATATAGCCTGGGCTAGATTAGGATTATAGACTAATATCTATAGACCTCTATACAATGTAGGCGAAGCCTTTTCGACAATACCTCTATCCCTACACATCTCTACAGCGCTATAAACTACCTCTACAGAGCAGGCTTCCAGCCAGCCCTGTAGAGGTAGTTTTTACTTAACCATATTGGCCAGTCAATATGGTTTAGTGCTAAACCATATTGACTGGCCATCGTCCACCTCCAGCTGACTCGGCACCCTAGTCTAGAGTCTAACCACTGATTCATTGCAGCCGGAGCAGTACGGAACATCGTGCAGGGAATAATTTCGTTACGCCACGTCCGTATCGCGTATCATTATTATTATTGACGAGGTGTACCTTGTACTCTAGTGGTAGTACCTTACGCCGATAATCAGTACTCCAAGCCAGCCAATAGGACAATACCCGAGTGAGAAATGAAGCCCCGCGTCAAACCGGATAGGACGTGCGCGATCGTCCCTACCAGGGTCTGTATCCCCTCACTCGATATGAGACCAACTCTGTAATAATACAAATACTACTCACACCCTAACCCTCACCTTACAGAATACTCGCATACAAACGGCCCAACTCTAGAGGACTCGCGCTGAGCACTGTGCGCTCACGCGATGCACTCGTCTCGAATGAAATTGTGTGGGCAACACAATCACTGCGGGTGATGACATTAGCTGTCATGCGGGACCGGATCATTATTCTTGCGTAGGGGAGGGGGGTTCTTGATGGGGTTCTTGATGGGGTTTATGAGAGGGGGGGGGGCGGTGGGGGAGGTTAGGGATTGCCCTTAAGAGTCTTAGTGAAAATAAGAATCATTATGAGCGTTTTTCCCCCCCACCCATCGCCCCTCCTCCCCCGCTACCCCCCACCCCACCCTCTACGCGCTCTTTAATCACGTAATTAATCCGATAATGAGACTGATGCCGAAGAGAGGCAGAGACATAAAAAACAAGCGACCGGGGTCTCAGCCAGAGCGCCACTCTGTCCCGCCGATTCGATAGCGGAGTAATAAAGCGCGCGCACGCGTTCGTGTTCACTCTCAACTCGTCAAATTCCTCTGAATCGGCTCCTCTTCCCTCCAATAATTTACATTCTCTCGCGTTAATTAGTCGGCAGTGATGTCGCATTGTTACGGTGACATTCAATTGCGAGTCCACCGTGACCACCGCTCGCTGCGTTGAGGAGTGGTTTGCGTTCTCTTATGCTTATCAAGCAATGCACGAGTTTGTTTTGCATTGCAGGCCCCTACGTGTGTGTGTGTGTGTATATATATAATTAAATCGTTCAATTTGTTAAAATGCTTTAAATGTCGTTCGTTTTTTTTTATTAATCGTCGCGCATTTCATTAAAATCAATTAATGATAAACGCGGCTTGTATGATATTTCTTCGTATTTGTCCCAATTTTTTTCGATAATTAAATGAAACGTATTCAATTCGAAAATTATTGAAGGCCATTAAGCAACGCCGCCTCATCAGCAACCGCACGCCGTTGCCACATTCCCGAAGCTAAACCGGGTTTTGAGCCTGGATACGTGCTTGGATGGGCCACCACGATGCCGCGAAAAAAAACCCATTGTTGTACTGCACTTCTATGCTCCCCTCCTTCACCAACCCCGCACTATTGACTGGGGTGGTGAGATATGCTCAAATAAGCCCCCACCACCCCCCTCCCTCCACGGACCTGCACAGCGTGGGAGGTGCCCTAATCCAGCAGTGGATTGCCCGACACAACACCTGATTGTGTTATTTCCTCTCGCGTGGTTAATGTAATGTTCTAATTTTTGCCAGACAAAATCTCTGCAGCTGCTCTCTTGTCCGGCACCGTGACGCGGATGTAATCCCCCCTGCTGCAGGAGACGCTCGCCAATCGTCGAGCGCGTTGGACGGGCGCGTGCCGTTTACGATGGCCGACTCCATCATTTGTCACCGCGGAATCTGAGAATTGGATTTATTTTGGCATTTGATGTATACCCCCCCCGTGCAATCGGCTCCCCCCGCCACCTATGTGGACACAGGTGGGTGTTTACACCACCGTGCAAAGACAAAGACCCCCCCCCCCGTGCAGTCTTAATAGACCGTTGGGGAAAGTGCTGTTCGCGAGTACCTGTGAAGGTCGGTGGCCAACACCACGCTAGGCCGCCTTTGTCTCCCCCAGTGGCGACGTTTACACACCGCACCAGGTGCTCATCTGAGGCTGAGTCGACCTAGGGAAAGCCCAGGACCGGTTCAGATAATCGTCACCGGTGTTGGTGGCCGTGAGCGGGAATCGAACTCGGTTTTGCCAGATTCGTAGCGCACCGCGCTAACCGCCACACTGCCGCTCCCCATCCACGACCGTGCACACGTACCTGTACAGACACAGGTGCGTGTGTATATTTATTGGAATGTAGAGATATAGGTAGACGCGTGTGTGTGTGTGTATTAAGATATGCACACAACTGTGTACACACTCAGGATGCATCCACCCCACATGTGTGGATACATGCGTGTTCACTGCAAACGCCGCGTGGTGCATATTCTGGCATGGGGTTGGGGGAGCGTTGGCGTCGTGATCCGTGTGCGCGGCGCTATGAATCTGGCGACCTGAGTTCGATTCCTGGCCACGGAAAGTAAAAATAATAATAAAACTCAATGGCGAGTGATATCTGAACCGGTTATTAGGTAACTCACCAATCCGCAATGAACACCAGAATGGTGAAGCATGGTCAAACTACTCCCTTGACCGACCCCGCACGGGGTGGCTTTTAACCAGCAGTGGATCGGCAATGGTTGTTGATAATCGTAATAATGGTATATGTACGTGTATTAGCACACAGGCACAGGAGAGGCAGCTTAATCGGTTTGATATTGAAAGTTCGGCTATAAACTAAACTATATATTTTGTTTATTTTACCAGGTAAGGCTCACTGAGCTACATAGCTCTTTTTCAGAAGGGACCTGGCCACAAATGATAGCTCAACGAAGTGGCTTAACATGTGGAAATGTATAGCAGCCAAATACTCTAATGGCATGTTCATTACTCTTTGGCTCTTTCGGTAATAAATTGTTTAATTTTTACGTGACGTTTCCGAAAGAACCAAAGAGTAATTCCTGCAGTGACGAAAGCTTCAAATCAGGGATGTTCATTCTAAATGTGGAGGCAAAAACCGGAGGTCCAGGAGAAAATTCCACACGACCACGGGGAGAACATTCAGACTCCAAATATACAGCAGGCGTCAGGGGGTGGATCGACCTCATAGCCTCCTGTATACCACGTGAGGGAGTTAACATCTCGTAGCCGTGGCTAACTAGCATGGAACAAATGTCAGTGACTTTCCTGCATCACCACATAAGAGATCCCAGCATGACCAGCCTCACTCTATGAGCCCACATAGATACCCGTGATCCTGCATAGAGATCTTAGGATCACCAGCCTCACTATATGATCCCATACAGAAACCCATGATCCCACATTGAGATCCCAGCATCACCAGCCTCGCGCTATGGTCCTGTAAAGACACTGGACTTCACCATGAACAGGACCCTACGCTCGGATTGGGCAACGCGGCCCTTTCTGGAATTGCGATGACGCGGGGGAGGGGGGTTTGGGATCTGGATTTGATTCAAGATTTTTGCGCGCAATATTTTCCCCGTCTCGTTTTGCATATTTCCCCCACGTTCTGTAAGTATATTTTTTTCCCGTAACATTTTTTTCTGCGTGTCCTTATATTCGCCCCTGGAGCGTCACTGCGAACGTAAGTTCGACTTTGCCTTCCCCTACCATCGTCGATTTCATCACGCGCGAGTTGACGCGCGCGTGCCTCCGGCGTTACAATCGATTTCTTTTGATGGGACGCACGATGAAGCATCGTCATCCGCCGAGCCTCGACGCTATCGACTCGACCTCAAACGTTGCCGGTGGCCCCTCGTTGTGTGTGCGTGCAGTACTTGTATATACGTGCACACGAAGACAACAATAGCGACAATGCAGCTATGTGCAGCGCGCGCGTGAATCGACCCATACTCGGCTATGCCTACAAACAATGCAGGGTGATCCACATATAGATGCCCCATTCAAACGAAAGGGGAGATAATGGAGAACAAAACGTTTTAATTAAAAGTCTCCGCGTGTCTCACGCCGATCTCGATACACGTATTAAATCTTTTAACACTCTCCTGATGCGCATCGCCCAACATCGCCGGTCTAATTTCGCTTGCGGCGTTCAATTGATGGTCATTGCTTTCGGAAGAGGCTCATTATACATCGGTGGGGTATCTATAAACGGATCATCCTGTATAAAATAAATACAATTCCAGACACTCGACCCAACAGTAGATGAGGGCCACTCCATACCATGTCGGTCTTGGTGGGGGGGGGGGGGATGTTTGAACATACTTCACCAAGCTGGTTAGTGCAAGTTGATGAAGGGGGGGGGCAGAACAGGTTCAGGTATCGCTCGTCACTGATATAAATGTCCAAATTATTGGGCCACTTTGTCGAGCTATTATTATTATTTTTGGGCTCGGTCGCTTCTGAAAAACAAGTTGATACCTCATAGGCTTTGCCTGGTAGGATCACGTGTTTGTATTGCTTCTTGTTGTAACGTTCTTGCCCGCCCCTACTGGACATCTGTGAAAAAGAGCTTCATAGCTCATCGGATTCCTTCAGTTTAAATACATATTCTGATTCTGATATTAGCCGTGGCTGAGAAATTGTACTCGGGTAGGCGTACCGGTTAGTGAACTGCGCTACGAACCTTGCGACCCGAGTTTCG